ATATGATAAAATCCCCCACCAAAACCCAGTCTATCCACCAAAACCAACTGAGCCCTGCACGTTGAAGAGGAGGTGGGTCAAGTTTGCATGCAGCCTGATCCCCAGCCAGAAATGACACTTCTGAACCGAGGCAAAGCGAGACTTAAAATGGAGGTTTTTCATCACCAAAATTTGAATTGAACCTCCAAAAGAACAGAGATACCATCACAGTAGAATCACTCAAAATTGTGATTTAACGCACAGAAAGGAGAAGTTCTTAAACGAAAAACATCACCAAACCCTGGGAAGCACCATCCGCTTGGGGCTTGGCATCCGATTGGCCGCTGGGGTCGGCGTGTTGCTTTGCTGGTCGGGTAAGTTCTACCCATCTGTACCGGGTTCATCCCACTTTCGAGTACCCTAAATTTGACCATCATGGTGAATGAAGATCGCAACATTTATCTACTAGAACCAACCAGGACTATCCAAGTTCAGCATGATGATAATTCGAAGTACGTAGCATGTCGATGATTATCCATCTGTAGTATATAAGTAATGTTACTGTGGAACTCAGATGGGTTTCTCTGACTTCTCTTATGGCTTATGGCAATCCCAGTTTCAGACAAAGCCCACATGTTTAAACATGTTTAAGCCGTCCCATAACGAAACCGGCGCGGCCATGTCCGGAAACTGAGCCGCCGCACATCACAGGAGTGATGAGCCGCCAAATCTGGCCTCTCGCTAAGGCCTTGGCGCGAGAGTCTCGACTAATAAAAGGTACAGTACATGGGATAGAAACCTACATGGGTATGGGTCAATACCTATAGATACATTTTTAGTGGGTTATTCACATCCATAAATCCCAGCTATGACTTGGGGTTCACTAGGTACCAGGGTTTTGACACACTGCCACATTAGATGCCCTCAAGTAGAGTACTGGTTAGTGGTTGAGTCAGCCACCCCTCTGAAAACTATGTCCAAGTCAGTTGGGGTGATGAAATTCCCAATATATGGAAAGTCATAAAATTGATGTTCCAAACCACCAACCAGAGTAAAATGTATGTATATATGTATGATAAACCCAACATGCTTAGATAAGTTTCCTTGGGAAACCATGTTTTTTTCCCATATCGATGTTGATTTACTGGAGGGTGTTTCCATGGATACAATGAAATGACAACAGGTTTTCAATTTAAAACGATAGCTGTTAGTTTTAATATGCATATTGTGTTCATAAAGTTATATATAATCTTCCCAGTTGTATTTTGAACTTATAATCTTCCCGGATGATTACTGTAGCATATTATCTTCCCAGCACTGACGGAATGTTCGCAGTGTTATATGATTCGCAGTTGCTACAATAACAGTTTATTAATAATCCCATCCCCCTAATACATCATGTCGGGCATGTGGAGAACTTCCCTACATCAACTATGATTTCTAAGGGGATGTTTAGTATGAACGAGGGAAGGGGTTACTGAAAATGTTCATGTGAACTGTTTAAAGTTGATAAATGTGATAGTACTGTGATAATGATAAATGTGACAATCACATGTTTATTTACTTATATAACATAAACATGAAAAAAAACAAGATATTCCCAGTGATAATCTGAATGATGCGGTTAATTATGAGTTACTATGCCCAGATGTTGTAATTCCCAGTTATATCTGATAATGTTAATGATAATGCTAACAATCTTAATGATAAATTATAATTCTGAATGATGATTGTAATTCTTAATGATAATCTCAGTGATATTTCCAGTAATCATCATTCAGAATTATATCATTGGTAATATCCCAGTTACTTCCTTGTGATAAATCCCAATGATATATCATTAATAAGTGGTATATCCCAGTTAATAGCGTCATTAATGATAGTATATATTATTATCTTCCCAAATAGTTGTATGATTATTATAATTAGTGATATTCCCATTATAATAGATATATCATAATGATTCATAGTAGATATTCCCATTATCTACATAGTTATATCATAAATAATAGTTATATCATATAAACAATAGTTACAAATATTATATGATTAGTGATATTAGTGATATATCCCAATTAGTGATAAATATTCCCTACATCATAATAACAATAGTTATAATGATAATAGTTATATTGCTGTGAACTCTCAACTGTTACTAGCTAATAATCCCTACATCATAGTTCATATAACTATACTAAATTATAGTATTATGATTATGAAAATACATAATCCCTACTAATAAAGTCTGGTAATAGTTATATATACTATTATATATATATATATTATAATAGCTAAATTACCATTATATCATTATTATAGCAATATACTATGACCCTCTGGTTATTTAACAGTTCGCCATGGAAGCCATGGCCCATAGAAATAGATGGTTTACCGAACTTTAAAATGGTGGATCTTTCCATGGCGAACTGTTAGTCATAACCAGATATATCATTACTATATCATTATGCTAATCACCATTTTGGATAGGTAAATCATCATAAACCCTCTATAAATGGACCATTTTCCATAGCTTCATGAGAAGTCTCCGAGGTCCACTCCGGGCCCCAGGAGGCGCCCAGTTGGTATAACACACAGGGCCTCGGCGAGCTCGGCGAGCTGTTGGAGTTTTGTCGTTGGCAGATGGAAAAATGATGGGCGGATGGAAAAACATAGAGGAAATCATGGGAAAATGATGGGAAAATGGGAAAATGATGCGAAAATGATGAGAAAATGATGGGAAAGTGATGGAAAAGTGATGGGAAAATGATGGGAAAATGAGACAATGATGGGCAAATGTCATTGAAGTGAAAGATGAAAATCTGTGAAAACCTTGGGGACACATCACTTTTCTGAGTGGCAAATGTTGAAAACGATAGAATGTTTTCTTTTGGAATCCAGCGGCGGTTTCTAAGATGGAAATGAGATCGCATCTTCAGAAATGGGATTATGTGTGAAGTTGTGTGTATGCTGGAAGTTGTGTGTATGCTGTGTTACAAACAACCAAACGGATGCTGGAAGTATGTCCAATACTTTGCGAAGTCAACGGCGAGGTCCAAGTTTAGCGAGAAGCCTAAGCACTAAGCCATCTGCCAGCATCCATCCATACTTTACCAAAAAATGTGATGTCGAAGTATTTCATGAGGAATATTGCTAATGTGGGTAAAAGCAATACTAAGCCATCCCAAATTTACCTACCATAAATGGGTGGTATAAATCATCAAATTGTGGATGGTTTATGGGTGGTTTATTAGTGCTTTACATTATTGTGTTTGCAGCGGCATATTGTAAATTATAACATATCATAACTAATCCTTATAATCATATCCCATATATCAAGCTATAATAATCATATAATGGGATATTGTAGCCATATCATGTATAATAATTTTCAGTTGCACAATCCCATCCCCATTCCTCCCGTCGTCCCAGTGATATGTGAGATCATCCCCTACATCCACCATGCCTTCCAGAGGTTTTAGCCATCAATAAATATCAATAAATTGGTTGGTGGTTTGAAACATGTTGGGTTTATCATATATATATATAGTACTCTGGTTGGTGGTTTGAAACATCAATTTTATGACTTTCCCATCATATTGGGAATTTCATCATCCCAACTGACTTTCACTCGCATATTTTTCAGAGGGGTGGCGAAAAAAACACCAACCAGTATAGTATGAATATGTAATCCGTTCCTCTGTATTTTTTTGCTTCAATCCCCAATCTCATTTACCATTTTGTCCTATCAGTTCCAAAAAGATAGAGTTCAGTGAATCATCATGAATGTTCATTCATTATCAGTAGGGGTTTACTTTTCTATGGTGGTGACTCTACATTTGTCCACCATGTTTCCACCTTTTTCTATGCTGGAACTTCAACCTGGGCATCCACCTCTAGGCCCCAGGCGTGGGATTGGCACGGTTATGCCCAAGCCACATGGAGAATGCAAATTCCGCCACCTGACCGGTGAGAAGTGGCTGTTAAGTGGCTGCGATTGACCCCTGTTCTTTGATGATTAACATTGATTAACCATGATTCCCATGATTCATAGGAGGTTTTAACTTGTAACCATTAAAAGATGGAGATATAGTTGGTTGGGTGATGATTAACATTGATTGGTTCCATAAAACCATCATTCATGGGAGGTTTTAACTTGTTTTAACCATCAAAAGATGGAGCTCCTAGTTATCCTAGTGTGGATCAAGCTGATAAATGATGATTGGTTGATGATTGGTTCTGGGATTATACTACCCTATATATATTATGTATATTATGTATATTATATATATTATATATATTATATCTATATATATTGGGGATTTCCGTATCATCATCCATAAACTGGGAAATCCGTTCTTACGCTATAAACATTGTGGTGGCTGTGATGCAACGCTTCAACGGCGCTTAAAAAGTGGGGAGTTCACCAAGAAAAATCTGGGTGTAACTGTCGTGGATTTCTGATTTATGACCCGTGTGACCCCCATTAAACTACAAATATATGGAACAATAACTTTATATTAATGTAGTTTATATATCATATATAGTTTATGTATTTAACTACATTATGTACCCCCATGTATAATATGTATGTATGTACTATACATAACTTTAACACCCATATTTGATGCTTGAGTTCAAATATGAAATGTATGGCTAACCACACGTTTTAGTCCCAAAAATAAGCCTTACATGTTGCGCTTGGCTTCGACCTACCACGACGCCACTCTTTTCTCACCCGGCGTCAGATCGAAACCCGGCGAAAGAGGCGCCCGAAATTTTGGGACAAGCGAAATGACAGCAACAGAAAATGATGATTGAACAATCATAGATGCAAAAAAATGAAATCACCAGGGGTGATTTATGCCCCATTCTGAACGTCATGTCCAAATTCCGAATGTCGTTTCCATTCACGCAACTGATCCGAGACTAATCTTCAAATCTTTTGCTGGTTCACTCTCAACTTGTCCCAGTTACATCTCCAATTTTGATCAACATATCCTCCACCGAACGCTGCTGTATCTTCAGAGAAAGCCAGCCCTTCGTTGTCGCAGGTCCTCGGCTCTCAGGCTTTGTCGAGGTTTCCCAAGTGGGGGTATCCCCAACAATTCCAACAGTTAGACCATGACTTAGTGCTTCAAAAGCATGGTGACGACTGATCCAAGTGTTATGAAAGCCTCCTATAGGATTGATGATCTGTCCATCATGGTTGGTTTAGATCTGATTCCCCCAGCACCTGCCAGGAAGATTGAACCTACTCAAAGCCTGAAACATCCACAACGGAGATGATTTAGATTATAGGATGATATAGTATGACATAGTTCATCTCCCATTTATCTCATTTCATATCCCATACCTGTGGTGAATCCCAAAAATGGGAAGATGTGCTGAATCGCTCCTGCCCTTGGTGCCCAACCTGCTTGGGAAGTGGATCCAGGGGAAGAGTCGGCATGGAGGCACGCACCTCGCGGGCTCCAGCAATGACTTTCTGGGAATCCCAACATGGAAAGACTCCACCGTCTACGGAGTCTAAATGTATGGAAAATCATGGGAAGATATGGGGAAAATCTCGATAAAATGCAGGGTTTTGAGGGCAAAATCATCTGTAAAGCGAGAAAATCATCGAACATTGTTCATAAAGCATTGAAATGTTGTTTTTTGTGAAGGGAAGAAGATAGAAACATTGGTAATCAAACATGGAAAAGTCCTTTTTGTATAGAGAAATATATATATATAATCATCAGATGAGTACAAGATGCGGATTTTCCGTTGCCATGTTTGGTTGCCGGAGGGTAACTGCTTGTTGGTGGTTTGAAAGTCCAGGCCTGTCTTACCAAATGGGCATCAATGTATGGGAAAATCATCAATGGGGAATTTTCTGCTATCATGTTTGATTACCAGAGGGTAGAGTTTATGTTCTGTGGGATGTTATGAAACTCCAGTGGTTTGGCTGAAAGTGAACCCAACAAACCATGGCTTATGGCGCACAAACCAGAATTGGGCCACCTGCCATGCTGAGTCCAACAGGCTTGTTCCCTGTCATTGTCAATAGCGTCCTTTTGGAAGAAATAGATGGGTCGGTTTGGTATACCAGTTATCATCATTTGCCTTCTGATTGTTATATACCATATAATGTTATACATTATACCAATCATTATATATTGTCATGGGATATATATATATACACCATATAATGATCCATATAATGATATATAGTGATATACAATGATATATATATATATATGGGGTTGCGTCAAAATTCGGGTATGGATCGGCCCGCGGTGATCCAGACGTATGGAACGGTCTGGATCACCTGCGTTTTGGTATGGATCGGGGGTATGGATCGTCCTGTGGGTTCAGGGTATGGATCGGGGCTTTATATTTTGACTCACAGCCATATATATTATCCCAGTTGTTTTACCGTCTGATTGTTCGGAGACCTTTCTATTCATCCACCGGCTATTCGGACATTTTTCGGGGCGGGGCGGCGCCTCGAAATCTCTGGGTTCTTCGTCTTGGAGTAGAGACTGGGCGATGGCCGCCATGGCCCATTTCGCTGGATGATTTACCAGAGGGTGCCAGAAAACCAGCAGGTTTATGTGGTTATAGTGTTGTAGTAAACCATCAAATATCATCATATTTCAGGAACCATAGCTAATATATATTATATATATAACATAACAAAGTTGTCATTAGCCATTATCAAATATGGTTGAAGTGGCACGGTTGAACCCCATTGGGGACATGGCGACATGGCGATCATTTCAGCCATAGCCATGTCCCCGGGGTTCATCCGTGGGGATTCGCGCCACAGACATTTTGACCCCTACACCCCAGATGTTTGATGGTGAAAGGTCCTATAAACGATGGCTAAATCCTCATTAAATAACTCCTCAACCATGTTTATAACGGTATAAATCCCATTTTTGCTCAGTGAAATAGTTAAATCCCCATGGTTTTTCTCGCGAAATGCCCACATTCTTCGGTGGTAAATCCCCATTTTCCCATTGGGAACTCCGCATCGACATCGAGCGCCTTGTTGAACGAAGCCTCCTTTGAGATGTTGCAGTCTCCGTCTCCCTGGGGGTGATGGGAAAGTCATAGGAACATTATGGGAAGGCCCCTTATAAATCTTATAAATGGAGGGTTTTCCATGGGAAAATATGGGAAAATCATCTAGAAATTTAAGGTGGATTTTCCAAATCACTGGTGTTTTTTTTTATCTGTATTTTACTGCTATGTTTGACCACCAGAGGGTAAGCATCATTTGCGGGGTTGTATCATTGTATCCCCGTGATTCTTGGTCAATCCCTTCGTGTTTGATGGTGTTCGTAAGGTTCAACCATCTCACGCTACAACTGCCATGTTTGAAGTTTGAAATTTCATGTTTGTTGTTGAGATTCCTGTGCCTAGAAAGTGACCCCAAACAAAGATAGAATCCAATATAAACATGTTTGCTGAGGGGTTGCTACATCACAATCCAAAGGTTTATCATCATGTTCCCTATGTAAGTATATATATATATATAAATGTGGGTTGAAAGGTACAACCAATTGTTGAAACAAACCCATGGACATTTTATAATACTGTATCGTTATCCCCATTTCTGCTGGTTAAGTCAATCAAAATCCAAAAAAAAAAATCGTCACTTAAATCCCTGGTTTCCAACTAAGCTCAGCTGTTCAATCCCAAATTGACGATCTAACTCGTTCGTTCGTTCCTTTTACCATTTTTACCTGTTCGTTTCAGGCATTTCCCTCCGAAATCCATTTAGACAATGGGTTCCATCAACCATTTTTTTTTTGGTCGATGATTTTCCCATTAACATTAACATCTCCATTTATCCAACATGTTCCCATGGTTTTTCCCAGATGGTGGTTTCCTAAAAATGGGGGTACCCCAATAGCTCGCTGGATGGTTTATGAGGGAAAATCCCAATCCAAAAATGGATGATTTGGGGGTACCCCTATGACTTCGGAAACCACCTAATCTTACCCTCTGGTAATTTAATATAGCTATAGAAAATCACCATTTTTAAGTTCGTTAAAAAAAATCACCATGTTTTTTGTTTGGAAACCTCCATATTTTCCTGCCAGATCTTCCCATTTTTGGGGGATTTCCCAGCTAGTTTTTTGAAACCTCGTAGAGCTGATCCAGTTTCATGGCTGGTAGAATCCTGGTGCACGTGGCTCGTGGCCGTGGCGAGCCAAGACTCCAGAAATGGTGTGGAAAAATGGGATTTTTTGTGGGATTGAATGGGATTTCATGAGATTTTCTAGTGGGATTTTATGGGAATTGTTCAGAGAATTTCACGGGATTTCATGTGATTTAATGATTTAATGGTGATGAATAGGAAAAGAAGCAACAAAAATCGGTATGTGAATGGTACATACGGACATACCATCTGGTTATTTAACATTCGGTGGATGGTTGCGAAATCCTGCACCAGTTGGTAACTAATGGTAACTATGAAACACTGCAAATAGTGGGATTATAATAGGATAAAAATCATCTACCAACTGGTTTCTAGGATTTCGCAACCATCCACAGTATCATACGCAAACTTACAGAAAAGGGTACCTTTTCTGATCATCAAACCTCTGGACATCCATGAATATGTCATACAACATGATATGACTAACATAGCCATGGTATAGATGGCCCATAGAAATAGATGGTTTACCGTTCTTAAAAATGGTGATTTTCCATGGCGAACTGTTAGTCATAACCAGGTGGTAAAATCTGTGGATATCCTAAATGATGAGAAACCCTCTAGATTTCTTTGGGTCGTCTAAGACTAAGACAAATCCATTGTGGCACCAAAAAAAGATGATTTCATAGAAATGTGTCCCTAAAGTTGTGGGCTTTCACCAATCAAACTGTTCACCGATCAAAATTGGGATGTTGAAGTGAATGGCTTACCACTAATTGTTCGGAAGTTCGACCTGCGAAAATGAGAATTGTTGCGCAGTAATGGAGGTTCTGCCCAACGGAAATGGGAGCAGCATGTTGGCCAGAAAAATGTGAATCTCCGAATATCAATTGAACAGTCTTAGACTCTTAGATGTCAAGAAATGTCAACAATGGCCATTTCCTCAACTGACTGACCCATTAAATTGCTATGTTCCCGTCCCATTGTTTCCGCTTTTTTCAAAATTATTTCCGCTGTATGTCCCGCATAAAATTGCTGATTGTGCCCCTTCTATTTGTCACTTAAATTCCCCCTCATATCCATCATGGGGAAATCCCGATTACCTGCCCATTATTCTGTTTCCCCACTATAATCCCATGAGATTCCCATGAAAACCGTTGCTTATACCTCTCATTTCCCCATGATTTCGTTCCTCCAATCCGTCCCGCTCCTGCGGCGCAAGTGACTACACCGCAGCACGTGATCGGCATCCACCTGGCGCCGAGATTTCGCCCCAAAATCCATGGTTTTTTGCCATGAAAATGATGGTGGTTGAGTTTCTAGCCCTCCGAAAAAATGATGGAGTTAGTGAGTTCGTCAGTTGGGATTACATGAAATTCCCAACTTTTCATGGAAAGTCATAAAATTCCATGGTTCCAAACCACCAACCAGATGAAAATGATGTTTTTGGAGGCATATTTAGCCATCAAAGCTGGGAAACCAGACTTGGATTCAACCCATTGGAGATGTCAACCATTTCATGGGCATCTCATTGGGATTCCACCAACTACGGATATATACTGGGGATAGGATTGTTAAATGGATGGTAAATGTCAACCCCAGATTAAAAATATACCCTGACTATTATGTGGGGGTACCCCCAACATAACAATAAGCCATACTATTAACATTGGCACCCCCCCATTCACAAACTGGGAGTTGATTCATCCTGGGTTCGATTATAGACGGCAAAATCATTGAGACCCTGGTTGTTGGATTTCGACCACCCAAAAATGCCATCGAACTTGCTTGAAGGGGCCCAAAAAATGTAGGGAAAAAATGTGGGACAACAAAAAAAACATTGATCCCACACATTTGTCCCACATATGTTTAGTGATCTGGATAAATTACAATGGTTCACTGCACTTAGTGGCTCGGCCAATTTGGGAATGATGTCGCGACGCGAGGTGCCCATATCTCTTATCCATGTTGACTATATCCACATCAATACACCTTGAATATTCTATGGATATTCCATGATATCCAGTTATCGCCCCAGTTAAGAGTTATCTTGAATAATACCCTCTGGTAAACTAACATAGCCATGGAAAATCACCATTTTTAATAGGTAAACTCAGGTAAACCATCTATAAATAGGCCATTTTCCATGGCTATGTTAAATTACCAGATGGTAATATTTTCAGGTGAATATTCCATACAGGGTGGGGCCTCCCAGCTTAAGTTAGTGTATCACCCCGAGAAACCACAGTTGACCAAGTTATTAAACCAACTTGGAAATCTAGGGGCCCCCACAGTGTATCCAGTCATATATTCATTATATACATGATAATCATATTATATAGATATGTATAGATATAGATATATGATGATGATGAAATATCAGGGAAAATCATCCGTATCCACTCAAAAAAAATGATTACTTGTTTGATCCTGAGATAGTATAACCTCCAGTCATATCCAGTCATAATGTGGTTTCTTCCTTGTTTTTTTGTGACAGCACAGCTTCGAAGCTGAAAAAAACGCACCTCTGAGTCGCAACCTTTGGCCTCCGCAAGGCCCGCAAGATGCCGGGTAGAATTCACCATATTTGGGATTCAACCCAAGCAGGAGAGAATGAGGAGATCACGGAGACATGGGGATTGTGCCAAGCATTAAATGGATATTCCAGGCGGAATGAAAGTGACAAGTTATGCGGGGTATCACTAACAATTATAGTATATATATGTATATATATATATATATATACATATTTTATGTGTATATATATATATATACATATTATATATATAATTGCAACATACTGGGGATAGTTTTTGGGGATCCAACGAGATATGCAAGCAACGTTATATGATATTATATCGTATTCGTTGGGATGAATTCATTGGGGAAAATGTAGAGATGTGGATTCAACATCCAGCATCCGATTTTCTGCGTTCAAGTTAAGAGAGGTGGAACTACACTGATGTTGGTCATTTTCTATTGTTCACATGGTACTGGGTGAAAACGTACCCGAGGCACGTTTTCAAATATCTGCTGAATGGATGGTTGTTTCTCCAAATAGGTAACAGCTTTTGACCCATCCCCATATGTCTTTGTTATCAAATGTAGTACTGACTTGCCCCCACTCACAAGGAATTTACATCAAAGAAGGGGGGAATAATATTCACCAACAAAAAGATGCATCAAATTTTGAGAGCATAGCAGTGGTAGTCAACCAGCCTTGAACCCTGGAAGCGGCAGAAACTCGGCTTTTCTGCCGCGCCCACACGGGGCCTCGTCTTCCAGATCAGCCCCTCAGGTGCAGAGGCCACTCAGGAAATGATAGAATGTTCTAGATATCATTCAAAATTTGACTAATGACTCATGGATCTGGGCGCGATATCAAATGTTTGTCAAATGTTTGTCAATGCTTTTGTGAGCATTTGAGTTTCATGCCACTAGTTGCCCATTGGAAATCAGCAGAATGAGGCTGTGTATCGTTCTTGAAGACCATGCTGCTTTGTCCACCATCCACCGGAAAAACGGCCTGAGACCATGCCTGTGACTGCTCCTCAGCATCTGGCTCAATCTCACCAATAGCTTGTAGCAGGGCAGCATGCTGACCATCAGAATCACCACCCCAATCTGCTGTCACCGCAGAATGAGGCTGTGTATCGTTCTTGAAGACCATGCTGCTTTGTCCACCATCAACCGGAAAAACGGCCTGAGACCATGCCTGTGACTGCTCCTCAGCATCTGGCTCAATCTCACCAATAGCTTGTAGCAGGGCAGCATGCTGACCATCAGAATCACCACCCCAATCTGCTGTCACCGCAGAATGAGGCTGTGTATCGTTCTTGAAGACCATGCTGCTTTGTCCACCATCAACCGGAAAAACGGCCTGAGACCCAGCCTGTGACTGCTCATCAGCATCTGGCTCAATCTCACCGATAGCTTGTAGCAGGGCAGCATGCTGACCATCAGAATTACCACCCCAATCTGCTGTCACCGCAGAATGAGGCTGTGTATCGTTCTTGAAGACCATGCTGCTTTGTCCACCATCAACCGGAAAAACGGCCTGAGACCATGCCTGTGACTGCTCCTCAGCATCTGGCTCAATCTCACCAATAGCTTGTAGCAGGGCAGCATGCTGACCATCAGAATCACCATCCCAATCTGCTGTCACCGCAGAATGAGGCTGTGTATTGTTGTTGAAGACCATGCGGCTTTGTCCACCATCAACCGGAAAAATGGCCTGAGACCATGCCTGTGACTGCTCCTCAGCATCTGGTTCAATCTCACCGATAGCTTGTAGCAGGGCAGCATGCTGACCATCAGAATCACCACCCCAATCTGCTGTCACCGCAGAATGAGGCTGTGTATCGTTCTTGAAGACCATACTGCTTTGTCCACCATCAACCGGAAAAACGGCCTGAGACCATGCCTGTGACTGCTCCTCAGCATCTGGTTCAATCTCACCTATAGCTTGTAGCAGGGCAGCATGCTGACCATCAGAATCACCACCCCAATCTGCTGTCACCGCAGAATGAGGCTGTGTATCGTTCTTGAAGACCATGCTGCTTTGTCCACCCTCAACCGGAAAAAAGGCCTGAGACCATGCCTGTGACTGCTCATCAGCATCTGGCTCAATCTCACCAATAGCTTGTAGCAGGGCAGCATGCTGACCATCAGAATCACCACCCCAATCTGCCATCACCGCAGAATGAGGCTGTGTATCGTTCTTGAAAACCATGCGGCTTTGTCCACCATCAACCGGAAAAACGGCCTGAGACCATGCCTGTGACTGCTCCTCAGCATCTGGCTCAATCTCACCAATAGCTTGTAGCAGGGCAGCATGCTGACCATCAGAATCACCACCCCAATCTGCCATCACCACAGAATGAGGCTGTGTATCGTTCTTGAAGACCATGCTGCTTTGTCCACCATCAACCGGAAAAATGGCCTGAGACCATGCCTGTGACTGCTCATCAGCATCTGGCTCAATTTCACCAATAGCTTGTAGCAGGGCAGCATGCTGACCATCAGAATCACCACCCCAATCTGCCGTCACCGCAGAATGAGGCTGTGTATCGTTCTTGAAGACCATGCTGCTTTGTCCACCATCAACCGGAAAAACGGCCCGAGACCATGCCTGTGACTGCTCCTCAGCATCTGGCTCAATCTCACCAATAGCTTGTAGCAGGGCAGCATGCTGACCATCAGAATCACCACCCCAATCTGCCGTCACCGCAGAATGAGGCTGTGTATTGTTGTTGAAGACCATGCGGCTTTGTCCACCATCAACCGGAAAAACGGCCTGAGACCATGCCTGTGACTGCTCCTCAGCATCTGGCTCAATCTCACCTATAGCTTGTAGCAGGGCAGCATGCTGACCATCAGAATCACCACCCCAATCTGCCGTGGCTGACTGAAAGCGCGGACCAAGAGGCCAAACTGGTCTTAGAAGCCCGTTCTTCAAGCTCTTCACTGCCAGGGTTGACAGCTTCCTAGTTGACGACCATCGGAGGGCCGCTCGCTTCACAGATACCAAGGCACAAGCCATGGCATGGAAATCCTACGCCTATGGTGTCTATGATGGAATTGGCTATCCAACCATTGGCCAACAAGACGTGCTGATGACAATACCACCAAAAGTATATCTTATATCTCATTTCCTTGTTCAATACTTCTGAATATCATCAAGAATAGCTAATAATACGTTTGGATAAGCATTTCAAGCAGGCTTCCAGCAGTAGTAAGTAGGATTACAAGCTCCCGTAGGTCGGTGTTTAACGTCTAACCCAGTTGCAAGAGAGTCCGCCCCTGGTCCAGAATGGACAGCAGCAACTGTTGAATCAATATATATTATACAATATATATATATATATATGCAGCATATGCATATGTATAAACATATATGAACACGATGGACTCTTCAACCAAGTTGCCAATTTGCTCCGTTTGAAAGTGAGCCAAGAAAATGCTTCCACCGGTCACAAAATTGCAGAAAGTGACTTCCTTCACCAAGAACTCTGCAACTCGATATGGCTCAAAACAGGGTGCTCGTTGAGATCTGGACAAAATTGCTCATTTTTGGGTACTAATACCCTCAAACGTGTCCTCAAACGTGGCCGGCTGGAAATTCCCCTAAATGGAGGTTTAAGTGGGGACATCATCAAAGTAACTGGACGACTTTCCAGCATGCCATGTTTGATTACCAGATGGTATGTATCCAATTGACTTGCCCATGTCTCTTGGTTAAAAAAAAAAAACATGAAATCCCAACCACCTCACCAGATCATTCCATTAAAATCATAGTGCTAATCTTACTGGATTGTCATAATGGTCCCTACTTGAAATAACCAAAATAGGGGATATATCCCATTGTTAGCAACACCCAACCATGATTTCTACCACGATTTCTACCACGATTTCTACCGATCTTTGCCCATAAAATCATGATTTCTCTTCATCGCCAAGGCACCAAGTTTGCCAAGTGATCAAACTACACCAGCGGGATGACCGATGACCACCCATTTACCGGTAACCCCCAGAAAAGTGTTGGATATTTTGGGATGAGGCTTTCCTAATCAATGGGGGTACCACGAAATCAACCATTTATGGAAAAAGAGGTACCCGGCCTGGTAAACGTTTACAAAAAACTGATGGGAAAGATCCACCATGCTTTTATATAATGGGTAAATCCACTATTTCGACTGGGCCATTTTCAATAGCTATGTTAGTTTACCAGAGGGTACTATTGATAAATGAGGCTTTCCTAATTTTGAAAAGGAGAGCACAAAGTCACAGGCTCATCAAAACTTGTCACTATCAATTTTGTGACCATTCAATGGGACTCTGTTTACCCATCTTTTCAAACAAACCAACTGTGATCTGCTTGGTGGTTGAGTTTCAACCCCTCTGAAAAATGATGGAGTGAACGTCAGTTGGGATTAGATGAAATTCCCAATTAATGATGGGGAAAGTCATAAAATTCCATGGTTCCAAACCACCAACCAGTGATGCAACTATCAGCACAGGGCATCCCATCTTTTGGCTGACCGTTTCTCCGTCCAAAAATGTCCACCGAACCATGGGGGCCTCATTGCCTGCGATGCATTGACACTTCGAAGGCCTGAAAAAGGTGTAACCCCCGGCAGTCAGCTCATGGAAAAACCATTTAGACTGTCTAGATGACACCTATTAGGGGTCATTAAATATATTAAATTAGGGTTTTTTAACCACCATCAGCCTGTAAGCCCCTATTTTTTTTATGTGGTTGATCGAGGTTTTGAAAATGTGGATAGGGGTTAACTATCTACATTTATGTATTATACATATGTTAATAACCCCCTATCCACATTTATAATATATATATATATATATAACTATATTTATTGATTTATTTATTTATTTATATTCATATTCATATTTATATTTATACTAAGCACACCATCAACACCTGTGTTTTTGGGGTAACTTTTTTTCAGCCGCTCGAGCTCCCCGACACCATGGCAAAGGGCAAATCGCCCCGGGCACCTTCGAAAGAGCGAGGCGAGGTTCATGGTTTCGACTGGGGGTGCAATTTTTGGACAGGAATGGCCAGAGGGAAATGGATGAACATGATGGGAAAATGATGGGAAAATGATGGGAAAATGGATGGGAAAATGGATGGAAAAAATTCATGAAAATGATATAATTTTGCTTGATAATGTTTGATTCATGGCAATTTTCAATGGTATTAACCGGCAGCCTCGATTTTCTCTATGTTGATCATCATGTTCCCTTCTACCTGCCTGGTACAACCCCTGGTCATTCACCACTGGGATATCCATCCATGGATTCGTGGCGATCCAAACAGCTCCAAGTTATGGTTTCGTTATGTACCATCTGGTTATTTTAATAGGTAAACCATGGAAAATCACCATTTTCAATAGGGTACCATTTTCATGGAAATCCCCATATGATATGACTGATTATGAATGATTATGATAGATTTACCCTCTGGTTATGACTAACAGTTCGCCATGGAAAGATCCACCATGTTCAAGTTCGGTAAACCATCTATTTCGATTAGGGCCATCGAAAAACCATGGCGAACTGTTAGTCATAACCAGAGGGTACATGAAATTTCCCCTAAGGAGCGTACACCCACGCAAGATTGCAGTCAAGGTTATGATTGCCCTGAAAAAATGGATTCGCATTGGTGAATTTAAGGGCTAAAAAAGCCACCAAAAAAATATCTATGACCTATAGTTGTAGCAACAACCTATAGTTGCAGTACGTTCCAGTTATAACCTATTGTTCTTGTAATAACCTACATTTATAGTAGTTGATAGTTATACTTACCATATCACCCGGCTGCGCCCCCCGGGTCGCCCGGCAGCCCTCGATCTCTCCTCCGGTCTTGGCGCGTTTCCTCGGCAGAATGATGGCACGCCCCTTGGGATCCTATGGTTGTCATATATCTATAATCATAATAATCATAATGGATCAATATACTATATCTAGTATCGGATTTAACAATCATTATCCCTTGTATATTATATGACGATAATAGTAATAAACTGTGATAGTGATAACCATAACCACAATAATAGTGATAACCATAATGATAAATAATGTCTGTAATTTTGATATCTACAAACTGTAATAATGATTTGATTAAACATAGTGATAATCAAAATAATCAAAATAATGATCGTCATCATCGTCATCATCGTCATCATCATGCTCTGCTAAGTTCAGAACTTGAAAAGAAGGGGCAAGATTCGCTCCTGAACAAAAAAGGCGGAAATGTGAGGGGGGAATTTGGGGAATGGATTTCCTCTGTGCATTGCGAGGCCATTTCAGCCAAATAAATTGGGGGTACCTGTATGGCTTGTGTCCAGCATATGCCGGGGAACAAGTGCCCTGAGTCGAGTCAGTGACGTTCCCCAACCGCTCCTGCGCATCCAAACATTGTGGACCTCAGCTAGTGCCAATGCTGATAAGAAAGAATCGTTGATGCCGTAATCACGAGTGATTGGAGAATGGAAAATGGTGATGATGATGATGATGATCATCATCATAATAATAATAATCATAATCATCATGATTCATGATTGTGATGATGACGGGTGCAGGGATAAAACGTACCTCCCTCTCGAAGAGCATCAGCTGACCGTCGGTCGGTCCCAGTCCCATGCGTACCTCGCCTTAGGCCTCCGGGCTTGCATGAGCAAGACGCACCAATTCTTTTCTGATTCCCTGGCACCTAAGGTCGGAAGGTCCAACTAACCATAAACAATTGGAGTGAATGGTTCGTGAATGGTTGGTGGAGTATATTAGTATATAACACACTCCTCTAAACATCTCTGAATGGGAGTTGTTCATCATCTTTCGAACCACTTGACTCGTTGAATGGGTACAGCTCAAAATGAGAAAGCAGCAACATAAAAGGCTGTCTCAGTGATTCTACGAGAAAAAATATGGACAGCACGGATTGATTAGTCATTCTTGAGTAAACCCTTGAACATGGACCATGCAGAAAAAGAGGGGTTGGAAGATGCTATACTTGCCATGTTAATCGGGTGATTTCTCCCATTTTCATATCTAGCTGGTCCACAAAAAATACGGAGACACCCCGCAACCGCAACGGAAAGAGCGTCTCATCATCCCTTCACGGATACCGAGAAATTCACAGTGATGTCCTCCCAAAATTGGGAATCTAACCCAGATGCTCCATCTATGGAAGATTTACCTACATTTACTCTCAAAATAACTCAAATGTAGGTAAATATTCCTTACATCATCTTACATCTTGAAGCTATTTTGAATATGTAATATTCCTCACATCATGTATTCCCTACATTCATGTATTTATATTCCCTACATGGAGGATATGGATCATGTTGAATACACTGGCGAAATCGCCGTTGATCTTGGGGGGTTGAGCTTCCCGGCGATTTGGCCAGCGGCTTGGAATACCTTGGCACAGCACACACGCTCCGGTGGCAGTTGACTCAAAGAAACCATGGAGTTAGAGACTGTAGAAATCATGTTAAATCCCAATTGAACACATTGGAAAAACCATTGTTAAATCATGTTAAATCACTCAAAGAAACCATTGTTAAATCATGTTAAATCCCAATGTTCACTTTCAGTTGGAAATTGTCCAAGTGAACATTGGGATTTAACATGATTTAACTAGCAAGCAGTGGCGATTTCACCAGCGAAAAGTGGTGAAATTCACCGGAAAATATGGGAACTTGGGAACTTAACATGGCTTAATCAACATTCACCTGAAAAGTTGGCCCCTTTAAGGGACGGTCCATTGGTAATATGCCATCATGACATCATGGCCGACGTGAGGTCCGACATTGGTTGTATATGTGTTGTCAAATTTTCAACTGGATAAAGTATCCAGTTTAGTATCCAATAATCTGGGTTACAAAGTGCAATTTGTATCCAATTTTTTTCACCTCGGTTTACACCCATTTTTTCCAAGCAAAATATGAGGATGTCAAAATGTTTGACCAATAGAAATGCCGTCAACACACCCACTTCGGAGTCTTTCTGGATCATCTTTAAAAGGAAAATCTCCTGGAAAGTTCTTGCAGCTAGGGTAGACTATGGGCATGTATGGGCATATAATTATATATATATGATATTGATAGATATATATATATATGATATTGATATATATGTATATATGTATATACAATGTAACCTGAAGATCTATAGAACATTATATAACCTGAAATCAAATTCTTCAACTTTGCATCTGGAACACGCGCGTGGCTCTACAGCCAAAAAGGACTTCCAGGGGTTATTCTACGAAGAGTGCATTACGAAGTTATCCACCTGTTCTCCAAGCGACCAAGAAACTAGTTCCAAACAAATAACCAAACAACCTATAATGGGTTATATGATGCTATATGTCCTTTTATTTATATTTATATGGATATATGATATATATATATATATTCCAGGTAAAAAATGAGTTCCTAAGTTGCCCCCCAAGGCCTCCTCCATGTGTTTCCTTTGCCAAAACACGTGTCCCAGTCGGACTGCGTCTTCCGCATCAGGGACTTCATGGCGGCCTCAAAACTCGGCCATGACTTTGGTTGGGATTTTCCCTGAAATAAACCATCCATAAAATGGGTAGCCCATTTATGGAAACCCCCATAGAATATTAGATTATGAATGATTATGATTTATGGTAGCCCATAAAATGGGAAATCCCCAGTCATGAACTCATATGATTATGAATGATTATGATAGATTATGAATGATTCTGAATCCCCATATGGATGGTTTATGGAAATTATGTATGATCATCTAATACCATATGGGGACCATATTGATGGAAATCCCCATATGATATGAATGATTATGAATGATTATGAATGATTATGAATGATTATGATAGATTTACCCTCTGGTTATGGCTAACATAGCCATGGAAAATCACCATTTTTATAGGTAGACCATCTATAAATGGGCCATTTTCCATGGCTATGTTAAATAACCAGAGGGTAAATCTATTTGCTCAGAGACAGGTTCCACAATCCAACATTAAGGGAGTAGATGGTTTATCGGATGCTATTGGTGAATCGCGCTGTCCAATCCTACCCGCCTCCCAAAGCCTAGCAGTTCAATCGTTTGTTTCCATTTCGCTCGGTTTTTCAGATTCAATCGTTTAACTGTCCCAGATTTCAGATCTTTCCAGGATGTTGCCGATTTTCATCGATTTTCCCATGATTTTCCCATGATTTTCCCATGATTTCCCCATGATTTCCCGGATGTTTTTCCAGGACGTCCCGCTGATTTGTCATGGATCCAAAAGTCATCTCCCCAACCACAGCTCAGGTTCCAACGAAGGTCTCGGACATATCCTGGAAGGCACTTTCCACCTGGCGTGCGGAAAAACACCAAAAAAAAAACGCTGGGATTTTCCACCGGGAATTTGATGGGAATTCATGGGATATGGTGGTTCTTTTGATGGTTGATGGATGGTTTTAATGGTTGGAACTTGTGGAGATTGAATGGTGATGCATAGGGACCAACAAGCCATGGCCCATGGCTAGTTCAATGATGATTTACCGGCTTTAAACATGGTAAAAATGTTCAATAGCTATGTTTAATTACCAAAGGCTGACTCCAAAAGGTAGGATGATATGGATTTTTCATGGTCGACTGAAATCGAACTAGTGGAAAATTGGGTGATAAATTATCACCCAACCAACGTAACTTGGGGGCACCACCCAACGTCTTGTTCTCAAATTCCATCCGGATGAATTTAAGGGAAACGCTTCACCGGAAACCCATGGGTTTGTTTACCATGAAATGTAAGGTTTTCGTCATCTAAATGACTGATACCTATGGGTTACCCAATCAATTTGTTTAAAGATGTATGATTTTCGCTGGAGGAAAGCCACGTGATGTGAGATCCACATCTACAATTCTCAGTCGTCAAGAAACGAGCAACCCTGATGAGCACATGGACATGGGAAAACATATCAAGTGTTTTGTGCATACCACTCTTTAGGACTGTTTCAAGTGTCGATCTTAAATGGAATTTCAATCATGAAGCGCTAGTGGAATATCGGTTTATAAATGGAGAGACCTATTTGGTCATGGTGGAGTGTTCCGACACGTCTGGATTCTTTCAGCTGAGAATGTCCGTTGCTTCCCATGTTTCTGCATAAAACCCAGCAATATACAGTATATCGCAAACTAAAGTTTACTAAAAAAAATCACAAAGCTCAATTTTCATCAACTGAAATCCATAGATGCCATAGATGCCATATTTGTCAAACGCTTCATGCCATTCCTTCCAGGTCTTCCCCGCCCAGCTGCGGCACCGCATCATTGGCGTGGTTGATGCGATCTTCCAGTCCAGGGTTCTCAGCACCACGGTTCGTGACCAGCAGCATTTCTGCAAGGTGCGTGAACATGACTCCAATAACTGTTGGATTGATGCTATGTATCATATATCATATATATACATATATGATTATACATATATACATATATGATTATATATATATTGTGATTTGTCCACTTGCCATACATGTTCCGCTAGTTCCTCCAGTGACATGTGCACCATCATCATGCACACCGTCATTTTTGGAGGCTCAGGATCTGAAACTCAGGGGGTTTATACGGCGTGTCCAAAAGAGCCATATCAGCGCTTGGGGAGCGCGGAGGAGAAGCCAGGGTGCTTCACAAGTGTAAACAATAGATCAGGTGGTCAAACAGGAAATCTACGGAAGGTCAGGAGGCCTATTCAATTCAGTTGAGATCAATTCATTCTGCCTAACTGGTCTTTGAAGGAATTCACAGAACTGCTATCAATTGAACATTGGTAGCGGAGCTTCGGCTCACCGTTGCCAGTGATCAGTGCACGTGCAACGGAAGTGAGAAAGATCCGGGATGCCTGACGGCGATGGATCCACCGGCAGTCTGCCGGCTGGAACTCAGAGTTTGCCCTGGCACTTGATCCCTTCTTTCAAACCTGGAGAGACTGATGTAAATGAATACACAAGACGACTGGAATTCTTAGCAAATATCTGGCCGAAGGAGCACCTCGCCCAACTAGCCCCTCGAGCTTGTTTACTTTGTGAAGGAACCGCCTTTGCCAAGGTTGTCCGAATTGACCCAGAGAAGCTGAAAACACAGACAGTGGATGGCATAAAACTGGTCGTGAAGACACTTGGTGGTGTGTGGGGTCAGTCGACCTTAGAACGCAAATATGAACGTTTTGAACGAGCCATTTTTGGAACAGTTCAGAAATCAGATGAGACCAATGCAAGCTACTTAGCAAGGCATGAGGTTCAGTATGAGGAGTTAATGAACATGGGAGCGACGCTGGAAGAGATGCGGGCGTACATCCTGATCCGTAACTCAGGCTTGTCGAGTGAGGACAAGAAACGGATCATCGTTGACTCTCAGGGCAACCTGGACTATGCTAAGGTGACAGAATCACTGCAGCTGCTGGGCTCACGATTTTTTGGTGAAGGCCAAACCGGAATTGGTTCCAAAGCAGGTGGCCGTACAAAAACGTATGACATCAACTATGTGGATGAGGGCGAACCGGAACATGAGGAACCGGATGAAACCGCCTTTTTCGGCAGTGAGATCTCGGAGGACACCGGACTGGAACATTTGCTGCAGGAAGGAGATGAAGACGCACTTCTGATTCAGCAATTTGAGGACTCATTGATCGAGTCCCTTCAGTCTGACAGTGAGATTGCAACATGCCTGAACACATACGTTGAAGCCAGAAAGCGGGTTTTGGAAAAAGTGAAGAGTCGTGGCTTCTGGAATCCAAAGGGTTCCAAAGGAAAAGGCAAAGGAAAGTTCAAAGGTGGCTTCCGAAACAAGTTCAGAAAGCCATTAGCCCAGAGGATCCTTGAGTCGACCTGCCGAATTTGTAATCAGCCAGGTCACTGGAAAGCCGAGTGCCCCTTGCGCCAAAAGGGCACAGGTGGGAATTCTTCCGGAGGGTCCGCAGCCTTTGCCGGAGTCGCCATGGCTCATGATGTCCTGACCGCATGTTCGCAGTCCACAGATGCAGCCAATGACGATGAGCCTCCTACCCATGCCGTGCCTTTTGTCGCCGAAGAGTCTTGTCTAATGGTTTGGGATAAGATAAATGGGGATAAATGGGGTCATAGTCATGGTAGTCAGGGTTCATGGAAAAATGTGCTGATCCATCGCTTGCAAGCAGTTCTCAGGAAGATGAATGATGGCCGAACTTCTGAGAAGACCGCCGTTCCTAACCCCCTGAGATCAAAGCATGTAGCAACCGAGAACAGCCTCTTTCCAAAACTGTCCGAAGAGACGGTCCAATTTGCATCACATGGAACACATGGCATTGTTGACTTAGGTGCCAGCATGTCAGTGATAGGTGAACAACAGTTTCAGGACCTGTGTAGGGAGCTCCCCAAACATGTCAAAAGATCGATGCAGGAAGCCTCGTGTTCCGTGAGTTTTCGATTTGGCAATGATAGCACAGTGGTCGGTCGCCGTTCGGTCTTTTTTCCAGTTGGCTCTAAGTGGATTAAAGTTGTCATTGTCCCGACCAATACACCTTTCCTGATCGCCAATAGTGTTTTCAGAGCCTTGGGAGCTGTCATCGATGTAGCCAACCAGAGCATCCAGTTCAAAGAGCTTGGAAAGACCGTGCCAATCCGGCTCACCGACCGGAAACTCTTTCGCTTGGACCTGTTGGATCTTTTGCAAAACCATAGTGAGGGGGGAGTGAAGAAGTCATGTTCATGTCATGTCAAAATCAGAAAGGTCATCAGGTCGGAGGTCCAAAATCAACCATGAAACCCATGATCTCACCGGAAAGCTCTGAGCATGTATCAACACAGGTCGATTCAACAGTGAGTGAAAGCCGTGAACCATGTCAGATCGACCAGCAATCCAGGCTCAGTTGTGCCCTGCCCGAATCGAGCACCAAAGCCGTCACCAGTGAATCAAATGTCGTCCAGTGCTTCGGAGATGAAATTCGACGACCTGGCCGATCGCCTCAGACGCCTCAGTGTGACCGAGAAACACTCAGAGGCCGAGATCAACATGGTCATGGGCATGACCCTGGAGGAACTCCAACAGGAGAAAGTCACGTTCGGCAAAGCCCATGTGGGCAAGACTTTTGCCGAGATGGCCCTGGAAACCAAGTACCTCACGTGGTTCACCGAGACGTTCCGCCACAGCAGAAAGATCGAACATGTCAAGCTGTTACGTTTTGTACAGCTCCATCTGGAACAGATCGAGACGGCACCGCCTGCCCCATCTCTGACCACGATGCGGCCGAAGGCCAAGGCCAAGATGCCTCCCTCGGCACCGTTGCAGCCCATCGACCTGGAACTGGAAGAAGAAGGGGACTCGTGGGATCCGATCCACGAGGAGAGCGAGATGATGAACTTACGTCTCCAAGATCGCATGAACCAGATGGAAGTGGTGATGCAAGAAGTTCTCGGACATCTGAGGCGCACGGCTGGAGAGAACCTCAACTGAGTCCCGAAGCCGAGACCGGTCAGACTGCCAGCCCAAGCCTCATAGCCGATCTGTGTGAAGCATGGCACAATATCAACCTCCAAGAGTATTTGGATCCTGTGGATGTTTTTGGGGATAAAGATGTAGGGGATGTCATCTTTCATACCAGGGAAACCAATTGGGTAGCCCAGGAAATGTGGGAGCATTTTGCTCAGAAGGGAATTTTTCCCAACTCACCTATGCTGAAACAGTGCCGTGCTGACCTCTTTGAAGTCTACTGCAGTCACGACAGTCAGTTGACCAAACAGGCACAGAACCAGCGGCTATGGGCCGAAAGGCATTGCCTCAGCGATGGCGATCTGACCTTGCCCGAGGGTCGAAAGAGACTGTATGAGAGATTGCTGCTGTTGCGCCCGCGTAACATCTGGCTGTCACCTAAGTGCAAAGCCTGGTGCAAGTGGAATGAGTTCAACCGTAGCCGAAGTCCTGAACTTGCCGCCAAAATCATGCAAGATAGGGAAAGTGACATGGTCCATCTCCTTTTGTGTGATGCATTGTTTCAATTCCAGACTTGTCGATCACCAGACTGCCATGCACACCTGGAACAGCCGTCAGGTTCCCAAATGCTGTACCAGGAAGAGATGTCAGCAATTTTGGAGCAATCATACATAGGTAGATGTGACATGTGCCAAGCAGGTCGTTTGCAACATCCGGAAACACAGAAACCTCTGCGAAAAAGGACTCAAGTTGTGACCACATCACAAATCATGTACCGTAGGATCGAGACACTGCAATGCGACCACATGCATGAGCATGACACAGTTGCAGGGTCATGTAGACATCCACAACTCGGTAGGATCCTTGTGTCACAATTTTCGGAGTTATACACCAGAGCATTTGCAGAGAAAGTGATCCGGTGTTTGCAGTGTAGCCGCAATGTTGGAGAACGCAACCGGACTCCAACTGAGTTTGCCATGGTCACCAGACCCGCCGAGAATGAGGACAGTCCCAACATGCCCTCTCACAAGTGCCGACGCATCGGGGAGAAGCAAGCGCCGTCTGTAGCTTACCAACAGCTTCAGGAACAACAGAAATTGGAGAAGATGGTTCAATGTGCCATGAAGACAGCCCCGAAAGTAGGGAAACAGTTCTTTATGGAAGGGGAACTTGTCCAGGAAGTCCAAAAGGGTTTCCCCGACATGAGAATAGTTGGAGTTGAGACATGTAAGGGCGCAGATCGTTGCAGACCTCCTCCTAAAGAAATCTCATCCCAAAAAGCTCCTTTCCGTAAAACCATGGGAGTCCATCGACAAACATCACAGGTGTTTTGTGATGAAACATGGGAAGAGTGGTCTCTGTTGAAGCGAAAACAATTGATCCGTAACTGCCAACCTGCAAGATTGCTCATTACGGTTTTTGCACAGTCCCTGAAGCCGGCGGCCAGTGATGCGATGGGCGAGCCTGGCAGCTCTTCGAGCACGATCCCAAGAGCCTCTGACGACTCTTCCAAAAGGATCCGCCTGACTGAGCCTGAACCTAATGAAACTGTTCAGCCGGAACAGAAACCTTTGCATGTCCAAAGCCCAGATCCTGAGCCCTCGGGAGTGAGAGCAGAGCATGGTCCCAAGTTTATGCAACTGAATGCAGAACAGCGACAACAGCTTATCCGAATGCATAATAACTTAGGTCACCCTGACTCCACCCTGTTAGGCAATGTCCTGAAAGATCAGAAGTGGCCCCCAGAAGCCATTGAAGGGATCAAAGACATGCACTGCTCAGCCTGCTTCGAACGCCAGAAGCCTCGCTTAGCACGCCCCAGCCATTTGGGAGAAACCCGACAGTTCAATGACGTGGTGGCGATTGACTCCATCAAGTGGACAAATGCCCAGGGACAACACTACTTATTTTATCACATCATTGACACCAGTTCTAACTATCATGTTGCCATTCCATGTGAACACAGACCAAATTCAGAACAACTATCCCAACTATTCACCAAATACTGGATCAACTGGGCCGGGCCTCCCAAGATGCTGCTTCACGATAGTGCTGGAGAATTTTGCAGTGAAGAATTTGCCAGGTACCTTCAGGGTTATGATATTCGAAGTAGTACCATCCCTGCCGAGGCACATTGGCAGCTTGGCCGCTGCGAGAGACATGGTGCAATTCTCCAAGCGATGCTGGAAAAATGGCAGGTTCAACACCCTATCAGTTGTTTTTCCGACTTTGAGACGGCTCTGTCCCATAATCTAGCGGCCAAGAACAGCCTTTCCAGACACAGAGGATACAGTCCCGAAATCCTAGTCCTGGGAAAGTCTCGACACGTTCCTGCATGCAACACAAATGAAGAAGTAGGCCCTGCCGATTGGTTAGCTGACAATGCCAGCAATTCGAGCTCACACACACCTGATGCTGAGGTCCAATCTTTCATAAAAAACCTGACCATGAGAGAACAAGCACGAATTGCATTTGTCAAAGCCGACTATGACATGAAGCTCCGTAGATCACTGTTGCGTCGGAGCCGCCCCGACAGAGGCCAGTTCCTACCCAACCAGTGGGTCATGTATTGGCGATCCGGAAAAGGAGCATTGCCGGGTTCATGGCATGGGCCTGCCCGAGTGATCATGCCGGAAAGCCAAGGAGTTGTTTGGGTGTCCCATCAAAGCAGGTTATATCGATGTGCCCCTGAACACCTGCGGAACTTGTCACAGAGGGAATCTGAAATTCCAGAAGTGAAAGCCACACCGGAGCCACCTCCATTCCCTCAAGCGATGGGTACCGGTGTTTTCCAATATCAAGACCTCACCTCACAAAATCTCAGTAACTCCAATGGGTCCCACAATAATGCACCAAATCCAACACAACTCCCAGAAATTGTTCCCAATCAATCACCAAGCCAAGCCACCACTATGAATGCCAACTTACCCACTAATGTTGACCCATCTCATCACTCATCCCCCGGAAATCATGAAGAAGTACAGCCCGATGCCGAGCCTGATGCTCACAGCCAATCATCCCAGCAAGATCCGAACATCCACCATCATGACCCCAATCACCATAACTCAACGCCACCAACATTCGAGAACTTGCCTAGTACCATTCCCCATGGAGGTATCGATGTTGCACTTCCAGACACAGATGAAGGGGAAGACAGCCTTCTTGCCACAAAAGTGACACATGACTATTGGGAAATTTACAAAGGGAAGGTAATTCGCCACCATATCATTCCCCGAATAAAGATGTTCAATCCAGTGTGCATAGAAGATGTTCCGGTACCCCTGGAGTGGTTGGAATCAGAGAGACAGACTTATGTGACACCCAAGTCTGGCCCGTGCTGGGAACATCGTAATGAATGGCGCGGCAACATCCTAGGCCACCAAAGTTTGCCGATTAGCTGGACCGGGCGAACAGAGTTCGACATTGGTTCTACATTTCACTCACAATGTCCAACACAACAACAATATATCAACTTGTGTGAAGAATCCCCAAGAAAGGGGTATGAAATGAGCATATTGTTGGAAACCCATGATGTAGAGCAATGTGCCCGTCAAGAACTACATGAACAGGTAGCCTTTCTCGTGTCCAGTGCAAAGAAACAAAGAGCTGAAGTCAAAGAACGAGACCTGACTCCGAGCGATCGCCTGTTGCTCCAAAGTGCGAAGGCCAAGGAGATATCCTCTTGGTTATCCACCGAAACAGTGCGCCGAATAGCTCGAAGCCAAATCCCAGAAGAACAAATCCTCCGATCCCGTTGGGTCTTGACTTGGAAGCCTAGAGATGGAAATGATCCCATGAAAATCAATAAAGGGGATGAAATGATTAACAGTCATAAGCCGAAAGCCCGTTTGGTTATTTTAGGTTTCGAAGACCCCCAAATTGAGAATCTTGCCAGAGATTCCCCAACACTGGGAAAAGACTCTCGAACCCTGATTTTCCAATATGCAGCTTCGGCGAAGTGGCGCATCCGTAGCTTCGATGTCCAGACAGCCTTCCTGAGGGGCAGCCGCTCCGACGGACGTATTCTTGGCATGGAGCCTCCTGTGGAAATGCGCCATCAAATGAAACTTCAACCCTGGGAATGTTGTGAACTTTTGAAATCGGCATATGGTTTATGTAACGCTCCATTGCTATGGTACGAAGAGTTGAAGGGTGCCCTATTGAACCTTGGTTTCCAAATCAGTCCGTTGGACCCATGTCTTTTCGTCCTTCCCAAAAAGGGTCAAAAGGGGATTCATGGACTAGTAGGGATTCATGTCGATGATGGACTTGGAGCAGGCGACCAGGTCTTTGATGAGGCAATCCGAAAACTGGAAACGAAATATCCATTTGGAAGCACTCACCATTCCGACTTTCAGTTCACTGGTATCCATGTTCACCAAAACTGGGATGGGAGCATTGAACTGGACCAAACAAAATATGTGGAGGACATTCCTCACATAGAAGTTCCAAGAGATCGACGCCAAACACAAGATAGCTTAGTGAGCGAGAGTGAACGCCAATCACTTCGTGGCTTAGTGGGCAGCCTCCAATACGCTGCAACAAACACTCGACCCGACATATCAGCAAAACTAAGTCTATTACAGGCCAAGATCAACAGCGCATGTGTGAAAGACTTGTTGGAAGCCAACAAACTATTGACGGAAGCCAAACACCACAAGGAGACCAAGATCACCATCAAAAGTATTCCACTTGAAGACATTCGTTTTGTCTCATTTTCCGATGCAGCTTTTGCCAATCGAGCGAACGCCCAATCCCAAAAGGGTTGTCTCATTCTTGCGGCATCTAAGAACATAGGAGAATGGAAAGCCAGCGATGTCAGTCCTCTTATATGGTATTCTCGAAAGATAGCTCGCGTAGTTGGTAGTACGTTAGCTTCAGAAGCCTATGCTTTGAGCGGATCAGTGGATTTACTGTCTTGGCTGCGAATTCAATGGTCATGGATATGCCAACCAAGTCATGAATGGAAGGACCCTGAAAAATGTTTGTCAACTAGCCCTGAGGCTTACGCTGTGGTGGACTGCAAGAGTTTGTACGATTTAATACAGAAGACAACCATTCCTCAGTGTCAAGAATATCGCACTACGTTGGAGGCCCTGATTATCAAAGACCGCATGAAGGAAGGTGTCAGAATTAAGTGGGTACACTCTGCAGCCCAACTGGCAGACAGCTTGACGAAACATATGGACTGTTCAGTGCTGCGTGACTTCCTAGCCAAAGGCAAATGCATCATCCACGATGTGGATGCAGTTCTCCAAGCTCGAGCAGACAAACGCTCCAAGAAGATGTGGATGAATCAAGAGGGACTGGAACAGCAAGAAAAGTGGGATGATACAACTGTATCCTAATATCACTTGCAAGCTTCTGTATATAGATTAATAATTAAGAGTTTTATAATTTTTGACGAGTGTGATTTGTCCACTTGCCATACATGTTCCGCTAGTTCCTCCAGTGACATGTGCACCATCATCATGCACACCGTCATTTTTGGAGGCTCAGGATCTGAAACTCAGGGGGTTTATACGGCGTGTCCAAAAGAGCCATATCAGCGCTTGGGGAGCGCGGAGGAGAAGCCAGGGTGCTTCACAAGTGTAAACAATAGATCAGGTGGTCAAACAGGAAATCTACGGAAGGTCAGGAGGCCTATTCAATTCAGTTGAGATCAATTCATTCTGCCTAACTGGTCTTTGAAGGAATTCACAGAACTGCTATCAATTGAACAATATATATATATGTATGATTATATATGTAGATAATATATATAATGTATCTATAGTTATGTACTATGGTTGATACTATGGTTGGGTTGATGGCAGATATATATATATATATACATAATTTAACTTGATGGAGGTTATAAACCTACCGGAAGGCCTCCACCACTGGGCTGCCCAACGTAAATCTCCACAGGATCTGGCCTCAGATCTGGAGAATTCCCAGTTGGCTGATGTGAAAATTCATTGGGACCTTGACTAACCCTGGATGTTTCATGGAAAATCATGGACCTTTTTTTGGGGGTCAAAAATGCTACAAAGTGGGGCCCCCGTTTACGATAGCGTTCAGTTGGTTTAACCTATAACTATAGTATTCATGGGGTTTATAGACCATCTAACATCACTGGGGGGCCCCACATTGTAAGGAATGGAAAAGCATTGTTCCCCAAACCCGGTAAAATATAGAGGTGGTGACATATGGTAAATTGACCAAGGTTCCACCTTTTTCAGTGATTCAAGTGGCTATGACTTTCCCATACTTTACCACTTCTCAAAGGCCCCCGAAGGGCCAAGGCACGGAAAGACGTAGTTGTAAGCGGAGTGTACCACTCCCATGGCCCCTGAAACTGCGCCTTGGGTGACATGTCCAAAACGCGCAGCCCAAAGGGTCACAGCTACACTACCATGAACTCGTCCGTTTCCAGTTACCCTCTGGTTATGTCAAAATAGCTATTGAAAATGGCCATTAATAGTGGATTTTCCCATTAAAAATGGTGATTTTCCATAGCTACGTTAAATTACCAGAGGGTACTACTGTGTGTATAGTGATGTATAGTGTGTCTATGCCTATGTAAATGCTGCTGTGTTTCGAAAGGAATGTCTGGCAATGGCAAAGCATAGAAGAGCGACATATGGTGATGTGGTATTGAGTACATACCGGTATCCGCTGCGAAAAATGCAATGGTCAGTGCCAAATGTCGCCAAATATCACCAAATGTCTCAAAATGTCTCAAAATCTGGGACAGGGGGGTTGAGCATCATGACTTGTTCATCCCTTGTAAACAGCAGTTACAAGGTGGTGCCCCATAGTTAGCTAAGTTGGTTTATAACTCCCATAACTATGGTTTATGGCAGATATAACTATAGTTAATGGGGTTTATAAACCAACTTATAACTGGGTGGCACCACCTTGTAAAGATAGTTTATGCATAGTTTCAACCCCAAGAATGCTATCCCGGTGAAAAAATCCTGCCTTTCCCAGCACAACTGAGAGCCCCCACACAGATCTTTGGCCACAAGGTGCCACAACAAGAATCAATGCATTGGATGAAGTTGGTACAAAGTGGGGCCCCCCAACGATAGCGTTCAGTTGGTGCAAATAACTCCAATAACTATGGTTCATGGTACCTATAACTATAGTAGTCATGGGGGTTATAAACCATCTAACATCACTGGGGGGCCCACATTGTATGGTTTAGAAATAGAATGAATCGGACCTGTAAACCAACCATTTTCAGAGACACACAAGATCTGAGTTAAAAACTTAGTCGCTTGTCTCTGCGTCATGGAAAAATTGCAAACCTTTGCGCCTGAACGGAAGTGCTTGATAGTGCTCGCATCTAGCAGATGGCTTACTGATTGGCCTCAGAAATGGATAAAAAATGCTGCTAACAAAGTTGAGGACAAAGCAAAACACATAATGTGTGTTTTCTAAGACAACAAATCATGTGTTCCCACCAGGTGTCTTTAGCAGATGGCTGCGGTATTCACCCAATCAACCCAGCCATGATCATGTGCCGCCTAGGCTTGGTTGCTCCAGGGGTCCTAGTGAAAAAAACGGAAAATGTTGGGAGATCTTGCCTGGAAGCTAGAAGCTTCTCAGCATTCATTGATTTCAAGTGATGCTGGAACCAAACAAAAATGTTCTCCCCATCATTTTCCATATGTTCCCATGATTAAAAAACCTTAGTTTCCCTTAATTTTCCCTATGTTTTAATCATTAATAATGGATAGTTCCCCATGTGTTAATCATTAATAATGGATAATATCCTATATTCATATTATTTTAATTTTCATTAATAATGGATAATCATATCCAATCATTAATAATGAATGTTTCCCCTGAATTTCCCCGGATTTTCCAAACCCTTCAGCCTGCCAGCAGGTGATCTGCCAAATGAAGGCGGAAGAGTCGAAGCCAGGGAAGATCAAGGCTGCGAAGGGTTCTTCCTCGGTTTTTTCTATGGGAATCATGGTTTAACCACCAACAATGGTTCATAGGGATTTATAGGATTAATTTTGGGATTAATATAGGGATTAATATAGGGATTAATATAGGGATTATAGGATTATTATTATCAATATCTATGTTTGGGATTTATAGGGAAAAAAGAGGGCATATAGCGGGATAACAATGGTTAATAAATGGCTAAAATATGCTACTATGGTGATTAGTGGTCAGTAATGATTACTCATAGGGGAGTTCAAGTGGAAAAACCCTGGTGATTTGATACTTTGGTGATGTTTTGATTGTGAGTCTAGGGTGATTCTTATACTGAATCATTGGTGATTTTTTAGCGAACAATCACTGTGATTCAACCATCAAAAACGTGGCATCAACTCAACAAAATGGATACTTAAGCCGCAAACCCAGAGATCTACGAGCAGGAAGGATAGAAGGGAAAATTACGATGAATATTCTGTAGATGTGTGGGGATGTAGAAATAGAGCCAGTGAAATGACACAAAACGTGGAATACTAACAGGCAAATGTACAGAGTCTAACCAAATATGGGTATGTCTGAAAATGGGGTATATTCCCAATTATAGCCATTTAATAGGGATAATGATCATTAACCATTGGGTGTAGGGGTACACTATTTTCAGACAAACCCCATATAAAACCAGGAGTAAAAAATCTGCGAAAGTTCAACTCAAAGCCGCAAGAACTTGGGGGAAATCCATCAAAAGTAGACAGACAGACGGTCGACCCCCCGACAGTCCCAAGTCGACCTGCTTTGCAAACCACGGCATTGCCGATGCCGGCGTTCTTTTCAATTGGATCATCCAAATGCGTTGCGCAACGCATTTGGTCCATGTTCAACCCAAATGTGTAGATTTCAAATCGTTGGTTCCCATTCGTCTTCAGGATTTCCCTTTTAAACCAATAGATTTCGCAAGTAGACATGGATCCAAAGACAAATCAAACTCTGGTTCCAACGGTTTCCATTCCCAAACTACTAGTCTCGGATGGAGTTTATCACCAATCATCATCATCATCATCATCATGTTTCATGCTTAAATCACCATAATAAATCACCAAAATCAGCAGAAATCCACCATTTTTTCATGGTGAAATCTGCGCGTGCCTCCTGAAGTCCAGGTGGAAGCATTGCTGCAGGCATCGGCGGCATCTGGCGCCAGTAACGTTGGATGGGAATGTTCAACATGTTACACTAAAAAAAACACACATGGAAATGCTACATAACATAGAATGTGACATGTGATAGAAATAATGTAGGTGTCTAGCTATATATTGTTTTTTTGACATCAATTACAAGATAGAAATCAACTAGCAGAAATGAGGACAAGGTGTTTCCAACTTATAGAATAAATAGCTTGCGGGTACTGGTTATCACTGTGCTTACCAAGCCACTTACTAGTTGGGATGGTCACAGCAATATCCGGGACTGTTGTATGGCAGTTCATCCATACTGGAAAACTGTCATGTTAGTTCACTTTACCAGAAAAATCAATGGCATTTTCCGGAAAACTAAACATCGTCTAACAAAAATCGTTGGGTGATGGAAGAAAAGAATCGAAGAACCATAGGTTTCCTGGCAAGAATCTTGAGATTGGTTCTGCTGCTTGAGGGTTTCCCATCGACGTGACCAGGCACCTTTGAGAAAGACAAGAGAAACACACCATCAAAATAGTAGGGATTGTAATGCTTTATATATAATTGTATATACACATACTGTGTGTATATATATATATACACTGTATGTATACATATTATATTATATTATATTATATATATATACATATACATATGTATGTATAATCTGAATATGCAATAATGTATACGTATCCTTTTAGGGATCAACTGGTCGCTGGCTTCATCCCAAACCGGCTGGCAGCGCGGGCGGCACCGCCGCAACACTCACGCCGGCCTGGCGACGTTGTTTCTGAGGGAAAGGTCATTGGATTGGTTGGGTTTTGACCATGAAACCATGGATTTTTACCATGAAATGTGGCTTTGATAGGGAAATTGGACAGGTTTGGGAAAATGTTCACCGGGTTTCCCACTGTTTTTTACCATGATAGGGGAAGGGCTTACATCACCACCACCAGGCGTCCCAACGAGGCCGCTCCAAGGGGAGAGCAACGCTAAAGGCGCCTGGCGGATCGGTTCCACGTCGATTTGTTGGGAGATTGAATTTCACCAATGGGATCGAGATGATGCTGAATTCTGTGTTTGCCCAGCAATGTATATACATAATTAATATATATATATTAATGTATGGTATAATATACCATAATCATCCCGCCGGGTTGGAAATGGGCTGAGTAAAAACAGCATTTTCATGTGACTGGCAAGAAGTCAATCATGCGTTTCGCAGTGTTTCTTCATGTTTTTATGTTGTCCATGAAGGTCAATTCTATTGTGATTTGGAATTTTCATTGGGATTTACTATATATAGTTGACATGTCGGAGTGCGAAAAGGTTCCTTTTGGGAAGTCAGCGTGCCCAAAACCTCAGCGGCAGCCATTTTTTCCGGTGATCTCTACATCTTCGCTAAGTACGCACCTGTTTTCTCCAACAGGGCTTTTCCAACTACATTTGCATGACGTATGTGCGCACGTGCAAGTGAACGTGCCGTGGCGTAACATCATGGGAGTGCGCAAGTACGTGAGCGTTATTACCCCACCAAACCCCACCTCACCCCACCCCTGCGTGATGTGACACATCTTCAACGTAGCATCACGTATGTGCGCACGTGCAAGTGAACGTGCCGTGGCGTAACATCATGGGAGTGCGCAAGTACGTGAACGTTATTGCCCCACCCCACCCCACCCCAAGGAACATATAAAAAAATGCCTAAAACGCTCGGACGGTTTTCAACCCGTAGGCATAAACATATATGGTATATAATGATATGAATATACAGCATTATATACCATCATTTACCCATAATATACCCAATTTTATGGCAAATGTCATGAGGAAACTGATGACTAACCAGTGGATTTGGTGTATTTGGAAACTGCCAACTCTGGGCGCCTGCAGAGCCGCAGGCAACAACGCCTGCAGAATCCAGGGGCGCTTTCGGAGAAGTTGTCACAAGCATCCCAACAAAGATATGGGTGGTTTCAATAATGTCAATATGTTTTCATCATCATCATCATCATCATCATCATCATATATATATATATACATATGCACATGTGGTTTCCATATTAGTTAGTGTCCGCTAGGTCTACTGTACAACTTGTTGTGCTTCGTTGCCATGTGTTGGCCATCCCAAACTTGGATGGTCCCGTCCATTTCTCGAGCAAATGAAGCAATCTCTGAGACGTCCCTGGTTGATTGGGAGATGTCATGAAAACACTGGAGTTTCAGGGAAAAATCATGGAAAAGCGACGGGAAACCATGGTTTCTACCTTTGTTCATGTAGAGATTTCATGTATGTCTTCCCAAAAAAAAACTTCGACATTTTTTTTTGTGCTGCCGAAGGCGGTTCTTCTGATCCCTATGGATCATGGCACTCAGTAGCTAAAGTTGATATACCCGATACGGTTATTTAGCTATCAAGTCCCATGTCCCTTAAAAAAATAGATGATTTATGACCATTTATCATTTTCACTATTTTCATGAAATAACCATTTAGCTATTTAGCCATGTTATTTAGTAGCTGCAGAATCTCCATTTATCACTTGGCGATTAGAAATGGAGATTCTGCAGCTCGCGCATCGTTAGCTGACCAGCTGACCTACTGCCCAGCTGACCGAAAGCTCGCCGCCTCTTTCGCTGCTTGCATCCATCGTTCCCTGACGCAAAATGTCACGGAGAATTCATTGGATGCATCGATGGGCCTCGATCCTTTTGGGACCCTGCGGTACTTTAACGTAACTATGAAGAAATGGATCATTTATAGATGATTTTTAAGTATCAAAAGTTGATATGTCGTTAAATTTCCATGGTGTTACTCAATTTGTTTCGGAAATGGAACATCTCCCGGTGAATTCCAAATTGACCCATTTCTGTCGGATCATACTATAACTAAGTGATTGTATGTTGGTGAGTCGTCCGTAGGAGCTACCCATGAATCCTACCCCGCGGCCGTGGATGGTCCTGGATAAATCAATGGATCCATCATCCAGCATGTGAAATAACAACTGTTCATGGTGGATATACCATCTGGTTATGACTAACATAGCCATGGAAAATCCCTGATAAATGGAGGTTTCTAGCTGGGAAATTCATCTATTTCTATGGGCCATTTTCCATGGCTATGTTAAATAACCAGAGGGTAATTCTCAAGGAACCATCTTGGGGGGGTTCATAATCAGCGATGCAGTCTCACATATTCCGATGTGCTGTTGATTCTACTCCAATTTCTTGCTGGCATCAATGCCCATCTATGAGTGTTTCACATAAGGACGATGACATTGAAGGGCTCCTCTGAAAATAGGGATATGTCCCAAAAATATTGATCGTTTAAAACCTCCTTTTCCCCATGAAAAATGTGGCCATGGCCATTGCTGCCCGACCTTGAGCGTTCTTCCTCCAGTTTCCTGCGTTAAATGCAGGGATTTATGGGGATTCAACCGAAAACAATAGGGATGTATGGGGAGCATCAGTGTTATAGACTGGAACCCATGTTGCCCCAGGTGGTATTCACAGCTGGGAAATCCCCGTCCCCGATGGAGCTGATGACATTAGAGGCTATCAGCATCAAGGCGCTTGAAAAACCTGTTTTTTTTCGATGCATTCATGTTGTTTAGAAGAATTGCACAAGCAATATCACAATAGAACCACCCTTCACATAACGGATACAACATGATACAACCACTAATTTCTGAACCAGCAACAAGACTGAAGGTCTTGTAAAAGTCTTCAAAAGGAACAGGGCTGCATCCAAAATTGGTTCAAGGACCCCCTTTCCAGTGGCCTCTCCACAGCCCAAACCAGCCATCAAAGTCGCGTGTTTCACGACGTTTCCCCACCACAGTCGAAGTTGGGGGATGGCTTTTGTTGAAAAGCCTATGTTTAAATTTCAAGAGTTCTCATCGTTTACCAGGAAGCATCCAGTGTCTATCCGCCATGGGTCAGTTTATCGGCACCTTTGGGTACCTAAAGTACCTTTGTTGCTCGTCTTTAGATAATTACTCTGCCCAAAAAAAATCGCTGTGTAGGTGAGGATATCCCCATTTATAGCAAAAGATTGGAGCAGCAAAGTAGCCAAGTGCCATGTTTGGCCCAAAGAGAGGTGGGAAATGTCAAATATCTCGCAGACATCATCTTGCCCAGTCGAGTTTGGGTGTCCCAAAAAGTCATTGTTGGGCCCCAAATCCATCCAAATCCAAGTGTTGGCCTTGTCCAAGAATGAGACAAACCCCAGTTCAAAGCCTCATGTTCACATTTTTATTGGGATTCGATCCCATTCTTGGACTAACCAAAGTATCATCTTCAGCTGCATATCCCCCTGATATCCCAATATCCCAAATGCATTTGTGAAATCTGCGGTCCGACCGCCCGACCTGGACTCGTCCGCTGAGTCGACCAAGACGACCTTTTTCGGGACGAACTCATGCCATGATCTCCCCAAGGGAAAATGGGTGGGATTAAAGTCCGCCAGCAAAAGAAAACTGGGTTTATAGTGGGTTTATAGTTTTGGTTTATGTTTTTCAACTTTAATCCTATAAAGTTTTTCAACGAAGTTGATGTTCGTCCAAAACTATAAACTCAAGAGCCACAAAAAAACGACACTGATCGATAGAACTGCAAGGATGTCCTACAAATAACCTGGGGTCGCTTGGCAACAATTCTTCGACCCATCTCCCAAGCCCTCTGGAAGCCTCAGTACGTTCCAGAATTCTGCTGGCAGCTTTGGAAGCTTTGCAGTGCAATGCCTGCGAGCAGAACGTCTGAGAATGCTGAAACATGCGATCTATCTGAAAGAATTGAGTGATTTAGTGATGATTGAGTATGGAAAATATGGTGAGAAAAGATACAGACTTGATTTTATAGATCAAATTTTCAATGTGTGGTTCTGCTTTCGTGACTTTCTAATACAGGACTTGACTCAAATCACCACAGGATTTTTGTCGATATTCCGTGCCTGCAATCGGCTCTCACTGACCTGGCGCTTGATTTTGGTGATAGAAATCCGATCGAATTCTTGGGGAGTGCTTCTCTCTACCGGGTTAATTAACATCAACATGGCTGGAACCATTTTTCGTCAAAGCTGAGTGAAAAGTGGTTATCCCAAGATCTTTTGCCACCACTTAGCCCACAAAATCTGGTCGGCCACTTCAAATGCTTGAAAAGCCACATTAAAAAACAATTAAGCCCTATTAAAAACCCTTAGAAACCCTTAAAAACCCATTAAAAACATCTAACATCTGGTCAGTTGGGAGTCCTCCCCAACGAACATCGTCACCTGACTTGACCCTTTGGACCCACAAAACAAATGCCGCCACGTTGCGGTCGTTCGGATCGCCGCTACACGACCTGGTTGGTGGTTGAGTTGACCTACCCCTCTGAAAAATGATGGTTAGTATATGGTTAATATATGGTTCATGATGGTTAATATATGGTTAGTATATGGTTAATGATAATTACTGGTTGGTGGTTTCAACCATCTTGAAAAATGATGGAGTGAGTGAACGTCAGTTGGGATTAGATGAAATTCCTAATTAATGATGGGAAAAATATGGAAAGTCATAATCCAAATGTTCCAAAGCACCAATCAGTAGCTGATGTAGCTGATGTTCTCATTCTGAATGGGAAAATCATGATGAATATATGGCCTCATTTTCCCAATGGAGGCCAAACAAAAATGAGAGAAAATGTTCCTGGCCTCCATGGACATTGGGAAGCTTGCAGTTGCCATGTTTGATTATGGCTAGTCACGAATGTTGATGACCAAGAAAAGTAACAAAATCGTGGGATGATGTTGGATCCACCTGTTCCCAACTATTCAAAAAAAAACGGAACTATTGGAGATGAGCCATATGGAAAGCCATGGATGTTTGCCATGATTTTCCCAGTGATTCCCCGGTAGTTTTTCGCATAGCACCAGTCGCAGATCCGCGACAGCTCCTTCGAGGCTGTCGACGCCAATGGAGGGCAGCTTTTCAGCTAAATGTTGTTGTCCGAAATCGCCACGGATAGCACTATGACACTATGTAATCAATTTGAAAACTAAGAAAGATTAGTCATCAATTATTTCACACTAGCCTATTCAAGGTCAGAACGAAAGTCGTAGTTTGCCAATATCATAAGCCGAGGCAACGAATTTCTGGCAGACCTCTTAGAATCGCGAGGATTTTGCTTGCAAGAGAAGCCTCTATAAAATGAATGGTGTCCTATCAACTTCCCTTACAGAAAACTCCCAAATGCTGGTCTGTGTCAGAATTGAGGACCTCTTGTCCCATAAGACTCACTGCTACTGTTCACCATTCGTGCGCAATTTTGGTTCCGGAAAAAAACGCCTGAAACGTCTGTAGAAAGATAAAATTGAAAGCTTATTGGCTTATTACAGTACATTACATGTGTATGAACATATTGGTTCCCTACAACCAGGAAGATTCCCTCGTATCACCAAGTTTGGCGCTGGAACCTCCACTGGTGTTTCTCAACCGGCTCCGGTCGCCGCAAAAAGATATGTTCACCGCCCGCGCTGGCAGCACTTGGTGCTGTGGGCCAGGTGCTCCAAGTTTGGAGCCAGGTGTGGATCACGTGGGAGTTCAAGAAATGAGGGATTGAACCAAGAACTTTTATAATGGATTGTCCACTGTTCTAAATGGCTTTTACCAACAATCAATCGGGATTATATGATTACAATATATAGTATGAATACATGTATAATTTATGTTGGGTTTGGAATGGAAGTATGATGGGATTCAACAACTAACGAAAAAATATCATGGGTTGCTACTTTGGAGAATACCCTGTGGTTCAGATAAGTTGGTCGTGTGAATGAATACATTGAACTATACTATATATTACTATATATGATATATACGTATGACATATATACGTGATTATACGTGTGTGTATATACAATATACTGGGTAGATTATAATATTTCATGAATTAAGGCCATGAATGGGGATGATTTCCCTTATTAACCATGATTCCAGTGAGGGAGAACAGTGAGGTCGTTATAATTTACCCAGAATATATACATATCGATAAAATGCCAAGGCAAATCCACACCGGACCTCGACGACTTCATCGTCTCGGCCACAATGGAGGACATCTGATTTCTGCGTCGTGAGGATCACGGAAAAGGGAAAAACACGTTGTGACGTGGTCGCGGAAAACGGCGGTTTTTTGGTGCAAAAAAATGCTGTAAAATGCCATATGTTTGAAAATGATGATGTTTTCTCGATATGCAAACAAAAAAAATCCGCGAAAACCTGGCAGCACTCTCCTTCCCACAGGAAAAGATCATACAAATGTGTGACAAAACCCAAAATAAAGCATACCCATGTTCACCAAGCTCAGGGATACTGACAATCCATCCTACCCAAGCGTTTTTGTTGTGGTTTTACTACATGAATCCACATGATGTGACACCTCACAGCGATCTCGCCCTTCATCAGACAGTGCCCGGAGAAATTGAGGTGATACTGGCACCGTCATCACCGTCATCCTACAAGGTGGGATCCTTAGATGATGTTGGTGAACCCCGATAAATCATGATAAATCTACAACCATCGAATTCACCTTCGTAAACTGTTCACCCTGTTCACCAGCGCTATCGTTTTGGGATATTTTGGGGCCCCACATAAAGCATACATCACAACTGGTACCCTCATTGTGATCATGGCGGGTCATCACCATCTTTGGATCCCAAATGTATCGTGGATTGGTTGAAGGGAACAAGAAGCCATGGAGGAAACCATAGATGTTGTCTGTGTGTTTGTCCCATACAATAGGAGCTCAAATTCTGTCTATGTTTCCCTTTCAACCAGTTCTCGGAATCAGCAATTTCTTGCTGCATTCTCAGCTCTTTAGCGCTTTGTTCAGATATTCGTGTGGCAGATCTGGCGCCGGGACGTCAACGATTTTCTTCGTTGAGAGCATTTCAGATTCCTGCGCGAAAAGGTGGGTCGGAATTCAAAAAAAAAGTCATGTTGGGGATGTGTAATTATGTTTCACAGGAGATTCACTGTAACATCTCAGGGAAATTTAGCCAATGTTAAGTCTAATTGCTTGGTTTCAGGGAAAATTCAGGCTTGAAACAAACCATGGTTGTTACAGTAATTAATTACTTCCGAATGAGGTTTCCTACAGATCTTCGTGTTGATGATTTCGGGGTGAGCCTTGAGATCTCCATGAGATCTCCAAAGTTTTAAAAAAAACCGTTGCCGAGACAATGTCATGTGGGATGTCCAAAGATCACTTCCTGGGAAATCTCCAATGTTTGGGTTGCCTATACTTCTTTGCTCCCAGCCTGACCAGAAAATGTTAGATGTTAGGCATGTGGCTCGTCAGGTTACCGCGCTTAATGATTTTTCACTTCTGTTCCCATACTGTCTGTGACCATGTCTGTGAAAGAAAATGCTTGGTGAACTGTTAAGAATGGTGATAGCGAAATCCTCATGATTTGGTGACGTCGAAACAACCACACAAAACCTCCCCTCCGTCGATCTGATCGATCCGCCTTTTTGGTCACGATGCAATGCGATCTCCTCTGAACGTGCAAATTCGCCCAGCAAAAGGAGGGGTTTTTTTTGAGTGTCCACCGAGGTATAAAAACCAACTATCATTGCTGGGTTGAAAGTTTTAAGGCAACCCCTGACTCCAGTTGGTGTGCTCCAACTAAGAAGCTCTGTTGGAAGCGAAAGTATTGAAACTGATGCGGTTGCAGGACTCGACCAACATTTTTAGGGATGCCAACTGAAAGACATGCCAACATGAGGCGAATGAGAATATTTAAGTAGACCATCCAGGTCCAAAGGGTTTGACATGGTTTGACTTAAACATATCTTTTCACCATGGTTTGACGCATCCGACGCAGCACTTCTTTGCGTCGTCCTCCGACTCCTCTTGTCATTGAAGTTTGGGCCAATGAGTTTGTCGGTCAAGCGAAGCAACTCCTCAGCTGATCAGATTTGGGGGCAAAAGAATACAGTAGAAGCCCTGCCCATCACATTACCTAGTAAACCCCTGGGCTGTAAAAAATTGGCGCATAATTTCAGTACCAAATTATCACTATTTGCGAAGAAAAAAAAACGTCCTCGTTAATCAACCAGGGGCTATTCATCCGCGATTGATATACACAATTGATTGGCCTCTCCGCTGTAATGTACATAATAATTACATACAATATCATACAACTCTATTAATACATCATCCATTCCATGAAAAAACACGCAAGTAAAAACTCAAAAAAACACCCAATGGCCGCGACCAAGAGACTTGTTGCAGCCATTCGACTTCCCGCTGCAAATAGATCACGTCAATGGCTTTTGCAGCTCCTGTTGAAAACGCCCGTGGCAGGAAGATTCCAGGCATCAGATTACCAAACTACCATCGATGCTGGCGGAAATCTCCACGCATGTGTTCGCATCTCAAAGATCACTTGGCGCCGATTCATCCAAATCGATGGTTTAAAATGCCGACCGTTTTATGGTTTTCCCCAAACAAAAACGAACTTGACAATATGCATCGGCATATCATACAATGTGGTGCCCCCCAGTTATAAATTGGTTTATAAACCCCATTAACTATAGTTATAAGTACCATAAACCACAGTTATTGGAGTTATAAACCAACTTAGCTATCTAGGGGGCCCCACATTGTATGTGAATAGATCCGAATCAACCCATCCGGAGCGCGACAGTCCTTTGAATCGCATCATACCGCTGATGAACCTCACGTTCGAATTGGATGACCGAAAATATGTTTTACCAACCGTGGAAAAACACATTGATATTTTTAATAGTTCTAATAGTTATAAATGTTATAATATGTTTCGCTGAAAAAACATGACACTGGACAATGGCATAGTGTCACCACTTTGGGTGGGATTGACGCAGGTTGATGTTTGCTGGGTTTTGGGGTGTTACTTTCTGGCCCGAAAATGTGTGATCGTGTGTTGACAAAAAGCATAAAATGCACAGAATAGTCGAAACGGAAAAGGGCTGTTGCACAGAGTGACAACCAACGTCAATGCAAATTGGAATAGTATTTTGCAAATGGGTCTCTTGACCATGTTTTTCCAACTGGGCCAGCATTGTGTTGTTCCTGATCCTTCCTGTTTTTGTTTGACATCGACTATCATCAAACAATGATCTCAAGAGACATGCTTGGCGCGTGCAAGCTTTGAAGTCAGCCCATACATCAATGACAATGTCCACAAAACAATTGTTCCAATCTGGGATTGCCGATGGCTCTGTCTGACAATGGGGTATGTTACCAAGATGGCCATGTATGGAACTTTGATGCTTATGGATTTGGGATACATTATAGGTTGTTTTCAAACCAATGGACGTATGCCCCCTTCGCTCGATCTGCTGATCATACCAAAACCCTTAAGGCCAAGCTGCTCCTCGTGTGTCAAGTTTCCGTCACCATCATCAAGCAACTTGAAGAGGTGCGAACCATCCGCCACGTCAACATCCTCAGTTACACCAAAATGAACCTGACAAGCCATCACAAAGATGTATAAAATCATATGAGCCATGGTCAATACTCACTATATGGTTGATGGTCATCCCATCCATAATAAGGATCCTTATAATGGTTATTATAAATCCCTATGAACCATTGGATGACTAGCCCCTATTAATGGTTATTAACCATGAGTATTGACCACAGCTCATATAAAATCTACAAATCCCGCGATTGCCTGGTCTACCTGGTCTAATCTACGCTGTCGCTTGGCACAAACGTTGGCACAACATGGGATCATGTTACAACAACCTCTTTCTCGGACCTTTCGCGGCGAAAGGGGAAGCATTTGCTCACGTGAAGCAACAACAAATATGAGCAATCACCGAAACGCTATTGCGATTACTTCAGACATACAATGTCTTTGCCCACTTTCTTTACACACCTCATCCGCCCATCTAAGGAGAAGGAAACGAAGGGGAAAAGACTGTTTATGTAGTTGGCACCAGAATCCCAACAACCATGCTGAACAAATAGAAAGGCCATATTCCTGGTGCCTTTGTTCCACTAGATTGGCTGTATGGTTTCGTTATCTTTTGCAACCCAGCAAGGCGCTTGATTAAGAACGACTGAACGAATGACTGGATTAGCGACTGGATAATGGCTGAATGGCTGAAATGGCCACTGAAAGATTGCATCATCATCCAGTCATTTTCATTGGTTAATTGGCCACTTAGCCAATGTCCAGTCGCTAAGAACGACTGAAGGACTACTCTAATGGCTCAAGGACCCAGTGATTGAGCCTCCTCTCTTTTAGGTGCCGTGAAGATTTCGCCCTGGACGTTTCTCTGCAAGTCGCTTAAGCATCATATCAGCCACCCACCCTGGACCCCGTATTGCATGGAAATGTTGACTCTTAATCAACGTACTGCAAGGGTGTAGCCACGGATCCAAGGAGGTCATATAGCTTTTGATGGTGGGATCTTGACAGAGTTGTAGGAACTCCTCCTTACTCACCACACCATCCTGTGAGAGATCCATCGTTTGGAACCTGGGACGAAGGGACGAACCAAAGGATCCAAAGGATCCAAAAGGCTGGGCCGGCAAGGGGGCCGGCAAGGGGTCTCTTTGATAGCTGGAAAATCCATGAAAATGTCTGGATTCTTCAGCTCATGTCAAGGACTAATCAAGACTGGTTGACTAACTATCAGGGTGATTACCTCCAAAAAGGTCATCATTGGCTCCGAAAATGGTACCCCACCAATTAACACCCAAGGGTTTGATCTCTTTTGGACATTGTTTCAGGTCACAGGTGTCAGGGCTTCAAACCTTGAAGAAACACCATCCTAGTCATGAAGAAACCATTAGACCAAATATCCCCCCATCTCCCCATCTCGGCAGCGTTTTGCAACAGCCAGGCCAAAGATTTTTTGTTCTGCCCATTTAGCAGCCAAGACACACCTTATTCAGCCGCCTCACATATTCTTGACTCGCTTTCGCCTTCTCCCTCCTAAGAGTTTGGGAAGATCTGGGGCTTGCCCAGATCAGCAGACATCGCGATTTTTGAGCGAACAAAATTGAGAAAATACCCTGGGGTAAATTCACATATGGAAAAGCCATATGGTTTTCCTGGAAAAATATCCAAAGAGTTTATATTCCATATCAAAACTATCGCGTACGTCGTGAAATCCCTGTTTGTAGTCCTCACACATCAATCTCTGGAAGTCTCCAGAAGACCCACATTTTGTGGCCAGGTTGGGTAAATGAAAATTCTATGGGATCTGCGTTGCCCAAAACCTTCTGTCGTCCCCAAACCTACTGGTTGGTTCAGTGAAAAAATAAGCTCGGCGGTATCCCCAACAGCCGCAGCGTTTTATCTTTACAAATTTTTGTGAAGCGTGCTGCGAGACCAAGCGCTGGAAACCCTGTTGAACCTGTTAAACCTGACTTGGCCCAAACATTCCCAAAACCTTCTCCGGGACCTTCTCTGCAACCTTCTCCGAAACCCATTAAACCTGACTTGGCTTTGCACCAAGGCTTCCTGGAAACTTCTCCGGAACCTTCTCCGGAACCCTGTTGAACCTGACCGGGCCCGGCACCAAAGCCTCGTAGACCTTCTCCGGAACCTTCTCCTGACTCTGGACCAAAGCCTCCCAGACCTTCTCCGGAACCTTCTCCGAAACCGTGTTGAATCTGACCTGGCTCTGCAGGCCTTCTCCGGAACCTTCTCCGGAACCCGTTGAACCTGACTTGGCTTTGCACCAAGACTTCCTGGAACCTTCTCCGGAACCTTCTCCGGAACCTTTTCCGAAACCCTGTTGACCTTCTCCAGGACCTTCTCCGGAACCCTGTTGAACCTGACCTGGCTCTGCACCAAAGCCTCCCAGACCTTCTCTGGAACCTTCTCCGAAACCGTATTGAACCTGACCTTCGCCAGAACCTTCTCCGGAACCCTGTTGAACCTCACCTGGCCCCCACCAAAGCCTCGAACTGTGTCTGAATGCCACTTTTCAAAATCCCAACTGAGCGATGCGCAAAAAACTTGTTGATGGTTGACTGTGGTTGGTTTCCATTTTTTCCCCAACAGCGTAATTAAGCTAATGGGGTCGTCAGCCCAGAATAGCTCCGGTGTGCACTGGTGCAGGCGCCGCGGGTCAGGTTCAACGAGGTTCCGGAGAAGGTTCCAGAGGTTCCGGAGAAGGTCTGGGAGGCTTTGGTGCAGAGCCAGGTGAGGTTCAACAGGGTTCCGTAGAAGGTTCCGCAGAAGGCCTGGGAGGCTTTGGTGCAGAGCCAGGTCAGGTTCAACAGGATTCCGGAAGATTCCGGAAGGTTCCGGAGAAGGTTCCGGAGAAGGCCTGGGAGGCTTTGCTGCAGAGCCAGGTCAAGTTCAATACGGTTTCGGAGAAGGTTCCGGAGAAGGTCTGGGAGGCTTTGGTGCAGAGCCAGGTGAGGTTCAACAGGGTTCCGGAGAAGGTTCCAGATAAGGTTCCGGGAAGGGGCCTTGAGAACACCTCGCACCTTATCGGAGTTGGTCAACCGATTCATAAACCTCGGGTCTATTTCGGGTACGAATCAAGTAACATATTATCACTGGAGGGTACCCTAATGAATCACAATACACCATGGTTCATTGATCCGGGGTTGATATAGTATCAGCTACATCTAAGTTGGCATTGGAAATGGTAACAAAACAAATGTTGTTGGTCAATATCCTGGATCTTGTGGACCGTGTTTGGTCTATATTCACAAGACTCAGGAATGAGTTGAATTTCCACCAAAGGCATCAAATCCAAATTCTCTGTTCCATGATTTTTTGATCATATAATCCCATCCCCCGTTATTAAACACACCCATTTTACGGTCCGAATCATATCAATTCATCCCTTACATCCAGGTGACTCTGGGGGATGTGTGCACGGGCTGAACGCGGGAAATGATGAATAGATATTACTAATAATTGCAAATCCAGGGAATTATCAATAGCCATCACCATCCCATTGGTTAATAGATGTTAAAAGTTAAATATTTCATGATTCCCATTAGTCCTAATCAAAATGCCGCCATGGTGCACCACGAGTTGCGCATCGTTTTGAGCTGCATCCAAGGTTTCCTGGCGCGTAAGGCGCGCACGCACGAGGGTGGGATGAGTACCTGTTTGGAATTTATGGCGTACTGAAGCGGTAAAACGTCTCGCAACTGATACAAGCTGCATCGTATTTTTGAGATGTGGACTCAATAACTCAGTGATGATGAACCAAGTTTCATCCTGATTGGTCTAGCGAGATTCATTCCGCATGTGTTTCGCGCCAATGGATGGTAAAGAAAAACCAATAGGAGAACATTGGTAAACATCGAAATGCATTATGTAGTCACAAACTTATCAATGTGAATGCATGGGGCTCCTGCCGGGAAAATCATACACATCGGCACCATCTTCTCTATCTATCTATCTATCTATCTGTCTATCTATCTGTCTGTCTGTCTGTCTGTCTGTCTGTGTCTGTCTGTCTGTGTCTGTCTGTCTGTCTGTCTGTCTCTGTCTGTCTCTGTCTGTCTCTGTCTGTCTCTGTCTGTCTCTGTCTGTCTCTGTCTGTCTGTCTGTCTGTCTGTCTGTCTGTCTGTCTGTCTCTGTCTGTCCTGTCTGTCCTGTCTGTCCTGTCTGTCCTGTCTGTCCTGTCTGTCCTGTCTGTCCTGTCTGTCCTGTCTGTCCTGTCTGTCCTGTCTGTCCTGTCTGTCCTGTCTGTCCTGTCTGTCCTGTCTGTCCTGTCTGTCCTGTCTGTCCTGTCTGTCCGTCTGTCCGTCTGTCCGTCTGTCCGTCTGTCCGTCTGTCCGTCTGTCCGTCTGTCCGTCTGTCCGTCTGTCCGTCTGTCCGTCTGTCCGTCTGTCTGTCTGTCTGCCTGCCTGCCTGTCTGTCTGTCTGTCTGTCTCTCTATCGATCTATCTATCTATCTATCCACTTATCTAACCATTCATCAGGTCTATCGAATCTATCTGATCGATTTTATCTACCTAATCTACCTGATCTACCTAATCTATCTAGCTATCTATCTATCTATTTATCTATTTATCTATTTATCCATCTATCTATCTATCTATCTATCCAGCTATCTAACCATCCATCAGGTCTATCGAATCTATCTGATCGATTTATCTACCTAATCTACCCGATCTACCTAATCTATCTATCTAGCTATTTATCTATCTACCTATCTTTCTGACTACCTATCTATCTGTCGATCTATCTATCTATCTATATGTCTATCTACCTACATATCTATTCTATCTAGTCCATCCCATCTATCGAATCTATCTAATCTAAGTATTTATCTATCTATCTATCTATCGATCGATCGATCGATCTATCTATCCATCCATCCATCCATCCATCCATCTATCTATCTATCTTCTTATCTTATCTTATCTTATCTTATCCATCTATCTATCTATCTATCTGTCTATCTGTCTATCTGTCTATCTGTCTATCTGTCTATCTCTATTTCTATCTCTATCTCTATCTCTATATCTATCTACCTACCTATTTATCCATCTATCCATTTATCTATCTATCTGTCTTTATTTCGCTCTATCTATCTATCTAGCTATCTATCTATCCATCCATCTGTCCATCTACCTACACTTTCTAACCTACCTAGTCTATCTAGTCTGTCTTATCTATCAAATCTATATAACCTATCTATCTATCTACGTATCTTTCTGTCTACCTACTTGCCTAATCTATCTAATCATTCTAATCCATCTAATCTATCTGACCTATCAAATTCATCATCTACCTAATCTGTCTGATCCATCCATCTATCCACCTATCTTTCTAGCTACCTATCTATAATTATCTATACAAGCTATCCAAACCAACTGATCGATCTAGTCTATCTAACCAATCTAGTCTACCTACAGTAATCTACCTAATCTATCTTATCACCATAACATCATATCATATCTGTCTATCTGTCTATCTGTCTATCTATCTAGCTATCTATCTATATCTCTCTCTATCCATGTATCTATCTATCTATCTATCTATCTGTCTGTCTGTCTGTCTGTCTGTCTGTCTATCTATCTATCTATCTATCTATCTATCTGCAACCTATCTATATTCAATCTATCTAGCTATCTATCTATCCATTTATCTATCTGTCTATCTATCTACCTAGCATGCTATCATCCTATCTACCCTATCTATCTTATCTTATCTATCTTATCTTTCTTAGCCAGTTTCATCTTATCTAATCTTGTCTTATCTATCTAATCTTTTCTTGTCTTGTCTTTTTGATCTTATCTATCTATCTATTTATCTTCCTGCCTGCCTGCCTGCCTGCCTGCCTGTCCGTCCGTCCGTCGGGCCGTCCTTTCATTACTTCGTTCCTTCATTCGTTCCTTCATTCATTGCTTCATTTGGTCAATCGTTTCTCCATGCATCACCGAACATTTCATGCTATATGGTGTTGGTTTCTTTCTTGTCATGTCACTGTTTTGAGACTTCCGCCCTGAGCGGCCGGGCACTTTCTTTGTCACGGATTGTGATCGATCGAGGGGTTTGAGAAAAAGAAATGCGCAACCCAATTGGCATTCCAAAAAACGTCTAAGGTAACATTGATAATATTGTGAATTGGGAAAGGAAGGACATGGTCTTTTCTCAAACGTATTTGCCGTGCATTGCCAAACAGTACCTTTTTTTGCATCAGGTTCCATTACATATAAACGACTTGGGCACCTTGCTCCCGCCATTTCAGTGTCCACCGTTTCCGTTCCACCTTGAGGAAGATGGCGGATATCACACGTATCACCTTAGTCAATCACAACAACAACCCAGCCTTGGCAGACACGAATTCGTATACTGATGATCTGATCTGCTCATACATCACCGCCCTTCGGAAATTCGAAGTTGGATGTTTGTGTATGTATGCGTTGGATTTGTCTTTGTGCATGTAGACACACATGCGCACATGAAAAAGGTATCATATAGATATGTAAATGGTTTGTGGTACAAAAACTTGCAACCCTTGAAAATGCCAACCTCCAATGACGGTTCAAAAAGATTGGCCCATGACCCTGATCTTCCACGCTGCCTCAGATCAGCATCCCTTCAGCGCGTTTCAGCAGAGGGGCTGCAAAGACCACAAACACGATATAGGCCACGAAGAAAACACAATAGCCTTGTTGGTCGGTGGTGGAGGCTCGCGTTACAACGCTATCGCCCCACTCCGCCCAAGCGCATCTTTGACATAGCATCCTCTACTTGTGTACATTGAGGTGGGAATTAGCAAGTCTACATGTATGTATGTGCAAACGCACGCATGTGCATATGCATGTGTGTGTGCATGCATGCATGCATGTGTTCATGCATGTATGTATGCATGTATGGATGTATGCATGCATGGATGTATGCATGTACCTGTGTAAGCATGTATGCAGATACGCATGCATGTATGTATGTATGTGCGCACATATGCGTACAAGTATGCACTTCTGTTTTGTAATTTAAAAAGTGAATGCGTAAAGACATGGTTGTATGTCAGCAAACATGCATGTGTGTAAAAGAATGTATGCATGTAAAACATGAAATCAGGCACGCGCATATATTATATAAAAATATGCATGTATGCGAAAACACGTGTGTATGTAATAGATGCACGCCTGTGGTTACATGCATGTACGTAAATGCATTTTTGATTTTTTCAACAAACAAATCATCTATCAATGGGCCAACCGACCTGTTAAATGCACGAGGGGAAACACTAAAATTATCCATGTTTTATCCATTACTGCTGGTATTTTCCGTGACTGGTCGATATTACACAAGAAAATGGTACGTTCCCCAAATCCTAACCGATAAATTACCAGAGGGTTCAGCCCAATAATTCAATACCTCAATGACTTGCAATTATATATTCCCAATGAAACCACAAAACTCCTTGCAGAAATATGCTTCAATGTCCTTTTGTTCAGAGGCTTCCCTCCAACGCCAGGCGACCCACACCAACCTCCTCGATCACCGGTCTGGCATACATCGGCCAGGATCCAGCAAAAGTGATTTCGAACATTGTGTATATGGCCTTAGTGCGAGAAAGAATGCGGGTCTGTCTTTAAAACGGCTATGGCTATACCACAAAATAACCAGAATTAGGGAAAACAATGGCCTCACAATGGATGCCTAATTGAGGAAAAGGCGACCAACTAAAACAACTAAAATGGTAAAAAGAGCTTGGAGAAACCGATCTTCTTAGTTTTATTGCGAAAATTGATAAGATGGGAAGATGAACCGATATTTTATCTAATGATCTGCCGCCACCCCTCCTTTTTTTCAACGGCAAGAGACGCTAAAAACGAGAGGAAGGGGGGTTGGGTCCAACACATCTGTCTCATGACTGGCATGACAGACTAAATGCTGTGAGCTGTGACAACTGGCTCGAAGAAGAAGAAAAAGAAGAAGAAGAAGAAATTGAAGAAGAAGAAGAAGAAGAAATTGAAGTTTTCGCAGAAACAGCCCAGGAGAACGGCAGCCGCTGCAGCGCCGCTCACGAGTGCCAGGTAGCCTGAGCACATTGTGACATCCACGCCACAGTCGCTTCAGGAGCCCCCCACCCAAACCTGGCAGTGAGCAGGCAGGGAGGTTTTGCACAGGTGACCGGCGGAGCTGGGCATTCCCATCTTGCGATACCAGGATCCCAAGGTGCTGCTACACCAAACATGCCGTGTCAAACGGGGAATCATTGCTCTGACGAGCAGCGTGGCTCAGGACAGATCACAGCGCACAAGCACGGAAACTTGGAGCAACACAAGGCTTTAACTCTGGACTGTCACCAAGGCAACCTCTAGGCCTGGACTGTCACCCAGACAACCTCAGGAACTTCATGTCGGTTGCTCTGCAACAAACGCTGCCAAATAGGCCATTGTCGTTCCCTACGAGCACAGCGCTGATACTCAGAAATCATCCTGGCAACAGGTCGGGTGAGGCCCACAGTCATGGTGATGGGGTCACTTGTGAGGTTGCAAGCAATCGTAGCTGACCTGCTAGAACCTGGCATATCTGGTGTGCAAAGGAGGGCCAGGCACATGCCGAGAGCTACCTCGGGTGAAACCGGTTAGAGCTTCACAGTAGACCTACCTGTATACTCTACGGTGAAACATCCAAACCACTCGTCACCCCCATCCCCTAGTCCCCTTACGTCATGGGCGGTGCCTCGGGGTCCTTGGTCGGGGAATTTGATCATCGCGTAGTTTCTGCGTTCAGTGCGTCGTGGTTGAGTGACTGAACAAGAATGGCGGCAGCACAAGCAATAACAATAAACAAAGAAAGAGAGACGGACACGACAAAGGACGCGGACGGGAAGACAGGAGAACAAAAGAGCGACAGGCGATGGGAAGAGAAGGAAATCCAGTGGTTGATTCTCGGTTTCCCCCATTCAAAGTGCCGTTTTTTTTGGGGCAATTTACCCCTATTTTCAACACAGCATGCCGTGTGGCTATGACATTATGATTCACCTGCAAGAAGCTTGGAGCAACCCTGTTTCATCCGGAATATGATGAAAAATCAGCAAGATTCAGGCTATGGACCCATGCCCCATGCCATATCAAGCTGACTAGTCTGACTAGTCACTATAAATCACTATTCGTCCCACTGTATCATAGCAAATCCCCATTACAGGATTAAGTGGTTGGTTGATGTTGGTTGTATATCACATTATACGCCCATATCCCAGTATAGTTGGATTATATATATATATTATGGTCAAACCAACTATAGATATAACCAGCATGAAGCCTACTTGAGAGTGCATTTCCATTCATGTTTTAGTGGTTATGTTTCACCATACTTCTTCGAGCAAGAGAAAAATCTCCCAACTGTGCGGGTTATCCTGAACCATGGGGAGAAAAAACCATGGTATGATAAGCTTTAAACAAGCTATTGGGCCTAAAAAATATCCATGGTGATAAGGTTTCAAGTTACCCTCCGGTAATTTAACGTAGCTATTGAAAATCACCATGCTATTAATGGGAAAATCCACTATTTCGACTGGGTCATTTTCAATAGCTATTTTGACATAACCAGAGGGACATTGGTCCTCGACCAAGGCACCCTGCTCGCTGTACCGTAGTGCCTCCAGACCCAAAACCTGCGCTCCGGGTCCACCGTGGGGTCGCTGGTGTAGCTCTGCAGCAGGCCACCCAGGAGGATGCCGCCGGTGATGATGAAAAGACCCAAGAAGATCATGGCCCACCTGGTGAAAAACCAATAGTACCCCTGGTGAACCACATCAAAATTTAGCTGGGTTAAAATGGATGTGAATAACCCCCTAAAAATGGTATAGGTATTGATCCATAGCCATATGGAGATGTGTACTATATATATATACACATATGTTACATGTGTGTGTGTATGTGTGTATATATATATATGGCTAAGCGGCTAAGCAATATGACTTTGGGAACAAACTAGATCTAAGCCTTGAATGTGGAATTTCATGCATCGGATTTGTACAGATGATGTAGTCAATGCAGGTCCAGCGAGGACAAGGACTTTATTAATGGTCCAAATATATCGAAATTTGAGAATACCCTCCAGTAAATTAACATAGACCCTGGCAGTCATCGGGGTTGGAAGACTGGTTTCCACTAAAAATTACTTATTTTCAGGGTCTATGTTAATTTACATGAGGGTATCACCAACAACAAAAATTGGAATGAATATGATTTACAACCTATGGCGAAAGTGGCCAAGAAAAATGGGAGACGAACGACAATGTTTATTTTGACGTGCCTATCAGTGGTAGCTAGCCACCAACAACAATCGCTGGTTGCCCTTCTCAAAGGGGTTGCCAATAAACTCAATAAACTTTGACTTTGGTTGTCAGCACACATCTAGGGACATAGATTCTTAGGATAGTAGAATCCTCCAATCCTGCCTAACTGGGACTTGCCACAATAGAGATTGGGAAAGGGCCGATAAAAAAATAGCAAAGAAGCTAGCAAATGTCAAGCTGGGAGCTTGCTTGACAGTAGTTGGAAAACAGCTTTGAACAAACAGCGCTGCTCTCTGGCAATTTAACAGTTTTCTATGGAAAATCACCATCTTTGATAGGCAAATCATGTATAAATGGACCATTTCCCATAGCAAACTGCTAGCTTCAGGACGTCCCACTGGGAAATTCTGCGGGGATACCGAGTAAACCACTGGATCTGCTCCAATTGTGGGATATGAGAAATGCTATCATGTACACCATCCGTTGGTGTCGCAGGAAAAATCCAGTTGTTGCCCTGCGGAGGGCCAAGTAGTTTTTGTGGAAAAACCATGTCATGTTTACCATCCCCCAGTCATCATAAATATATATATAGGTCATATAGCTGGTATAGTATAAACCATGCCCAGTCATGGGTGGTTTATGACTCATGACATTGTTTTCACCACATGATCGAATTTCCAGCTTTGCTTCAACTCGTCATGAAAAAACTCTCCAGTAACTCCTGATATTATGGGTGTGTCTTCCAATACGATACCCCCCACTTTTGATGGAGCCATTTGGGGGATAAATTCGCCATGTTCAGACAGACCCATACTGAAATATCCCCGACTGTGGATGGTTGCGAAATGCACCAGTAGATGGTGTTCACATTCCATTAAAATCCTATGATGTATTAGTGTTTCATAGCTACCAATAGTTAATTCTTGGTTCTACCCCTATTTTTCGCTTCTTCCCCCGGCCCCCAAAATGGCCCCCTCCCCGCTGAGCCCGGAGACATGAGCGACGGCAGAAAGGCCGAGACGGAGTGCACCAAGACGCGAAGACCTTCCTGGCGGTCGTCCGAGAACTGACACCGGGGTAAAGGTCACTGAAGTTGGGATGGGTTCAATATCAGGATAAAGTGTAAAAGGTTTTTAAAAACTACCAGTAGGAAGTTGGAATGGCTGCCTCAGTTTTATAAATTTCATAGTATGGTTTTGGCTCTTGGTATGACCAATTCTTCCAAGAAAGTATGGCAAGCTGCCCAGTTCCAGGTAAAGACCATCAGGATGGCTGCCATATCATATACAGTTATGGCCCGAAAAACCACTTATAAGTACTAAGAAGTCACCTCATGTATAAAAATGTATAATTCCATGAAAATAACCAGTTATAACTAATACCCATGTATCATATACACCTCAATTTGTGTTGCTTTTAAGGCCAATTGTTGTAGATTCAAAAATCCAATTTTTTTGACTCCCCAGAATCCGGAGATCATCCTTCAAAAAAAAACTTTCTGAAATTTAACATAGCTAGCCGGAAAATCCGAACTGTTCATGCAAAACTACATGGAATAATCATCGAACTATTGTTCAGTGATTCTCCAACACGCCAACATATATAAATTACCCGCAAATTGCATAAATAATGATTACATCATATGTTTGGGAAAAAAATGGAATGTAATCCATTCCCCCATTGGAAAATTGGGATCTTCTGTGGATTTATCGTTTTAAAAAACCGAGGAGCGAAGAGGCGCAAGGTGCGCATGATGCGAAAGGCCCGCGCCAGTTTTACGGTGCGCGCGAGACGCATCATGGTCACGTTGACGTTGATCCTGGGAACCAAACAGATCGCTGCGATATCAGCTCCTTATGTTAAGAAGATGATGGGAATGTAGCTATTGGGATAAAAAATGAAGTATGACTGACCCGCAGTATTATTTATCTATATATATAATCCAGAAACGATGATTGGTTGATGGTTGCCACCTTGCAGGGGATTTGAATGGGATGTACTTCTTTTGGAGATGCATTGGGTTTCTATCAAAAATATAGGGGATGTAGCTGATAATCAGCTTTTTCTGATCCAAAATGGGTAGATATACATATGTATATATATATAACTGATATCATCCAACCTCATATGATATTTGGCTGTGAAAATGAGTTCTATGCCCCTAAGTGGCCATTGAAAAATAGAGAACTGATGATAAAAAATGGGATTTTAAGATACCCAGATAGATTTACCGGCTGAGAATAGATTAGCACCATGGACGCACCATGTAAGCGGCCAAGGCCTTGTGTGTTTGGCGTTGTGCTTCTTTGTTGTTTGGGAGGCCGAAAAGACAGCGGCGTTGCATGTTTTCTGGAAAAATATGAAATGGATGGTTATAAAATAGAATATTAACCATATAATATAATGGATGGTTATAAATATATCAAAATACGAACCATATAATGTTAATTATATATGGTTCTATCTTTCATAGCCTCAACGGTTGATAACTTTGCTTAAGAAAAGTTATATAATCGTCTCAATCCTGGGATGAAAAAATTAAGGTCGTTCCATAGGTCCAGGAATCCCCAGCGAAATGGCTAACCCTGGTTATTTGCACAGGCGAAGTAGGGTTAGTCCACTTATAATTGGAGTGAACTAATTCACTAAGTTAGGATGTAGCACCATGATGGTAAATTCTATCCCGTTTTTTATTCCAGATTATCCCAACTATCTTCTCATAAACGGCTCAAAATCCCCAGTTGGAACGTGCTTAGCTTGGGCACTTCACTTCCAATTCCAGCATGTCCAGCAAAAAGAGATCGAACATGCTGACAACCACCAAAATGACCTCGGGGTAGGCTACCGGCAGGCTTAACGAAGAAAAAAAGGGATTTAACCTGATCTGATCTTACCTAGAAAACTGGTGGTGTAAGAGGTATGTTTCATCGGATATGGAGATGGGTTAAGTTACACCTTTGATTTCTTGCAAATTCATGCAATGAAGTAAAAGACAACACACGAAATGGACATCGGATAGCAATATCATAAAGCGCTATTCATCCCATGGGAGAGTCATTCTCCATGGAATCTGCTATAGCCTCATCTTCCATCGAGACTCAGTACCAACATGGCGGATACCCCAAAAATCCTCATGTCAATTTTCTACCCCAAAGCCAGCAGTTTCCAAAAATTGGACCCAGCCCAATGGATCCTATGATTCATCCCATCCCCTCATCGCTATGGAAAATCATCGCTAACTTCAGAACGGTCCAACATGTCCCATTGACAGGGGTTGGTAACTGTCCCATTTTGGGAATATTGGACATCACCTTATAGTAGCCATGGCATTGACCAAATACCTAATGGTTGGGTGATGTTCAATGGGGACATCAGTCATGACCCATGATTGATCCCATCGTCTAAGTGGCATCAAACCAGTTCCAACAGGATCTGAAGTATGCGCATCTCTGAATCGCAACTCGAACCAACAACTCCACCAGGAACAACACAGCGAAGCCTGCGCGCAGGAAACCCATCGGGAAAAAACATGAAAAACCAGCTGTTCTCACAGGGGGCCCCAGTTCGTTAGCTAATCAGTTGGTGAACATAACTATAATAACCAGTTGGTGTATGATACACAAATAACATCAAATAACTATTAATTTGGATGGGGCCCCATAAACCAACATTCACATCACTGGAGGGCCCCATATCCTGCATGGTTCAAGGCTACGTGGCTACGTCGTGGCGACCCCGTGGCCTCGCTCGAGGGCATCCAAGGTCCAATCCAGGGAGGTCAAGGGGTTGCTGTCCATGGCTCCCAGGGCCACCCCCACCTGGGATCCGGCGAAGCAGAACTCGTTTCCAGTGGAGTTGAGAAGGAATGAGGATGAGGAGGATGATATCGATGATATATATATATATTATGATAGATTATGATAGATGATTGATGATAGATGATAGATGATAATAAAAGCAATAAGACGTCCAAATGCAATGCAAAGTGGGGATCCCCTGGATAATCCCCAGATTTCATCTCAAAAAATAGCTGTGATGAGCATAGAAAAACACATCGCTTAAAAAAAAAAACATTTGATATGTGTTAATATGTGTTAATATTGACCTAGATGTTCATAGTCAAAGTCAATCATGATACACTCATTGGATTCAAATTGACAGGAACCCCACCATAGTTTTAATGGCCAAAAGCCATGGTTTCTGAAGGATTTCCCCTCAGATCAACGCCCACCTCGTAGCCCAGGTATTCGTTTCGGATCATCATCACCTCAGGGGTTACCATCCGTTGAATTCATTGAAGTGTCATGAGATGAGTCATAAATGAAAAACTATATATATATATAGTCATCAAACAAATGATTGTTTTAAACACAAAACTATTCACCTATATTCACATCTATCTATGTATATACAATTTACAATTGATTATATATAAATATATGTACATATACATATATTGTATTCCATTATATATGTATATGTATGTATATACATATAGATATATCGTGTTTCTGCAAACACGTCGGTTCCAACAGGTCCAACGTTCGGATGTAACCGCGGTTCACGCCGCTTCGGTACAGGGCACAACGGTGTTGATGGCGATCAGGATTCCAACCGCCAGGTCCTGGGTATGAAGCAGGTCCTGTTTTGCTTCCGAGATAATTTAGGTCAGATTATACACAGATTTTTGTATCTGTATATGTATGTGAATATATATATATAGATAGATAGATAGATAGATAGATAGATAGATATATTGTGTATATTATATGTATGTATAATATATATATATACATTGTCTTGTCTATAGTATATAATAATATATAATACATATTATATCAGAATGGGATGAAATGTTGGGAGTGTTAATTTTCGACAGATAACCATTTACCTACACTTGTTGGTGGTTGAAGCCACTCAGCACCTTATAAGAAACTGTCTGCTGCTCAACACATGCCAGCGCTGTATGGTTCTCCGCATGATGCTGGCTGAAGCTTCGTTTGGCTCCAAGCACTGACGGGCGTTTCGACTGAAATTTTAGTAACTCTGACCGACAAGTGCAGCAAATGACAAAAACACAGGATCTGCAAGCAGACTGCTAGTAGATCGATGCAATCATATATTCTTTCTTGACTTTCTCTACACTCAGAGCCAGACCCAAGTAATATGTGGAGACTGAGTCGACACCATCTGTACATTACCGGTCCAAGAAATGACCCTTGCAACTATAGCGTTTTTTGGCGCAGTATCCATGTTCTTGGGGGCTTCAAAAACTCGCAACGATGTGCCTTCTGCGACATCACTGCATGACTTCTATCCAGGTAAAAACGCAAATGCATACCAAAATCATTCCCACCATCAGTTTGTGGCGGAGCAAAGGGTTTTGTTCGTTCCATCCTGGGCTGGAGACATCTTGATATGCAGAGATCTTATTCCATTGAGAGCTGAGGAACAGCAAGCTAACTAAGGTAAGACCCGCAGCAACCATTGGATAGGCGTCACAGCTGCGCGAGAACTTCTCATCTTGACCCTTTGAGCAAACGGAAAAATGATCGACCAGAGCTGGAGCCAACCAATGAAAGAATTCGGAAAAGTTGAATGCTGACGCCTGCATGGTCACCAAGGTTGCAACCAAGGATTGATCAAGCGACGCCACGAAGGACCATAGAAAGCAAACTCCACCATCTCGAAGACAAAGCGCCACGAAGATCCTGTGTTTTGCATAGCAAAGCAGAAATGTTTTTAGCTGGCACTGGCTGTACCAGACCACATCGAGTATTGCACCAGCATCTTCAGCGGCTCGGGACGCGAAGACCAAAACAGTCACAGTGATGACGGCAAGTGGTAGGTCGTAAGCTGCATAATCTTCGCCCTGAAATCCAAACTGCTCATAGCGACTTGGAAGTACAACACATGCGTGAAAGTACATTGCGGGCATGATGAGCTGGTACCCCAATGAGGCATGTTGTGGCGGTATGAGAAGACCCAAAACCTCCAGCATACCAATGAAGTCAAGCTCATGTTGATTCTCGACCTTTGCTGCGAGACAAGAAAAGCCCTGGATTTCGCAGCCGTCTTTCCAACAAAGATTCCAACAAGCTGACACACAGCTGGAAGATGTTGCCACTCTTCTGGCACTTGCCTTAGGGCAAATGCATCCAATGCCAAATCACTGACAGCATTGGCACAGGCCGCTCCACACAACAGCCATCGGATTCGTGTCGCTTCACTTAAGCCTCCAAGCTTCAACACTTCAGGCAGTGGAATGAGAGCCATGATGGCTGCCACTGTGATACCCTGCAAGTCACAAGGCTCTTGTAGCCACCTTGAATCTTCTGGCCTCCATAGTCCACGAGGGGCGCAAAGAACACCTTCAGAGCTGCATGTAGCTTCACAATGGCCAAAACTTCACTGGCACCGGGAGTCTTGATTTAGATTCAGCAGCTGGGGGAGCGTGCTGTCACTCAGGCCGTTGATGCTGCCCTGGATGGTGTACATGGCCACAACCGCAAGAAGAACAGCCCTCATTTTGAGACAAAATCAGAAGGGTAAGTCACAGAGTGGAACCAGAGAAAGATCGAGCTGACATGGCCAAGACGGTCCAAAAACATGCCAAAGTTTCAAAGGGTGGAAAGGATAACTATACCAAAAGCGATTTCTACGTAATATGTGCATGTCAAATGCGGACTGTGCAAAAGATAGCTGAATTTGACCAGGACAAGACTTACGTTTGGATTCTTCGAACATCCGTGAATTCCAGGCTGGGAGTCTTTCAAGCAGAGGCTCCATTTTTTCCAACATGAGTAACATGAGACGTTCAGTGGCCAACCCTTTGGTTGCCTCAGAAGAGTCGACGCCTGCGGGTGAAGCAGTAGCCCATGCTGCGTCTTCGATTGCAGCCGATCTTCTTCAAACTTTCCAACGATGGCCCCTTCGGTCGGTCCCTTGCCGCCGGGGTGGTGCAGAAACCACAGGTCTCCTTGTGGCCGTTTCTGACCATGGTCGATTTTGGCGGTGTCACCAAAGATGGCTAGCTGCGCAATCCCACATAAATTGGCATTGAAATGGGAAAATCATCTATACATGGGTGCTTTTCCATACTGTTCCATTGTCATTACCAGAGGGTAAGGGGAAATCATCGGAAATCTACAGGAAACCCATGGGTTTTCCCCATTTCCAATGGCCCGAGTTGACCCTGGTCCTTGCACTTCAGGTCCACCTCATCATCATGATGGCAGGCATCCTGGAGACTGGTGCAGTTCAACGTCTCGTTGCCCACCAGGAACAGCGGATGCTCGTCCTTCTTCCCGTCGGCACAGGCATCTCCGGATGAGCCACAGACACCGCAGAGGAGTGGACAGTTTTTTCGCACCTGGCTGCGGGGCAAACATACGGAAGTTGACCCAAAACGGAAGTTGTGTGTGATGTTTGTTTGGCGGATGAACCTTGAAACTTTCGGGTGAACTGCTGGTTCAGGCTTGCCATTTGTGTTGGTCTTATCATGTCTTATCAACGTGATTCTTGGAGAGAGAACATGTGTTTGGTATCCATGGATCTATTGGAGATCTCAGTTATACACCAACAAGAAGCTACCATAGTGGGTCTGGCAGCTTTGCATTGGTTTGGACTAGCAATCCCATCTCCCTACTGAACAGATCCAAGACTAAACCATGGTTTATAGGCGGTGCTTAAGATTGGGGGCAATGGATTCTTGATATACATGCCATGACATCCCTGGTTCAGGAGTAGTTGGTTCACCTGATGTACTCTCAGCTACTCTAACTTGACAATTGAACATGTCCCATTTGTGGAAGATCGACCTCTATAAAGTTCTGATGTTCCCTGGTTGTTTTCGAGAGGATCTAGTGGCTGGGGGTCGGCATTCATCATGGGGCACAAAACCCTTTCGCAGGATCCTATCCAAAACATGCCTGTCTTTCAAAAAACTCAAAGATTCGAAAAAAAAAAAAACTTCAAAAGTCAACCAAAAGCAAAACCCAACCCTCCAAATTCTCCCAACCCTTCCAACCCCCAACCTGCGCGCTATGTTTGCACCCGGCAGCGCCCCGCCGCTGTTCCTTCATCCCCTGGCACGTCACCGCATCGGCCGCCGGGCCGTCGCCCGGCTGCTGGAGGTCATCAGTGGGGAGGTCGAAGGGAACGAAGGAGGACCAGGAGTCCTGGTGGTTTTGGGGGGATTTTGGAGGTCCACACCCCCGATTTTTGTCAGAAAATGGTGGTGGTGGTCCTGAGTGTAGCAACAAGATCAATTGGGGGATTTAAGTGGCAAAGATGTGGAATTTGAGGGAGTGTGGAGGGATGAATCAACTCAAAATGTGCAAATTGAAGATTTGACCGGCTTTAAAGTTGCAAAAAAAAAACGAATTTTTGAAGGTTTGAATCAGCCAGTCTTTCAGATGTTCACCACCAAGAAATTGCTAGTCTCCCCACAAACAATGAGGGAATGATGGAAACTTGGACTTTGATTGACTATTGGAAGGTGTCAAAAACCCAAACGTTGTTCTTACCAACCAAAATTGGATTATAAAGATCTGAATTTAGGTTGGACCTGACTCTGGTATTCTGTGGTGAACATCCCAAAAACAAAAAGACTACATGCCTCTCCATTTCTAGAGTTCAAAAGGTCGTCACGATCATGAAAATCACAGCCCACCCATGTCCTCACACGGAATGGCATCGTGCTTTCCCATCCGCGGCAGACTCCGCATGTGTTCCTCGAACTTCGCCTTCTCCTCCTCCGTACACATCGCATCGCCGGCGATGCTGCCGGGCAGATAGACCATCGTCGAGGCGGAATTTTGGAGGTGACAGCCCTTGTCCTCCATGAAATACGTGAAGTGAGCGCAGTTCTTGGTCTTGAAACACCGAAACTGACCTGTTTTTGTCTTCACTTTTGCCACCCAAAAGCGCATCCAAAAAAGATGGAGAGGATGGAAGTGAGTCACTTAAAATCATTATGTCTACTTTTGGTGGCGCAAAAACAAACAGAAAGAATCTGTTCCAAAAAATCTATTCAACCCAGTGACACTGCTCATAATTCACCTCCCGCGTGCGGCCCGCACTTGGCATGTCCAGAGGACTGTAGGAAGCACTGAGGTGGTAACAACTTTGGCCACCAGACTGAACTCCCCAGGTGGGTGGCTTCACTGTAGTGACTTTGGCCGCCGGGGTCTGGGGCTGCTTTAGCGGGTCCTCCGGGAGTTGGTCAACAATTGGGGGATGGGCCACCAAAATATGGCAAGTTTTTGGGACGAATACGATGATCAACCATGAGATTTGAGGTAATTGTGTTTTTTTAGACAAACCCATCCAAAGTCTCATGAATTACACAGGTACTGATAAATCCATGAATTCACATGGAAGTATACTGCGCATCGTGTCCATTTGATACATTGTCCCCATTTTGTCCTTCCTAAGTTTCCACTGTCTGATGTTTCGCGCTAAGTCACCATCTTCACTTTACCATCTTTACTCAATTCACCATCTTTTCTTAGAGAATCTCTGCCGTTTCCCCTCCAACCACGACCCCAGCGTGCCCAGCGTGCCCACGTGCCTCACAGGAAGGGGGGCCAGAGATCATGCCTTTGACCATCGCCTTCCGCGCAGAGGCATTCTGCAAGAAGCAGGCACCGTTCGCTGGCGCCTCGGTCATGGAAAGCCAGCCATGAATCAATGGTTTTTCGGTATACCAGGTGTATCACATCGAAAACTTGGTAAAAATGGTAAGCATAAAAAGTTAGAAGTAGAACATGGGAAACCGAAGAGAACAACTATTTTGCTAAGGGGTTGGTTGCTCCCAATCCAGTATCAGTATCAACCACTTGGAGCTCCAGTTCCCATTGAAGTTCTTCCTCGAACTCACTGGCTTTGTGCAAAATGTTAAAGTAAAATCTACTTGGTAAAACATAATATTTTCCTTGGGGCTGCAGTTGGAGTTACTATTGGATATAACCGTGGTAATCCCCAAAAGTTTGAATATTACCCTGTATAATCCCTCATGACAAGATGCCTACTGTACTACGTAAATGGAACTGCATCCCCCAGAAAGTGTCTGAAAACGGGATATACCTCCAAATTATTGCAATAGTAACAAAGTCAGTGGTCCCGATTTACAGACAAACCCAAGTACTAAAATCTACTGTGGTTATAACTTATAACTGTTCTACACATGTTTTACTTCGTGGGTTGGTGGCGATAAAACCTACGTAGTGAACCATAGATGATCATGAAACCATGCAAACATGGTATATTATGATTATGTAGGTTTATAACTAAGATAGTGAACCATTCAAACCCACGTATCTGGGTAAATTATAGTAATTCACTAACCTGAAATGTTCGGCTATCTTGGGGATGATTCCCCGTATATTATATAAACCATGATTATAGTGAGGGAGAAGAGCGAGGTCGTTATAATTATAATTTACCCAGACGTATATATACATAAATATAAATAGATATTATATATATATATATGGATATTATATTAATATATTCCCAGCCACTGGGCTAATGAAATCCTGGTGCTGCCCAGTCACATAGCTCCAATGGGCACAAGCTGCGACACTTTGACACCGCTTCTGGCAGCCTCCGGGCTCGGCTTCGGTGCTGTTCTCCAAGACGTCACCTTGCAGGAGCTGGTCCCCAACAGAAAAATGGCAAGTTTCCCAACAGGAAATGGTGATTTGAGCAACAAACATAGCTGGTTGGTGGTTGAGTTGACCTACCCCTCTGAAAAATGATGGATTATTTTGTCAGTTGGGACTTTAATGAAATTCCCAACTTTTCATGGAAAGTCATACAAAAATCTTCCAAACCACCAACCACCATAGGGGATGATCTTGGCATTTAAGCAACAAGAATTGGGATTTAAGATGATTTACCAATCAAAAGTGGTGATTTAACCCATCTCCATGGAGGTTGAGCTTGAAAAATTGTGGATGTGAACCAAGAAAACACAAAAATCGGACCCAAAAATAGGTCAAACATCAGCCAAGATGGTATACTTGAAGGCACCAAGATCTTCAGCAGAATGTTTTTCAGTAGATGGAACGGTTTTTTTCTTGACAGCCCTACCTTCCAGATAGAATTGATCTGTCTGCAAACACTCCAGGCCACTGACGTTGGAAGTATTGCTCTCCAAAGTTCGATTGCCATCCACTGGATCCACTGGGCCATCCATCTTTCGTTTCGAGGCGTTGCTGTGGTTGCCAAGCTCATCCCAGTGCCAGTTGTCGTCATCTGCATCTGGATCTACCGTCCTTTCAGGTGTCTTCATCTGCTTCCGCAGTTCATCGGCCTTCGCCACCTCAGCAAAAACCCTGGAGTCCCTGGGTAGTTTGACCCAACGGGGTACTACATCCCCCCTAAGAAAGATGCCGAAAAGGTCTGAGACCTGGGAATTATGGGGGGAAGATCATCCTATACCATCCAGGAAATACGTTTCTCTATATTTTTAGAAACCCCGATTTCAACTGCCTATATGGCATTGGCTCAGACAGATTGACCCAAAAAAAATTATATAAAGGTCTTGAAACTGAGAAATGAAGGAATCCCCTCCACAATTATGGTTGGCTACATAACTCATTGCTTGCTTCGTCTTGCAATCTATGGGGCCATGGTTGATTTTGAAACATGTGCTGAATCACAAAGAAATGGTCAATGAATAAATTCAGGGTAAGGATTATGGCAAGCCAATGGTTATAGCAACCAATTTTCGTAGTATATAACCACATTGTTCCCACCTTTGCATCCCCAAATTATGTTCCTGGTACCATATCCCCACCAAAGGCCATATAAATTCTGGACATACCCTCTGGTAAACTAACATAGCTATTGAACATGGCCATTTATAGTTGATTTACCCACTAAAAATTGTCATTTTCCATAGTTTTTTGTATGTTTACCAGAGGGTATGATCCATCCAAATTGGGATGGTTTTCCCAAAATCTTCCCAATTTTCACCCAAAAAAAGTGGCCCAAGCCCCAACATCATCAAACAAACCCAGAAACATTTCCCCATCCCATCCCCTCCCATCCCCACCTCCCCCTCCAAGTCATCCGTGCCATTCGCCTCCTCCGTGGCATTGCTGTCCTGGTCCTCGTCCTGATGACGCCGCACCAACGCACCGCTGCTCTGCACCTCGAAGGACAGCGTCGCAGCCTGGTGACGCTCGCGGTGCACGGCGGCGTTGGCGCCAAGGGCGACCAGAAGGAACAGCTGCAGGAAGAAGGCCATCCCTTTTTTGGGAAGGAATGGCCAAGGATGAGACTTTGAGACTCGGATGAAATGGGAGTGAGGATAATGACTAGGTGTCTGATAATGATATTGAGATGATGTTGAGATGATACTGAGAGTGATAAAAAAAATGTGAGAAAGGATATTTCGAGGATAATGAGGTAATGAGGATGAAATTCCCAGACCACCAGGAGCAAAACCTCCACGGCACCACCAACGGCGAGTCGTCCACCCCGCGATGACGAACTCGGGACGGGCGCGGGCCGGGAAGACCTGGAGCCAAATTGGCCCTGCGATGGCAGCGGCGTCGGTGCATTGGTAGCTTGAAAGCCATCCAATGTCCCGAACCTATCCTCTGGTTGAACGTATGAACTGGAAAATCACCATTTTTTTCTGAGGTAAATCATCATGTCTATCATCTATAAATGGGCAATGTTCAATGTTGAATCACCAAAGGGTACATCGGGAGATAAGAACCATGGGATGGATTTAAAGGAGATACCCTGCAGCCGATCCTTCATCCCTTCACCATCCACCCCACCAATGCAACCCCACCAGATCATCCAAGTCACCAACATGTCAATTCTGGGATTCATGATTTCTGCCCTAGAAACTTCTACCATCCCCTTTTAAAAGACCCAGCCAGTTGCCATCGTTAAAAAGCCGAGTCGTTGAGTCGTCATCCCAGCCCCAGCCACCATCCAAAATCCTCCAAGTCACCAACGAGCGAAAACTGAAGTTATCCGACTGCAACAGTTTCCGGCCATAGTCCACCACTGCTTCCTCCACCGAGTGGAAGTCGTCCACAATGGACTCTACAATGGAGTCTCGGTGTCAAGCTGACAGCGCAGTAACCAGGGCAGCAGCATATCATATATATAATATACGATAAATATAGAGATGATGACATGTGGGACAGCGGCCAGATCAGCAAAGTCAATTCGGTTCCTCCCGGTTCTGATCTATAGGAACCCCAAAATGAGATTGATGTGGCTAAAATCCTACTAAAATAGCGGTACACTTAAGCTTTTCTATCTCTTCGTGGGATTACTTTGATGTTGTTGTCAATTCTACGGAGGGGGGATGCTGCTTTGCCACAAGATAGAACAGGAAAACGGCAAAAGAATGCATATTCTTCAACGAACCTAAGAATCTGGATATCAGGCCCGGAATCTTCAGAACATCTCTATCTTAACACCTCATTTTCAATGGACAAATTATGGAATATTGGGATTCTGTTCATCCTGGTTTTCTGGATGTTCATCCCACATGGCAGATCTCTGCAGCGGAGCTACGACGTTTGGGCTTGGAGCCTCCACTGCTTCCGGCTTGGCTCTGCCTTGGAGTTTCGCCAATTCTCGAATTTTATGATGAACAAATTGATGATTGAATCAATGGTGATACCCTCTGGTAATTTAACATTGCTATTGAAAATGACCATAGAAATAGTGGATTTTCCCATTAAAAATGGTGATTTTCCATAGTTTTTTGTATGTTTACCAGAGGGTATCACCATTGATTCAATCATCAATTAGTGATGGATATCACCAGCATCTCCTCCATGGATCCATCTCCGAGTCTCGCAGTTGCCATGGAATGCCGATGAATAAAAAAGGGAGAAAGCCTTAAAATCATTGGTAAAATCCACATGTATGCTGATGAAATTGGGATTCTTACAGATCTCATGAAGTTTTTGCAGTGTAAATCCCAATGTCCTTTGGTAAAATCACTGCAAAATCTCCATTTCCAACCAGTTTTGATCAATTTTCAGTGGTTAAATTAAACGTTCAAGCCCTATTTTCATTGGTCAAATCCCTGATGTGTTTTTATGAAATCGCAGCATTTCACTCAAAAATATCACCAAGTCACCATGTGTCTAATTCAACCTCTATTTCTGTTGGGTAAACCCCCATGTTTCATTGGTTTTTCATTCATTAAATCCCTATCTTTCTCTGGTTAAATCAGCAATGCTGAAATCACCAAATATCCCCAGTTTTGTCAATGAAAATCACCAGATTCCACCATTCGACTCATCTGAAAAAGCACTGAAATCCATATGTTTCCCCAATTTTCATGGCTTCAATCAGCTCAATCCCCACATTTTCCAGGCGCGAAATCCCCATTTTTCCGCCGTCCAAGTGGCTCCTCCGCGTCGCTCAGCGTGTCGCTGACCTTCGACGCAACGGGCAAGGCCTGTGAGCTGATGCTGGGCTGCAACTCGTCCTCGATCTCCGACCTTGATGACGGAGATCGCGAGAAATATGTGTAGTTATTTGAGTAATAATTGTGTAGATGTGTATATGGTTGTTATGTGTATATATATATATACATATACATATATATATATATATATGGGGAATCAGCCAGTAGTCTCAATGATAATATATATATATATAAGGTATTTTAGTAATATGATGTAATATGATTTCGTTTGGAACCGTTTGGGTAGTATTAGAAGTCAAATGGACGAGCAAAGGATGATGCAGCTGCCGGCATTTTTGGTCAACTTGCCTGGTTTCAGGACGTGTGTCCTTTGTGTTTACATCCCAGTTGGATTGGATAAAATCCCATTTTTCCTGGGCAAAAATCCAATTTTGGACCCTTTGGATTCATTGAATTCCCGGAGATGTTCATCAACATCTGGGTCATGGGTCAAAATTTATGGACCCCAACAAATGGAATATTGAAGAAACCCTCCGGTAGTCAAACGTGGCTAGCTGGGAAATCCCGTAACTCAATGAAGGTTTCGGTCGCTCGGAAAAGCATCGAACTAAATGGTGAATTGTCCCTTAACAGGGGTTGGTTTGCCTGTCCCATTTTGGGAATATTGGACATCACCTAAAAAAGTAGCCATGGCATTGACCATATACCATTCATGGTTGGGTGATGTGAAAAATGGGGACATTTAATGACCCATGCTTAAAGTCTCCATTTATTATGTGTTTTTCCATCGAAAGCTCCGTTTTCTTCGGGGATTTGCCAAGCCGCGTGGGTCGCACAAACGCGACATTCTCCAGCCTGGGGCCTTCTTTCCAGGGCTCCTCACATGCCACAAGTGTCTCACTAGGTATGTACTGATTTAATTAATGGGATTGATAGTTGTTTAATGGGATGCTATTGGGATATAACTAGCCAACAATCAAGTTTATACAAAGTGGTGCCCCGTACTTAACAAAATTGCTAAACATAACTCTAATAACGTTTGGGTTTATGTTGGATATATCTAGAACCTTTGGGTTTATATTAGATATCTATAGTTAAAGGGGATTATACAGTAAACCAACCTATAACTAGGGGGGCACCACCTTATACTGATATTCACCCAGTTGTTGAGTGCAAAGCCTCCAGCCAAACATGGCAAGCCGCTGGGAAATCTGCCCACTCAATGGACATTTAAATGGGAATATCATCATCTTGGATCTATAAATGGAGGATTTTCTAGTTTGATTACCAGATATTAATATGGTTTTGATGTCGATATAGGATGATATAGGCATCAACCTTGGGGCCTTTCTTCCAACGTTGGACCTTCTGGATGTCCTTTGAAAGACCGAAACACCGATGCCTGGGATTGAACCATCGATGGTTCAATCCTCTTGTTGACCCATTGATGATGGATGACTCATTCTCATATGGCAGTGTGTCAAAACCTTGTACCCCTGTAGTTCACATCAAAATAGCTGGTAAATGGATGTTCATCCCCCTAAAAATGGTATGTATAGGTATTGATCCATAGCCATATCATGAAAAAAACGATACTTACCATTACTTACCATCCATGACTCATGGGCGAATCTATGAAAATAGCTGTGAAAAATCCATCCCCACTGCTCTCCGGAAGCGGAGACATATGCGGAGCACGCACAGCTGGGCTGATCTCTCCCTCGCCCGGACCTGGCGGTGGGAAAAAGGGATGACCTGCACTCGTGTTAGATCACGTTTGAGTAAGGAATAAAGATATATATATATATACATACAGAGAGAGAGAGAGATAGATAGATAGATAGATAGATCGATAGATCGATAGATCGATAGATCGATAGATCGATAGATCGATAGATCGATAGATCGATAGATCGATAGATAGATAGATAGATAGATATAGATTATAGGGAAGAACGTGGCGATAGATCGATAGATCGATAGATCGATAGATCGATAGATCGATAGATCGATAGATCGATAGATCGATAGATAGATAGATAGATAGATATATTATAGGGAAAACGTGGCCGAAAAAAACCTGACTTTCTTCAGTTATGTTGGTTCAACCTCAAACCAGTGATAGTTACCCTGAAAATGGGCAGTAAACTTCCCATTGTGGGTCCCATTGTGGGTCCCATTGTGGGACCTCAGGACACTGTCATTTCCCTTCTTGAGACCTGAGGACCCGCCAATGAAACCCAAAGCTAACCTGGCTTACTGCGAAAGATTACAACACCACCCAAATTTGCTCGAAAAATACGAAGGATTCACCCATCGGCCTATCAACTATCCCCAACTTGAGGCTTTATCTACTTACTTGGATTCTATGAATAGTTATAAATATCAAGTTCCCTTTTTTAGAATAATTCATGATCACCTCCCACCAATCATCTCCTTTCCTTCCTCCAAGGCCCCATCTTCGCCACCTTGGAGATCTTGGAGCGTATAGCTGTCACTTGACCTGGCTCATGCATCATCAGCAACAGCAACACCGCCAACAGCAGACACCGTTTATGGACAATAAACCATTATAAATCTTATAAACATGTCAAAAAAAATATCAATAATGACAATGTTCATTATCACCATGAGAGCTCATTGTCATTGTAACCTGGCAGTTATTATCACAATGACAATTCTATAAATATCAATATTAATAATCAATGACCAATTTTTGATATCGATAATATATTGATATTAATTATATTGATATAAGTAGTTGATAAAATACTATCAATACTAATAGTTACTTATCAGTTACTAACAGTTACTTATCAAAATACTACTAGTTACTGTACTAATACTATCAGTAGTTGATAAAATACTATCAATACCTGGCAGTGATAGTATTGATATACTGTTATATATCAGCTACTAAATCTACTAGTGTATATATAGACAGATAGCTATAAAAATCATAAAATGCCATTAAATATTGATATAAATGATATAAATAGTTCCCAATAAGCCACGTTTTCTTCCGGCAGTGAATACACCCACCCAACGTGGAAACCCAACAAAAACCCCACCGGCACGGCGCGAAGTGCTCCCTCAGCAACTCGGCCAACTCGAGACGTTGCGACTGCCACATCTCCTGCGTAACGTGCGAAAAACGCCCGGCCAAGATCTCAGGATTTCACCATTAAAAAAAGGGATCAATATGTGTTTGATCTATATGAATTGATAGATATAGATATATATATATATATGAATTACTGAAAAACATAGATTTGAATGGATCTATATGTGAAAACATCGATTTGAATGATTTTACTCTCATATAGAAAAAAAATCTGGAAAAAGTTGAAAAACGGGCCAAAATGGGTGTTCGAACAACCAAAGAAAGTGAATTTTGCCGGGTAAGATTCGCATTTTAACATGTAAACCCGTAAAATAGTAGTAAGGTTCAGAGACCAAAATGTATATTCAATGAACCAAAGTGGTAGTAGTATTTAAAAAATCGTATATTTAGACATTTAACAACCAAATCGGAACGTAACCAACACTGAATGTGCATGGGTCAAACATTCAGAACCATTGGGGACGGACATGTTGGGCAATCTTCATGGCCTTTATCCATTTTTTGGGGTACCAAATTCTCAGCCATAGCTATGTCTAACATCATCATAGATAGAACCTATAACATCCTGGAAACACGTTCCTATCTTTTTCAGGACCCCGAAAAAGACAGATGACATCGCCACCTCAGTCCTCATGGGCTAATGTGAATGACTGAAATTTCTCGTCCAATCGCCGCATGCCTGCGAGGTTCACCAACTTCGCGGTTTCAGCACCAGCTCCAAGGGAAAATCCACAGACACCATGGGTCTCACCCCAAATTTAGGGGGTTTCTGATGGTTTCTGGTGTTCCCATGGTCGTCTGGGGATGTCAAAATCATTTGAAGAAACCATGTTCCAACAACGTGCGTGAAAAACGTTGGTTTGTTGGATGAGTGGATCCAACTGTTCCTTTGATCCAATGAAAACCTTGGGCCTGACATAGTTGCAGATTGATCCAGGTTTCAAGCGAAGATGTTCCACCAAAAAAGACATCCAAATTCTCAACAAGTAGTCTACTCAAATTTTGGGCACCAGGTACTTCGATTTCGACATCAAGATACATCAAGTCAGACTTGTCAGAGGTACAATCTATTCTATATATTTCTATATAGAGAATCTCACACAATAAAAGTCCTCCCCAAACTCTCCAAATTTCCACAAAGTCTGACAGATTCAGCTGGCATCCCCCTGCTGACCCTACCAGTCGTTCAGTTCAGTGTCCCATGCCTATGACCCATGGCTCTTCATCCTCTTCCCCCATGGCGCCAACGGTGCCAACGGAATGCCGGTGAGTGAACAACGTTGGTCAGAAATCCCCTGAGAAGATGATATGCATTCTGCATCCCAGCAGCAATTTGTCGAGAGGGTGGCCACACAGGTGCTGGTGATGGTTGATACACCATGCATCACTTACAGTCGATGTGGTCTTGTGATGCCCAAAAAAAGCCGAAACAGCCAAGGCCATGCGCAACCAGGATCTAACATTCCTGGAGTGACTTGGGATGAGCACAGATTTCAGCACTTGGGATGTTGCTGTCACCCACACCACAGCCAAATGGGCCCTACAGACCCCCCGATGATCCCACAGCCAAAGGCGTCCAAGTAGTCCATGCTAGGTGTCCCGACTGAGTTTTTTGGCCTGGCACAAGTTGGGACTGAGACTTCTGGGATTCTGGGAGGTTTATAACTATAGATCGGGATTGACACAGATTTTCCAATGCCAATCATAAGAATCGGACTATGTTGGGACTTTGATGGCAAGTTGTTTATAACATTTTATAACCATAAGCAGAATGTCCTGTGTTCTTAAGAGGTTGTGAAGTCTGATGTAGATTGGTAGATTGGAGAAATGCCTAGAGACTTCAAACATTCATCATAAAGATAAACCCTTTCATAAATGGAACTACAATCCACAACCAAAGTTCTGATTCACTTCCCCAATTTTTGGGATTAACTTATCCACTGTTTGTTTGGGAACTTCCGATTCTCGATGGCACTCTTTCGTCCTGAATCCCTTCAGAAATCAGACTATAATCATCTAAAACCACAAACAACCGACATTTTGTTTGCCAATATGGGTACCTCGAAAGATCCAAAAAAACATCTCCAAAAAATACCAAAAAAATCCCCAGTTTTCCCCAAGTTTTTCAGCACCACCCAGCTCCCAACCGGCCGCGCAACGCCACGCGGCGCCTGGTTCCTGCCTCGCAGCAGGCAGCTGCTGCTGCAGCCAGGCAGGGCCTGGGAGGCCGCCGTCATCAGCTCCGAGGCCATGCTGCCTGGGAGTCCAGTACCGTCGAAGATTCGGATCGAATCCAAAGACAAAGCTTATGGATGATCTGTACGTGATGATACATAATAGAAGATAATAGAAGATAATAGAAAATAGATGATAAGAGATGATAGAGATGATAAGAGATGATAAGAGATAAGATGATAAGAGATGATAAGAGATGATAAGAGATGATAAGAGATGATAAGAGATTATAAGAGATGATAAGAGATGATAAGAGATGATAAGAGATGATAAGAGATGATAAGAGATGGTAAGAGATGATAAGAGATGATAAGAGATGGTAAGAGATGATAAGAGATGATAAGAGATGATAAGAGATGATAAGAGATGATAAGAGATGATAAGAGATGATAAGAGATGGTAAGAGATGGTAAGAGATGATAAGAGATGATAAGAGATTATAAGAGATGATAAGAGATGATAAGAGATTATAAGAGATGATAAGAGATGATAAGAGATGATAAGAGATGATAAGAGATGATAAGAGATGATAAGAGATGATAAGAGGTGATAAGAAATGATAAGAGATGATAAGAGATGATAAGAGATAATAAGAGATGATAAGAGATGATAAGAGATGATGAGAGATGATAAGAGATGATAAGAGATGATAAGAGATGATAAGAGATGATGAGAGATGATAAGAGATGATAAGAGATGATAAGAGATTATAAGAGATGATAAGAGATGATAAGAGATGATAAGAGATGATAAGAGATGATAAGAGATGATTAGAGATGATAAGAGGATGAAAGAGAGGTAAGAGATGCTAAGAGATGAATATAAGAGTGATAAGAGATGATAAGAGATGATAAGAGATTATAAGAGATGATAAGAGATGATAAGAGATGATAAGAGATGATAAGAGATGATAAGAGATGATAAGAGATGGTAAGAGATGATAAGAGATGATAAGAGATGATAAGAGATGATAAGAGATGATAAGAGATGATAAGAGATGATAAGAGATGGTAAGAGATGATAAGAGATGATAAGAGATGATAAGAGATGATAAGAGATGATAAGAGATGATAAGAGATGATAAGAGATTATAAGAGATGATAAGAGATGATAAGAGATGATAAGAGATGATAAGAGATGATAAGAGATGATAAGAGATGATAAGAGATGATAAGAGATGATAAGAGATGATAAGAGATGATAAGGGATGATAAGACATGATAAGAGATGATAAGAGATTATAAGAGATGATAAGAGATGATAAGAGATGATAATAGATGATAAGAGATGATAAGAGATGATAAGAGATGATAAGAGATGATAAGAGATGATAAGAGATGATAAGAGATGATAAGAGATGATAAGAGATGATAAGAGATGATAAGAGATGATAAGAGATGATAAGAGATGATAAGAGATGATAAGAGATGGTAAGAGATGATAAGAGATGATAAGAGATGATAAGAGATGATAAGGGATGATAAGACATGATAAGAGATGATAAGAGATTATAAGAGATGATAAGAGATGATAAGAGATGATAATAGATGATAAGAGATGATAAGAGATGATAAGAGATGATAAGAGATGATAAGAGATGATAAGAGATGATAAGAGATGATAAGAGATGATAAGAGATGATAAGAGATGATAAGAGATGATAAGAGATGATAAGAGATGATAAGAGATGATAAGAGATGGTAAGAGATGATAAGAGATGATAAGAGATGATAAGAGATGATAAGAGATGATAAGAGATGATAAGAGATGATAAGAGATGGTAAGAGATGATAAGAGATGATAAGAGATGATAAGAGATGATAAGAGATGATAAGAGATGATAAGAGATGATAAGAGATGATAAGAGATGATAAGAGATGATAAGAGATGGTAAGAGATGGTAAGAGATGATAAGAGATGATAAGAGATTATAAGAGATGATAAGAGATGATAAGAGATGATAAGAGATTATAAGAGATGATAAGAGATGATAAGAGATGATAAGAGATGATAAGAGATGATAAGAGATGATAAGAGATGATAAGAGATGATAAGAGATGATAAGAGATGATAAGAGATGGTAAGAGATGATAAGAGATGATAAGAGATGATAAGAGATGATAAGAGATGATAAGAGATGATAAGAGATGATAAGAGATGGTAAGAGATGATAAGAGATGATAAGAGATGATAAGAGATGATAAGAGATGATAAGAGATGATAAGAGATGATAAGAGATGATAAGAGATGATAAGAGATGGTAAGAGATGATAAGAGATGATAAGAGATGATAAGAGATGATAAGAGATGATAAGAGATGATAAGAGATGATAAGAGATGATAAAAGATGATAAGAGATGATAAGAGATGATAAGCGATGATAAGAGATGGTAAGAGATGGTAAGAGATGATAAGAGATGATAAGAGATGATAAGAGATGATAAGAGATGATAAGAGATGATAAGAGAGATGATAAGAGATGATAAGAGATGATAAGAGATGATAAGAGATGATAAGAGATGATAAGAGATGATAAGAGATGATAAGAGATGATAAGAGATGATAAGAGATGATGGGATGAGACATGATAAGAGATGATAAGAGATTATAAGAGATGATAAGAGATGATAAGAGATGATAATAGATGATAAGAGATGATAAGAGATGATAAGAGATGATAAGAGATGATAAGAGATGATAAGAGATGATAAGAGATGATAAGAGATGGTAAGAGATGATAAGAGATGATAAGAGATGATAAGAGATGATAAGAGATGATAAGAGATGATAAGAGATGATGAGAGATGATAAGAGATGATAATGAGATAATCTATAATCCATCTAATCACATATCTATAATCCATAATAAATAATGGATAATTATCTATCTTCGATCCATCTATGATTATGGATTATGGATTATCTATAATAATGGATGATTGTAGATCATAGATCATCCATAATAGTCCAAACTTACTTGATTGGGATAATGGGATAATGACTATAGATCATGATGGACTATGATCCCATAATGGATAATCCATGATGATTATCATCCGATTATTGATCATAATGGATAATGATTATAGGTTGATCCCATTTTGGATGATTATAGATGGACTATTATGGATGATAATGAACTTGAATGATACTATAATCATCCACAAATCGTCCCTTTTCGAGTTATCCAAAACGATCCAAAATGATCCTGATGTCCAAAATCATACAGCGACATTTCGCCACTGTCCGCCCCGTGGAAGTTGGCGGCCCATATCTCTCAGGCTTCGACTCAGAATGCCCTTGGAATTCTGGAAATCCATGCCTGACAGGACAGAGGTGCCAAGTGGATCATCAGCATGTCCGGATTGGAATTTCCCATTCTTTTGAAGAATTTCTGGGGACTTTCCCGGAAAAATCATCTATAAATGATCATTAATGGAACATTGCAGATGTCCAGTTTTTTGAATTGTCTGATCCAAACTTCGCTGACAGAGTGGTGAATCTCCAGCAGGAATCTCCAGTCCATGGTCCGACCTTCCCATGGTGAAAACTCACCAAACAACGATGGCCTCACAATCCACAAGCTGGTCGAGCATCTCATCACACCCAGCCGGTGGGCTGTTGGAATGTGTCTGACGCCACTGACTTCTCTGAAGATGCGTTAAAAAAAACTGGGTGTCTCTCAAAATAGGCAACCTCCAAGTTTCATGGTTTGTGACCATATTCCCCATGAACATGGCTATTCCGAGGCCCAGACTTTGACAACATCGTCGTGGAGCACGGGCGAGCACGGGTCGACTCCGCTAAATGATGTGAGTTTTTTCAAGAATGGTTTGGGCTGAGATGCCAAAGCATTGGTTCACAAAATACCATCATGTACCATCCATGTAAGTATCAATGGTACATGATTGAATATATATATATATCAAGTATTATCACATAAAGATCAAGGTGGTTGTTTGTTTTGCTTCGCAACACACTCTTTCTTTTATCATGATTGAACCGAAACACTAGAGGGCATCACGAGCGTGCTGGAATTTTACCAAAAATCAAACGCTGCGGATGTTGAAAACCATGCGTGTTTTTTTGGCAGAGGAGTTTTGTGTATGTGGCACCAACGTGTTTTTTTCCGCCACAAACGCTAAAAAAATGTCTTCACAAATGATCAAGTTTGTGCACAGGCCAGAGAATCTGTGAAAAGATCAACCGCTCACTACTGTCAACATAAGATCAAAAGATATATAATATTATATAATTATATAGGTGTAATAGTTTGAAGGGAATTATACAGCTTATACACCTATTAGAATCCTGTACACCTAACAATTGAACTTTCATTAGGAGCTTATACACCTATTAGGATCCTAATTATCCACTATATAATATGAAACTCCTATAGGATCTTGTAGGTGGCTCGAAAACTTTTTCAGAGATCTGAAGTTCTGCTGCGCGCTGACAAATCCGGGGGAAGCAGAGTTCCTTCTTGGCATTTCCAAAGGCATCTGCGAATGAAGCAATGCAAAGAAAACCACCTGAAAATGATATATTATATTTAAATAACTTATATTATATTTTATATATAACTTAATAGAAATATTATATTATATTTATATAACTATATATTTCTAAATATTATATTTATATTATATTTATATAACCTATATTATATTTTATATTTAACTTAATAGAAATATTATATTATATTTATATAACTATATATTTCTAAATATTACATTTATATTATATTTATATACCTTATATTATATTTTATATATAACTTAAAAGAAATATTATATTATATTTATATAACTATATATGTCTAAATATTATATTTATATTATATTTATATTATATTTATATTATATTTATATAACTTACATTATATTTTATAAATAACTTAATAGAAATATTATATTATATTTATATAACTATATATTTCTAAATATTATATTTATATTATATTTATATAACTTACATTATATTTTATATATAACTTAATAGAAATATTATATTATATTTATATAACTATATATATATTTCTAAATATTATATTTATATTATATTTATATAAATTATTTTATATTTTATATATAACTTAATAGAAATATTATATTATATTTATATCTCCATATATTTCTAAATATTATATTTATATTATATTTATATAACTTATATTATATTTTATATATAACTTAATAGAAATATTATATTATATTTATATAACTAGATATTTCTAAATATTTTATTTATATTATATTTATATAACTTATATTATATTTTATGTATAACTTAATAGAAATATTATATTATATATATAACTATATATTTCTAAATATTATATTTATATTATATTTATATAACTTATTTTATATTTTATATATAACTTAATAGAAATATTATATTATATTTATATAACTATATATTTCTAAATATTATATTTAAATTATATTTATATAACCTATATTATATGTTATATATAACTTAATAGAAATATTATATTATATTTATATAACTATATATTTCTAAATATTATATTTATATTATATTTATATAACTTATATTATATTTTATATTTAACTTAATAGAAATATTATATTATATTTATATAACTATATATTTCTAAATATTATATTTATATTATATGTATATAACTTAACCCCAAAAGAATGAAGCAAATCATGGCAAATCCTCGTTTGCTGGTTCGATATTGTTCAGTCCTCATTCATCCTCATTTACTTTGCTTACATTCCGGTTTTTGTTCAGAATACACCATTTTTGTTCCTCAATCTCACCCCACTGCCACCTTTTTCTGCTCTGCCCTGCCAGACTTCACTCCACCTTCGCCCTCGCTTAAGGTGTAGTCGCAGACTGTGGCAGGGCTGACGTTTGGGTAACCACACCAGTTCAGGCGTGTTCGTTCTTCGGTTGGAAGTCTTCACTGCAATCTCCACTTTTCCACAATCTTTTATTATAAATTTCGAGTCTTGTGGCACTTCAATGTCGATGCCATGTTCGCTGATTCCAAAGTTTTATTGTTCCCGATATCGCAAGTTTCTGTTGATCCACACTCCACGAACTGGTGAAGTTCCAAGATAAGAGGCTGGCGCTGGCTTCGCGGCTGGGACCAAGGATCTTGGGCCAACTGGTTTGATGGTGCGGATTTTGGGCTACGAAACAAGAAACAGCAAGATTTTTAGACCGCCGTCAGCTGTGTGTACTTTTCCAGGGGTGTACTAAGCAGCAAATTGGAGTCTAGAGCTGCAGCTGTTCATAGGGATGTGAAACGGATTATTGTAAACACTTTCCGAGGAGCCGGTCATACGAACAAGAATAACCTCACATCACCAGAGTCGACAACAATAACTGCTGCTAGGGGTTCAGGGGATGTAACAATCAAGAATAGAAAAGGTGCTACAGAGATTGTAACCACGCCAATTACTATACAGTTCTTTTGAAACATATTTTCTGATGGGATCTATTTTCTACCCAACCCAATCCGAGCACGTGAGCCACAGAGCCATCAACCAATCTGGTCAGATAAGAAACTTCAGTCCATTGACCTGGACAAATATACTATGCTTTGGTATGGGGTCAACTGGTGGTTCGTGGAAAATGTGACCAACCATCGACTATCTTTGACTGATCTCCGGAGAATCCAACCAGTGATCTTTGACTATAGCTGGTTGCAGTGTGTATTATACATATTGCACAGTATTACCCCCAATTGCTGGGTGAATCTCCTGGTTTTTGCTTCAAAATCCTCAACCTGGAAATCGCTCCAAGCACTGCGGATCAGTCAACTTCAGCGATTTCGGCTGAGATCTTCACCCATACCAAGCCAGTCGAGCGGCTGGAGCAATGGCCAGTGGCTTTCCCAGGAAAATGTTGCTTTGGGAACTCAGAATTTCTGGGATTTCTTTGGCACTGCCAGAAATAAAATCGACCTAAGTTACCTGCGGTTTCCAAGCGGTCGCTACTGATCAACGGTTGTCTCATAACCACCCAACCAGCTGGCCGAGATAAGGTGAAAATCCAGCCAAAGTAAATCAGGTCGTCAATTCGTCAATGTCAAATCGAGGCTCCGACGGAAAGAAACGCCGCCATCACATCTTGAGAAATTGCATCTGCATCGAATCAACCAGACTACAAGAAGTACCACCATCTGATGGAAACCGTTTTTTAATCGTGGCACTCTTTGCACAAAGTCAACAATCAGTTTGCAAGCTGAAGTGAAATGGAGAGCAGATATGAGGAGCGTTTCCATCTGAAGCAACCTGACATTGAATTAATCTCAATAAACATGGCATTGTCGAGGATCTTCCCCCTGGCACCGGCAAACAAGGAAGGACCCTGTAAGAAAGAACATACTCCCAAGGCGAACTCAATGGAATTTGCATGGGTTTGTGGACTTTTCTTCAGCTCCACATTTGGAATTATTTTTTTTTAAGGTTTGGTTCAACCTAACAATCCACAAAATGCCCTGTGATCATCCGAGTCAATTTCATGGCGATTGTTTTCCAACCTGAGATGCAGAAGACAACCCTGGGAATGATCTGGCTACCAGGCACAATGCCTCTCACTGTCGAATGATCTGAATGAGGTTCTTCACATGGTTCGGGTCTAGAGTCGAAATCAAGAATGGTCAGGAGATGAGGCTCCGAAGGTCCCGGTTTGCATTTCCAAAGCATTGTTTTATAACATTAATTAGAATAATATCTATAAACCTATAATCATATTTAATATATTATAACCACCTTGGGATATAACCATCCCAAATCCCGGGTAACCCCGGTAACATCCGGGAACTATGTCCAGTACACACCGTGAAGCCGTGGCCTTGGGGGGCGATCGCCAGGGCGGGCTTCGTGACTTCGGTCCGACCCTTCGGTCCCATGGGTCCCACCTGGCCTCGGTTCGAGACGGGTGGGAATTCTGGTGATTGCTATGGGATTTATGGTGATTTATGGTGATTTTATAGGGAATTTATAGGGATTTATAGGGACTAATAGTGATTTTTATCGGGATTTATGGTGATTTATAGTGATTATACTATGAGATTTATGGTGATTTGATGGGAAATTATAGTTTTGGGCCATAGGTATATGAGCCAGGATGGCTTCAAAATCTAAAGATGGAAGATGATGGAAGGGGGGGAAGACGGCAGGATGTTGCCTGGCAGATCCTGGCCACACTCGCCCATCTTGTCGTTTCAGAGCACCTTGCACGTTCCGGAAGAATCCAAGGGACTGACACCAGAAAGTGGAAGGATTCCGATTCACAAATGTCAAAAAAAAAACTCCATCGGTTTGAGCAAATTCTCGAAGCAATATGTTTGAACTGCGCAGCCAATGGCATTGCACCAAAGCCGCTGCTTGATACCAAGCTGGGCCCCGCACTGCCAGGATGTCAGTGGCCCTGCAGAGACGACCTTGGGCTCCAGAGCTTGACGGTTGCGTCCGAACTGGCAGTGGCCAGCGTGGAGGCGTTCAGCCGGCACAGGGCGAAAACCGAGCCAGTGTGCCCCTCGAGGGTCTGGAGGCGCCCAGTCCCAGATTTTGACGGTGCTGTCGTTACTGGCACTGGCCAGCGTGGCGGCGTTCAGCTGGCACACGCCGATTACCGAGCCAGTGTGCCCCTCCAGGGTCTGGTAGCACTGGAAGCACGCCTCCTCGTCCTCGTAGTCGTAGTAGGAGTGCCAGATTTTGACGGTGTGGTCGGCACTGGCAGTGGCCAGCATGGCGGCGTTCAGCCGGCACACGCTGTATACCCAGTCCTCAAGGGTGTGGAGGCACCTGCCGCTGGGCCAGTGCCAGATTTTGACGGTGTGGTCCCCACTGGCACTGGCCAGCGTGGTGGCGTTCAGCCGGCACAACCCGAATACCGGGTCAGTGTGCTTCAGGGTCTGGTCGCACCGGAACCCCTCGTAGTCGTAGGAGTAGTGCCAGATTTTGACAGTGCGATCGAGACTGGCAGTGGCCAGCGTGATGGCGTTCAGCCGGCACACGCTGTATACCCACTCGCGGTGCCCCTCAAGGGTGTGGAGGCACCTGCCGCTGGGCCAGTGCCAGATTTTCACGGTGCGGTCCTCACTGGCACTGGCCAGCGTGGTGGCGCTCAGCCGGCACAGGGCGAAAACCGAGCCAGTGTGCCCCTCGAGGGTCTGGAGGCACCTCCCGCTGGGCCAGTCCCAGATTTTGACGGTGCTGTCGTTACTGGCACTGGCCAGCGTGGTGGCGTTCAGCCTGCACACGCTGTTTACACACTTGGTGTGCCCCTGTAGGGTGATGTCTGGCAGCAGGCTGCAGTCTGTCTCATCCTGCGCCGGGCCGATGTTTTTATTGTTTAGGCTTGAGGGGAGGAGAGGTGGTGCTTTTTGGTCGCACCGCGCAAATTTTGGCGTCCGGTTTCACTTAGATGATTTGAGATGGCTTCCAGATCTTCAAAACTCAAACTCTTCAAGCGTTGGAGAACCAGAATCGATGATTCCATGATTTCAATACATGAAGGCCATGCGCATCAACTGTATCTGATTGTAATACAATTCAGAATTCTTTGCACAGAATTCAGAATTCAGAATTCAGAATTGATACAGTATCTTTGCACAGAATTCAGAATTCTTTTGGAAGGAGTATCCAAAAGGCTGCTGATAAAAGGCGGAAAGACTTCCCACACAGGTCTCCTCTTCGAGCCATGCCTGCCAACCAAAGGATCAGAAACAGAATTGCACCTTTCAAAACCCAAAAATCTGCCTCGCCCTCATTGCCCTCTATGTCCAGCTCTTCTAGGGCTCCACTTTGCCGATCCAGGGCCTGTCCAAGCTTTCTAAAAGGAAGAAGCCGCCAATCGTATGGGGTGCCGTTTTGCACATGGCCGTGATCTTCTCGCCTTGCAGCCCAGGTCCCCAAGTTTGTTCAGCTGGATATGGAGGACTTTGAGCGCTTGATTGGCCCGGAGTGCTTGTGCCAAGGCCTGCAAGACAGAAAGTCAGCAGGGTGAAAGAGAGTGGGCAGCAAATGCAATTCCTAGCCAAAAAAGGATAACTCCATGTCTAAGTCTATGCGGACATGACTCACCAATCTCGCTGCTGTTCAAAACCAATTCTTTCAAAACAGTGTTTCTTTGTAGGCCTTCACCAATGGCCTGGTACGCACTGGTGCAGTTCATTACTATTCGCTGTCCACAGAATCTTGGCTAACCATTCATGGCACATGCGACTCTTAGCCAACAAAATAAACAACCTCATAAGTGAGCAAAAGCGATGAGGGGAATGGGGAGATGCCCCGAACTGTGGAGGAAAAAAGTCAAGAGCATCTTGTACCGGACTACATGTGCGCCTGCATGGGTGTGTGGCTGAGCAGTAGCGCATCTCTTCCAACTGCACATTGATACCCCCAGGCCTCACCGCCTTGGTCACCGATCTCGTTGTCATCCAGGACCAACTTGACCAAACCAGTGTTTTCTTGGAGGCCTTTGCTAATGGCCTGGGACGTACTGGTGCAGCTCATTGATCTCATGCTCTGTGTTTACAGAATCTTGATCAATCGTTGGCTCAACCATTCATGGCACGGCTTTCTGGCACAAGGAAAGGCCATGGGTGAACTGAGGAAAGCTCTCCACAACAATCGTGACATGCAGCAACGCGTTCACAACCAATAGACATCCGCCCAACCACCCTTCCGAACCCTTTCCAAACCTTGGCACCGGCATCTTGAATGCGATTACTTGCCAGGCTCAACCGGCGTAAATTGCCGTTGTGGACAAGCGTTGTGCCGAGCACCTGCAACGAAAAGCAGGTGTGCCGCCCAACTTCCAAACCGGCGGATCCAGGATTGCTCTCCCGCACGGGGCTCTTCAGGAACCAAGTTAGCATCTGACAAGGGTTCCTACGCTGAGGATCGAGCTTTGCTTAGTTTCATGTCTCGCTTCACAAGGCACAGAAATGGGACTTTGGCTCTCCACTGATGTTCCTATACTGCTCTTCACGGACATGAAATCAGGAAACCATGCACTCAAAGCCTGAAGGGATGAAAGTGATGCAGAAACAGCACCAGCTTTAGCACATTCCTTTCACATCGAATCATGGTATATACTATACAGAAATTGATTCCGCGAAAACGTAGTTTGCGTATTTCAGCAGGCACTGAAAGCGTGCCTCAGCTCCTTCGTCTGCGAAATCATTATTGTCCAAATTTGCATCTTGGATCGTGCAGATTCTCTGGAAAGCACTTGCTATGGCCTGCCACTGCAAAAGAAGTCTGTAAAAACATGAACCTCACACCACATGACGGCACCAATGTAAAAGTGCAAACTTGCAGTGCGCTTGATAATAGACTTAATTGCGGACACAACGAAGAAACGTACTCAACCTTAAGCAGTTGGCCTCAAATTTGTAGCTTCTACTCTCAAGGCTGCAGGTGGGCCCGCATGAACTATGTGCCAACGCCACAAACAACAACAAGAAAATGAATAAGAATAAGAACAAGAAGAAGAACAAGGACTAGTCAGCAGTGCTTGTGAAACACGCATCGAAAGGTGTGTTGTTTACTCTGAGAATTGTTCCCGAGCAAAAGGCATTTGTGCCCGTGCAGTATGAGCACTGTCGAGTCTCTGGTTCTCACAGCACAAGCATTTGACTGCCTAAGAAGGAAATCACAACTCTGCTCTTGAAAGTATTCGACATTGGGATATCTCGGGAGTATACCATATACCGTATACCCCAATTACTAACCATGGATGTATTCACTTAAGTTTGACCTCATCTTTAGCATTTGGTAGTTGCTCCCTAATACTCTTCAAGAAGGCGAACTGCTTGTGTTGATTGAAAAGTTTCAGCAGAAAGAATAGATCCGCCCATTTTCAAGCGACCTGACTGGCATATGGACTACATGGTCACTGGGGTTGAATCTGCTTGCTGACGAGACAGCATGTGCAAGTACTCTGCCCGACGAATAAAAGCAACGGGAAGCACGAAAAACAATTTGTTGTTCTGTGGCATTTGAGTTTCCCACTTTTTTGGAGTGGAAAAGAGCATGAACGTACAATTACGTAGTGTAAGAAGCACCCGCAGGTCAAGACAATACAGTTTGAGCATGAAAACCATTGAAACACCTTCTGTCAAAGACACCTCGGTAAAGACATGGCCCTCGCACCCTCAAGGCCCAAGTTGTTGCTGTCCAAGGAAATGACTTGAAGCACTGAATTGTTCAGAAGGGCGAGAGAGACTGCCTCAAAACAGGACGTGCGAGTGCATGAAATCCGGTAACCGGCAACACTCCATGCCACTTTGGTCAACGTCCTTTTTCTGACCTTGCTAGTTACTGCATCAAACCCTTGAAAGGGATGCGACATTGAAGGACAAAGTGGTTGCTTTGAACAGGGGCCTGCTACAAATCTGCCAGACTGTTTGAGACGCTTCACGCCATTTCAACGGAGCTTTTGTCCAGATTTTTTCGGGATCTCCCTTGTTTGCAAACGTTTTTTTATAGGGGATTAAATTTCTTCCGCCCAACCCGGACGTTGCTCCACACTTACAATCGTCATGATCATGATCATCATCATCATCATCATAATCATCCCATCCATCACACAATCACATCATGATCATCATCACATTAAAATTTGCCACCGCCTGAGAATAATATGTTGGCTGGGGTAATAACATCAATTTAATCTTCATGAAGGATCAAAATGTGCCACCCCCTATGAACAATATGTGGATTGGGGTAATAACATCAACTATATCTCCATAAGGGATCAAAATTCGCCACCCCTTCTGAACAATTTGTTGGTTGGGGTAATAACATCAACTATATCTTCATGAGGGATCAGCATTCGACCCCCTATGAACAATATGGAACATCAATTTTATCTTCATGAGGGGCCAAAACTCGCCACCCTCTCTGAACAATATGTTGGAAAAGGGTAATAACACCAAAACTATCCTCATGAGGGATCACAGTTCGCCACCCCCTTTGAACAATATGTTGGTTGGGGTAATAACATCAACTTTATCTTCATGAGGGATCACAATTCGCCACCCCCCCATGAAAAATATGCTGATTGTGGTAACAACATCAACTATATCTTCATGAGGGGTCAAAATTTGCCACCCCCTCTGAACAATATGTTGGTTGGGGTAATAACATCAACTATATCTTGATGAGGGGTCAAAATTCGCCGGCCGCCCCCTATGAACAATACGGAACATCAACTTTATCTTCATGAGGGGTCAAAACCCGCCACCCCCTCTGAACAATTTGTTGAATGGGGTGATAGCATCAACTTTACCTTCATGATGATGATGATGATGATGATGATGATGATGAATGATGTGCATTTCGACATTCCACTTTTGGCGAACTTAAAAAAATTGCAACTCTTCCACGATTCAGGCGCGGAGCAACGTCAGGGTTGTACCGAACTTTTTTAAATCTGGTTGGGGCCGCATGATGAAAAAATTGTCTGTGATGTCTGTGGGTGTTTGGTGTGTGCGGGCCCCGGGCCAATTGCATTTGAATGACAAGCCAACATAGCAGTTGTATGCACCCAATGATATATGCGAAGAACTTGGGGATGTGGGAGGCTAGCTAAGACCATGCACACTTTGCTGACAATACAATCAAACGCGTTGGGAATAAAATGTGCATGTTTCATATTGATTCAATGGATCACTCAAAAAAAAGTCCAGGGACATCTTGATAAACCCGATTGTTAGCCGCCAATTTGTGATTCCTTTTGAGGAGAAAAAGGAAACACTTCATATTGCAACACAAATCCACATCACCACAAACTTGAAACAAATACCGGCACTGAGAAAACAAGAAAAGAAACAAAACGAGAGACACGTAGGGAGACGCAGTGTCTGAACCGGATAAAGGCGGACACTCTTAGAAAACAGCCTCAACAGCAAACTGTTCTGGGAATAACCTTCACGACGAACAAAAGAGCAAAGTCATCTACTCAGCGCCTGCATACCTTCAGCTCCAAGGGCATTTTGAGCTAGGTCTAACTCGACCAAGGTCTGGTTGTGATGAAGACCTGCTGCAACCGCCTGGCAAGGTCCGTATTCAGCTGGTCTCGAACTTTCAGCAAGTGTTGGATCCAGGGATGCTGATGAGCACACCGACTTGACTTTGAAGATCCCTATCAAGATGAGCTGAGCTGAGCTGTTGGGCTGCCACCCAGAGGCATTCAACCGACGAGATTATCTTTTCTTTTGGGAAACATCACAAAGTCATTACGTCTTGCGTTGGCCTCAGCGCCCTCGCGTTTGAGATTGTTGTTGGCAATTTTCAGGGTCTGGGTCTGAATCTCCATCGCCACCTGCCAAGCAAGAAAAGGAGCCTCGGCAAGGATTTGACAACAAGCACTCGGAAATCATCCTGAATAGAAATCATGTGAAAACCAAGCTGCCTTGGCACCGGCTGCACCCAAATCGTTGCCCGTCAGTACTAGACTTTCCAGCGGCTTCTCTTTCAAGCCTCGGGCCAAGGCCTGACAGCGCTCAGTATCAAGGATGAAAACTCAACTGAAGTTGAGGCAGGCTGACCGCAAGAGCAAAAACGATCAAAAATGATCAAAAATGCACCTTAGAGCCACTGATCAAGGCTTTGGAATCGCCTTCATGCCCTCCACGTCAAAAGGGTTTCCGGACAAGTCCAGGTGCACCAAGAAATGGTTCTTGGAGAGACCCACTGCCAGCTCCTGCCCAAGGTTTGTGAGTGACCGGTTTGCTCATTTCATCTGCGCCATGACATTTCAGTTGTGCACGGCCACACCAAAAGGACTGGCTATGGTCAACAGCACAGGTTCTAAAAACTGGCCAACTCCTTTGCCCACGAAGTTGGAATGTCGTTGTTGTTCATCCTCAGTGCCAAGGACAACACGTTTACAAATGGGAAAGAAAACACGCCGTGCAAACGTGCAGCAAAAGAGCCAATGGCTCAACTCTCATGAGGAAATTCACCACCAGGGCTTGCGTGGCCAAGAATCTTGAGGGTTTGCATAGCCTCCAGGTCACGGCATACGATCGCCAACACGCCCTTGCGACTGTCGCTGCCCCGTTTATTGTGTTATCGGCCTTCCATTGGCTCTCCCCGAATGACATCAGTTGATTCAAACAATCAAGAGGGTGTGAGATCCCTTGAAGAGACGATCCTCTAATGCCGACTCGACACAAAAGTACTGTCTATATTATATGTTTTGGCAACCTGCACTTAGAATCTTCTTCTTTCACTGTTATACTATATTTCAGTTTACAGTTTGCACATTTAAAAACACACCAAAATAGAAGTGCAAACTCCAAGCTAAGTGTAAGAGGCAGCCTGCCTTGAAGGCCTTCTCATTGCCCTTCAGTTCTGCCGAGACATCCTTTGCTGCTCTGCGATCAACCAGTTGACTACTGAAGGTTTGCCGTATGAAATCGGACGTCTGATGGTTTAGGGTGATCCTTTACTTGTACGAAGGACTTCGCTTTTGAGAGCTTTTTGAGAAGGGTTAGATACACTGTGAATGACATGCGCATGCCCAAAAGGTTGCCAAGCGAACATCATTAAAGGAAATGCTGGTGAGGCATGGGATCTTTAGATATCTTTAGCGCGTTTGCGGCGTGGCATGCTTGGTGTGAAAATAGCTGGCTTGACTTCTGCCAAGAAATTCCTGAAACCTTGGGGAATGACATGACCTCCATTCCTGTCTGGAGAATACCACCAAATTATGCTGGTGACTCACCCTCCTTTCTGAACGTTCAACTTTGACCCACAGCTTCCTGTGTGTCCAGGTAGAATGAATGTCCAACCAAGAGAAGGGTTGACCCTGCATATGTCATCTCGAAGTGCAGGCAAGAGTCCAACACTTCACTGGGGAGAGAGTCCAAGCAATGGGAGCAAACCCGCAAGGAGGCTTTCAACCGTTCCTACAAAACAAACCACAACTTGCCCAAATTAGCCAGCAAAATCTTTAGACTGACAACCTAAAGAAGGAACTTCGTCGTAAAATTGTGGAGCAAGAAAAGCAGTTGCTTCCTGACCTGTTCTCTACCCAGAATAAACAGTGGACACCTGATGTTCCTATTACCACCTCATATTCATAAATAAAGTGCACTTGTTTGCAGTCGAACCAGTAGCAGAACTCCCATTTTGCCCGAGCACCCCTCATGCTCCTGCCTGCACCGAGGAGCTGGACCTGGACTCACGTCTCTTGGTCCCTTGGTCGTCCTTAACAAAATCTACCAGCCAGGTACCTGAGCGCAAGTGATCGCTGAAGCAGAAACCGCGGTAAGAGGGTAACATATTGCCAAAGTTGACTGCACACAACATAGAGCCAACAGAGACCAGTCTTATGGACCTTGTGGCCTACAGTTCATGTGTGTTTGACTCGTCAACGGTCACTGTAGGATATAATTATTCCCAAATCTAGCAGCTTTGGAGACAAATATGGCGGAAGAGCTCAACATCCTGATCCAACTGCGCCTGTCACGCAAGGCATCAAACAAACTTGTCATGTCAAGACTGCAAGGGCCGACCGCTCCGCTTTCAAGCAAAATCGGTTGGGTCGCAAACAGGTTGGGGCAGGTTTGGCAAGGTGAACAAAAACGAGTGTGAGATGATTCATAGCAGAACTTTAAGAAAACTGTGCCGCTGTATTTCTTTTGCTTACCTGGAAGCCCAAGGCGCTCTAAAAAAGTATCATCCAACGAAAGTCGATGGTTTTCAGTTTTTTCGCCCAAAAGTCAATTTTCGCTGTCCTCGCGCATACCCTACACATCCATTGCTGGGTGTTGTGCGCCATTTTCCCCAGTTGCGCTGTGCTTTTGAGCCACTATAGTCTGCTGCCCCTTGATTGACTGAACTGAAAATTGAAAAAGATGTGAAAAGAAGGTGAAAGTGCCGTATTTTTCCGTATGCGGCGCGCGTATCCGCATTCACCCGATGCTCTGTGCACCGCAAACAGTTGGACTTTTGGGATGTTGGCTGATGTTGGTAGACAATTTTTAAATGTTCACCACCATGTGGGTTGATCACCGAAGTCGATGGCTTTTGTTTCAGGCGACGATTTTTGGCCCCAAAAGCCGAAAGTCGATAGTTTTCGCAAAGGCGACAAGAAATTAGAGCAACTTTGGGGTTCCAGGTACATCTACTATTCCCCATCTTCTCGATTCTAATCAGGATCTCTCGCTCTTTCAAAACTCAATCGTGCGAGCCATGGTCGATGCTTCTGCTATCGGTCAAGCTAGGTCATCAATGATTGGAAAACCCACACATAGATTCCAAAAAAACTACAGATCTTATGTGATCCAAATAGTCTGAATCTTATTTCCATCAATGAAATCATGGCGGATGTTTTGTAGGGTGGGGTTTAATTATCATATACCGTATATACCCCCAAATTCACACTTCATTGAAGTGCAAAGTTGATGATTAACCATCCAATTTCGTTTTCCCCTAAAGTCTTAGACAAAGCCATGGGCCTCCTCCCGCAGCCGCTGCAGCTGCTGAAGGTCCGAGGCCTCGAGCGCGGCGTCGATGCGTCCGGCCAACTTCGGAGCAATGCGGCGCTGCACGGGTTTGAAGAGCACCTGGGGGCAACGGGGAAACGGTCAGCAACGGCTACTGAGAGAATCCATGGACCCATAGTTTTCACATAAATCATCTGTAGTATGAAACATCCATATGTCTTTAGTTAGTTTCAGTCTTCAACTTATCAAACTGTTCATGTTTGGTGAAGAGGCCTGGACACCGGTCAGAAAGTCGAAAAGGAGCTAGAGTTTCTGGTAAGAAACACCAGTTTATGAAAAAGTAAACGAGTGCTGCTTAGACGCCCACGCCAGGGTGACTTGCAACACCGGGATCGCCAGGTTCAAAATGGCCACCACTGGGCTGTCCCCAACCAAAACGAGGTACACAATCGCAATGACCTGAATATATCTGATCTCTGCCCAACCAGGACCCCCAACAGACATGAAAGCAAATCCATAGAAAGCGAGTTGCATGCAGAACGCTGCCCACTCACATGACAAAACCAAATGAAGTATCCAACATTGACCCAGCACCATGGACAACTGATTCAACACGAATCCAGATGCAGAGAGCAACCCTCCGTGCACATGTCCAAGGTTTTGAGGACATGGAGCTGCAGAGGCTGGATATAACATGGAAAATACATGGAATAACTAGATCAGGGAGCGGCTCGGCGGCACTGCATTGATTGCAGACGAGCCACCGCTTGGGGTAAGTTCCTCAAAAGGTTTCAACTTGTGGGCTCTCGCTGTCATGTCAACACGTTGTCAACAGCAACAACGGTAAACTTGCAAACCATTCCACCTGTCTGAAAAAACTGCGTCAACGGCAAGCTGGCAATGTCCGATGTCATCAGCTGAGATTCTCCGACACCAACATCTTTCCTTCGATCAGCTCAAGGAGATACATGTCATGACTGAGAAACTGCAGGACTGACTTTCTGGTTCTAAGTGCCCTGTCAACGCCCCCCTCTTGCGTCTGAGACATGTTGCAGAATCACCTTTAGGATGGGGGTCAAGATGGTCAAGAGTTCTTCAGCCCAAAACAAAAAACATGGAGTCCTTGGCTCCCACTGATCCCGTGTCAGCGTGTCAGCACTGGTCACTACACAACGCCAAGCTGTCCAAGTTTCTCTTGGTGGGCGTGAATTGCTTGTAAATCACTGGCAAAGCCTCTGACCACCTTGGCAGGTCAAGAATGGCGTTACGACTGTGATCAACCAGTGGTTGCGTTCAAAGACAGCCAAACTCAAGAAAATTAATATTATACCATCCCAAAACTAGGTGCTAGGACTCAAGGAGAACAAATAAGCCCAAAGAATATCCCCAACAGCAAGAAAGCAGCGGCCGTAGATCCCAAACAGTAATTCCATATAAGCGTGGTAGTTTTTGTTTCATGACCAAGCAATGCAATGCATTTTTGCGCCGTCCTGCCCGCCGGCCTCCCCTACTACTACTACTACTACTACTACTACTACTACTACTACTGCTACTATTGCTACTATTGCTATTATTGCTACTGCTACTATTGCTACTACTACTATTGCTGCTACTACTACTACTACTACTACTATTACTACTACTACTACTACTACTACTACATGAATATATTACGACGAATATTACTACTACTTTTTACTAATTATAATTTCATCAAATTTACGATAAATATTATTTCTACTACATCTGCGATATTATTACTACTACTACTACTACAACTACTACTAGAATTATTAATAGTACGCGTGGGTTCCGCGCGCCTGCGTTTCGCGCGGGTTCCGCGCGTTATGTCCGTCTGCGTTTCGCGCGGGTTCTGCGCGTGTTGTTCTGCGACGAATATTACTACTGCTTTTACTAATTATAATGTAATCAATTTTACGATTACCTTCATTTCTACTACATCTGCGATATTACTACTACTACTACTACTACTACTATTATTACTACTACTACTACTGCTACTACTACTGCTACTGCTACTACTGCTACTACTACTACTACTACTACTACTACTTTTGCTACTATTGCTACTATTGCTATTATTGCTACTACTACTATTGCTACTACTACTGCTACTACTACTACTACTACTACTACTACTAGAAGCATTCATAGTACATGCCTCCTCCTTAAGGGGGGGGTGGGCCGCCCTTAAGACTAAATATATTTAAACCGACATCCCCAAAACATTGATGCTTGTAGACCTAAGATTCTGAGGATTTAGATGGTCTAGACATAGTGCATGTCACCAGGTACATGTCTCTTATACGCATGGCACTCAGGTGCAACTACACTTACGTGATTTGTTTACCTCATGTTTTAATGCTATACCGCTTTTTTTAATGGCGCTTCGCTTTTGTCGCTGGTTTTTCAAATGCGTTTGCTTGAAGTGTTCATAAAGTGTTCCATGTGATTTTATTTGAATTGTGTTCGGGCATTGCATCTCGCGTACATTCTCACATCTAGACAACAGGCTTAAAGTTTGTCGATATTTTGTGTATTATCGTTCTTTACTTACGTCCTTTTCAAAATTCGGCGCGCTTTGCGTCCGAAAATTGTGTTCTTCTTGGTTCGTATAGATAGTGTTCAACAAAGCAATAAGATAGATTGTTCACTACTAGCAATGACCGCGTTCAATAAAAAATCAAACCACGATTAGATATTTCTCAGATTCTACGTTTTCATGTCTTGAATTTAGCTATATATGTTTATTTTTGGATAAAAATAATCGCGGATTTAGATTCCTGCATCTGGGTCCCGGGATCCGGGTCCCGGATTCCAGAATCCACCTGTCCATTCTAGGTATAAATCAAGGTTTGAAAAACTATACAGATTTGTTTCGTCTCTGGACTTTCTTTAGATCAGACCTTATAGATGTAAATAGTTTTGGTATGAGTTGTACATTTCTCGCTTGTCTACACGGATGTATGTTTGAAATATGTTCTTTAAAAAAAACATGAAGACACAGGTAATCGATGATGGAAAATAAATTCTGCATGTCTTGGCATGGATAATGATATGTATATTGTCACCAGGTACATGTCTCTTGTACGCATGGCACTCAGGTGCAACTACACTTACGTGATTTGTTTACCTCATGTTTTCATGCTATGCCGCCTTTTTTTTAATGGCGCTTCGCTTTTGTCGCTGGTTTTTCAAATGCGTTTGCTTGAAGTGTTCCTAAAGTGTTCCATGTGATTTTATTTGAATTGCGTTCTGGCATTGCATCTCGCATACATTCTGACATCTAAACAACAGGCTTAAAGTTTGTCGATATTTTGTGTATTATCGTTCTTTACTTACGTCCTTTTCAAAATTCGGCGCGATTTGCGTAAGGTCCGAAAATTGTGTTCTTCTTGGTTCGTATAGATAGTGTTCAACAAAGCAATAAGATAGATTGTTCACTACTAGCAATGACCGCGTTCAATAAAAAATCAAACCACGATTAGATATTTGTCAGATTCTACGTTTTCATGTCTTGAATTTAGCTATATATGTTTATTTTTGGATAAAAATAATCGCGGATTTAGATTCCTGCATCTGGGTCCCGGGATCCGGGTCCCGGATTCCAGAATCCACCTGTCCATTCTAGGTATAAATCAAGGTTTGAAAAACTATACAGATTTGTTTCGTCTCTGGACTTTCTTTAGATCAGACCTTATAGATGTAAATAGTTTTGGTATGAGTTGTACATTTCTCGCTTGTCTACACGGATGTATGTTTGAAATATGTTCTTTAAAAAAAACATTAAGACACAGGTAATCGATGATGGAAAATAAATTCTGCATGTCTTGGCATGGATAATGATATGTATATTGTCACCAGGTACATGCTTGTACGCATGGCACGCAGGTGCAACTACACTTACGTGATTTGTTTACCTCATGTTTTCATGCTATGCGGCTTTTTTTTAATGGCGCTTCGCTTTTGTCGCTGGTTTTCAAATGCGTTTGCTTGAAGTGTTCATAAAGTGTTCCATGTGATTTTATTTGACTTGTGTTCTGGCATTCCATCTCGCATACATTCTGACATCTAAACAACAGGCTTAAAGTTTGTTGATATTTTGTGACTTACGTCCTTTTGAAGACCCGGTGCGCTTTGCGTAAGGTTTGAAAATTGTGTTCTTCTAGGTTTGTTTTCTCCAGTATAAAAGCGTTTAAAAGAGCAAGAAGGCGGATTATGCACCAGTAGCAATGAATCAGCGTTCAAAAAAGATTGCCTTGTTTTTTTCAAAGGTTTTTTTTTGCGTTTTGTATTTACATCTTTTTTTGTATTTACAATCTTTTTCTGCCGATCTGCAACTGACACTGGCTCCTTCACGACCATGACAGGCACAGACTGGGCCATAGACCGCATCCACTTCGGAAGCTCCAGCTGCAAGTCGAAAGCCATACGAAGATAGCAATACAAGCTGCACGTCCTGGTGTGCCCAGACACATAGGTGAAGGTGTCGCTGTCACCCTGCCGCACGACCTTCATCGGGCCAAGCCACCCTTCTGATTGGAACATTGCTGCCAGCTTCTCCTTCCAGTGCGCGCCGTGAACGTTGGGAAATTTCAGTGGGAGCATGCAAACTTTATGCTCGAAATCTTCCAGAAACAACAATGATTCGTGCGATCCCCATCTTGACCGATCTCTTTAGAAGTTGAGGTCCGGTGGAAGAAGGAGGAAGAGAAGAGATAACATATGATCTAACAAATCTCACCTGACAGGTGGGGACTTAGTTGCTCTGTTCGCCTGCGTCAAACAGAGCAACCAATCGTTTCATAGAGCAAATAGCTTGGAAAAGAGTGGTTTTCGCTTGCTAGTTGCTTTGTTCGACTCCGAGTTGCTCTGTTCGCCTCCGTCCAACAGAGCAACCAAACGTTTGGCATGTGTCGGTTTTGTCTGGCAGGCCGATATGGGTGATGAGTACGATATTATTATTACTACTACTACTACTCCTCCTCCTCCTGCTGCTACTGCTACTGCTACTGCTACTACTACTACTACTACTAGAAGTATTAATGTTCCGCGCGTCTACGTTTCGCGCGGTTTCCGCGCGTTATGCGCGTTATGCGCGTCTGCGTTTCGCGCGGGTTCCGCCCGTGTCGTTCTGCGCGCGGGTTCCGCGCGCGTGGTCGCATTCAAATTTCTTAAAGAACTTAAAATATTGCGACGAATATTAGTACTACTTCTACTAATTGTAATTTAATCAATATTACGATTAGTTTCATTTCTACTACATCTACGATATTTCTATTACTACTACTATTGCTACTACTACTACTACTACTACTACTACTCCTCCTCCTGCTGCTGCTACTACTACTATTGCTACTATTGCTATTATTGCTACTGCTACTATTGCTGCTACTACTATTGCTACTACAAGTACTACTACAACTACTACTGACACTACTATTACTACTACTACTGCTACTACTACTACTACTACTACTACTCCTACTACTACTCCTGCTACTACTACTACTACTACTACTACTAGTAGAAGTATTAATGTTCCGCGCGTCTACGTTTCGCGCGGTTTCCGCGCGTTATTCGCGTTATGCGCATCTGCGTTTTGCGCGGGTTCCGCGCGTGTTGTTCTGCGCGGGTTCCGCACGTGTAGCCGCATTCAAATTTCTTAAAGAAATTAATATATTACGACGAATATTACTACTTGGGAACCTTTACATAATAACCTTGGGGACCTTGAGAACATTTACGTGGAAAACTTGGGAACCTTGAGGGAACCTTTACAATTTACAATACGACCTTGGGAACCTTGACAACCTTTACTTGGGAAACTTGGGAATCTTGAGGGAACCTTTACAATGCAACCTCGGAAAGCTTGAGGAAACCTTGACAATATAACCTTGGAAGCCTTGAGAACCTTGACAATGTAACCTTGGGAACCTTGAGGGAACCTTTACAATGCAACCTTGGAAAGCTTGAGGAAACCTTGGAAAACTTGGGAACCTTCAGGGAACCTTGAAGAAACCTTGAAGGAACCTTGAGGGTACCTTTTGGGAACCTTGAGGGAACCTTGACAATCTAACCTTGGGAATCTTATAGAAACCTTTGCAATGTCACCTTGGGAACCTGGACCACGTTTACTTGGGAACCTTTACATAATAATCTTGGGAACCTTGATAACCTTTGCTTGGAAAACTTGGGAACCTTGCAGGGAACCTTGAAGGAACCCTGAGAGAACCTTTTGGGAACCTTTTGGGAACCTTGAGGGAACCTTGAGGAACCTTGGGAACCTTGGGAACCTTGAGGGAACCTTGGGAACCTTGGGAACCTTTACTTGGGAACCTGGGAACCTTTATTTGGGAACCTGGGAACCTTTACTTGGGAACCTGGGAACTTTTACTTGGGAACCTGGGAACCTTTACTTGGGAACCTGGGAACCTTTACTTGGGAACCTTTACTTGGGAACCTGTACTGGGAACCTGTACTTGGAACCTGGGAACCTTGGGGGAATGAGTTTTGGAGCTGCTCCGGTCTGCTCCGAAACCTTTACTATGGCTGAAGACCCCAAAGCATTCTGCTGTTGGGGAACAAAGGACAAACGAAAAAAGATCTGCCGCACCGATGGCGAGGCACGCCAAGCTCGCTTTGTTGATGCACCATTGCTTGCAGGTAATGCAACAATCCTCACAATCGAACAATATAATTCACACTCACCACCCCGCTGGACATCTGCGATTAGAAGAACCGAGAACGAACCCACTTTCTCTTTCTGGCTGTTGGTCACGCCTCTCTTTCAAGGTCTCACGGTCATGACTTCTGTGTTGCTCAGTGTGCGGTTGGATGTGCCATGAGATTACGAACTCAAAAAAACAAGCAGCACATGAGCAGTTCCTTAAACCTCCTTGGTGGTTTGGTTCCCCTGGATGATTGAAGGTAGCGGGGTGCCCATTGAGTGGTAGGATGAGCAGCTATGCATCACCAACTGGTCACTGCTCACATGGCGAAGTGCCTTGTTTCCTTCATCAGCGTCACGAGCTTCATCAGCGTCATCAGTTTTCTCCGGTGCTTTGGAAGAGGTCGCCGCGTCGAGTATTGGCATCGCTAACCTTGAGAAGGTGGCACTGCATCCCAAACATTCTGCCTGCACTGCAACATGTCGAAATGACATGAAATGACATGAAATGACATGAAATGACATGAAATGACATGAAATGACATGAAATGACATGAAATGACATGAAATGACATGGAACGAATATCATGACTGAATGCCAAAACCCGCTTGCAGCCAATCTACACCGCGAGGTGGTTCGCTGCAAACTCCAGCTGGCAGTTTTTGTCCCTTAGGAGAATGATATGGAACCTCGGCTCGTTATACATGGTGTCACAGCGGTGCCGACTCAGGTTGAAACAGTTTGGCTCCGTTGTTTTGGCACAAGAATTCTCTTGGTCACATTTGGTCACGACAAAAAACAAAAGCCCATTGAAACAGTAGAAATGGTCTGGTTTGATGGTCTGGTTTGAAGTTCCCACATCTTGCGAAACTCAGCGAACTGACATGCTCTGCAAAGGAATCAGTAGCTTCGTCAAGAAACACCACAAGCCACAGCAACGTGACTACCCCCAGCGCGTTCACCACCGGGTTGTCGGCCATGAAGCATAGGGCACCGAAAAGGATGTCCTTCCTCGGGCCAGTCGCACTTGCTCTGCAATTTCCATCGACTCCATTTCGTCCAGTTTGTCGTCTGAAGATGGGAGAAAAAAACACGCGCTAGGTTTAGACAATATTTTGTGAGGGAATCTGTTTCAGGGAAAGGAGAGCCTGCCTGACTATTAAAAAAAGTTTGGTGTCTGTTCCTGAATATCCAAGAGCTTGAAGCAAAAATCGGATTGACAGCTTCCCTGCTGAACAAGTGAAGCTTCATGGTGTCAAATGCATCTGACAGGAATGGGCATACGCCACCAATTGTAGCCTCAACAAAAGCCGTCGCTGCATATCTCTTGCCACTTGGAAGCCACGCAGCAGCCAGCACGGCCTCAAAAGAATTCAGCAGTTCAACTCTGCTCAGCTTCAAAGTCCGATGTCTTGACATCGATTTAGGGTTGTCGCCAAAAGCCATCAAAAGCCAATGATGTATCATCGTTTTCCCATGTTTTCCCAATAGAAATTGCCTTTTTGGGTCATCTTGAAAGAGACAAACCCACTGCATCTAGAATCCCAATGGACTGTGTGCCTGCACCAGCATCCAAAAACATCCACAAGCAAAGAGCCCAGTGTAGAACTCCCAGGCGAGTCCGCGCTCTTTGCTCAGCTGCCCCGTCGCCATACTTCCCAGGGCAGCCTAGGGGTCAACACGTGTGGAGAGGACACGGGGGACACTGAGGACACCAACACTCCTTGAAACCAGCAAAATATGGACCGAATTTAGCTGCGGCACAGCCAGGCACAGCAGGTAGGTGCAGGAAAACGCCGCGATCACCCACCACTTGCGGTACGTCACCCACCACGGGACCTTCCGCAACCGCGCTGACTGGGCAGACTGGGCGATCGGCTCTGCAGGATCAGCGCCCTGGCCAAAGCCAAGTGGGAAATGTCAGCAACTTCTGTCGCAAAAAACGTCGGTTTTTTGGGTAAAGCAACTGTTGAGCCGAGTATGGGACAAGTACATGTTCCATCATGTTCCCATTTCCAACGGTGAACATTACTAGAGGACCAGCCAAATTTGAGAATCTGAGCGTCCCAAAACTTTGTACACACATTTTCTGCTCAGGCCTCTTGCTCTGGTGTCACTGCGTGCAGCTCACGTGTTCGACTGTCACCAGCAGAGGAGGCTGAGAACAAGGTGTCCTTGGTGACACAAAAAGTGTTTTCTGTCATTCATATCATTTGAACTCATTCTACCAGTATTCTACCTCTTCGATCATGAGTAGCATGGAACAACCAAAAATAATTTAAGATGGACAGAGTCGAGACAAGGAATAGGTGTTGCCATGCCTGAATGTTTGTTGCTCTAGGTGGCTCCCTAACTGCTGTGTTTTTTCAGAGCTTCTGATTCCGGGGTACGTTGTATCCTCAAAAAAACACATCGATCAAAACAAACACATGCAGATGCAGCTGCACTTCTGTTCAGCATGGAGGTTGACACTAAAGCACAACCAATACCACAAGCCATGCCTTCTTTTTCTATATTTTTCTGGTTCCCTTCCTTTCTTAAGTTCTAGGGATATCGACAGGATGATGCGCCATGGCTCAGAAATTGGGAAATCACAAAGTGCCGCTTTGATTTGCACATCCATTGCGGTTGGCCCCAAAGCAAACACCGTAAAACTCCCTACGCCCACAGGAGTCGCATGTGCAATATCGGAAATACTCTACTTCGCCCAAAAAAAAATCCAAAACCGTGGAAGGCATTGCTGCCAGGGTGCCCGTACGCGCTGTGCAGAGGTGGCACCCTGAAAAGCAAGCGATGAAACAATTGCTGGTACGATCACAAGAAACATGAAATACGCGACCAGTTGAGTACGAAACCAGGCGTTTCTTCTAAGGGTGAATATAAACTTGAAGTCTCTTGGCAGAGAAATTCCCCACTCTTATTGTCTTGGCAACGCATCCACACACGACATGCATCGTGAGCCGGGCCTCTTGCTGCGCTACCACGGCAGACTGCACGGGTTCGTGACTGTCAGCATCGTCAGAGCTTGAGAACAAGCTGCCCTTGGCAACAGATCGCGGAAAAGTCTTCTGGCTTCCGTGGTGTTTGCAAGTCTCAAAAGGAAATCGAAGAACAAGAAATGGGACTATCACAGCACCCACAAGATGTCCATCACGACAAGCATAGAAAAAGTCAGAGTGTGCCTGTCGGAGCAAAGGACATCAAAATATGTTTTGATGTGCTTTCATGTTGGCCTGCTTCCTGTTTTGGAGTCCATGTTTCTTTACCCTTGTCTAATGCACAAAAAGCCTGTTGTTTGGGTTTGTTGTCTGGGTTCTTTTTGGACATTTCGGAGAAGACACATGGCTTCTAGTCTGGGATTCGATCTGCTCAATTGTGCCACATGACTGTGTTTTAATGTTTTGTAAGCAGAACCCGTAAAGAGTTCACTCAATGTTACAACCAACAAGCCTGCTCTGAACACCTCAGGGTCAGGACATATTCCACCCTCATAACCACAACTCATCATAACTCATGACCATGTCATGTCCAAGATCTTGTGGGTCCTGTGGGTCGTATTTGCAATTTTGGAGGTACTATACTTCAACCAAAAAAACAAAACCGTGGAAGGAATTGCTGCCAGGGTGCCCGTACGCGCTGTGCAGAGGTGGCACCCTGAAAAGCAAGCGATGAAACAATTGCTGGTACGATCACAAGAAACATGAAATACGCGACCAGTTGAGTAGGAAACCAGGCGTTTCTTCTCAGGGTGAATATAAACTTGAAGTCTGAGTCTCTTGGCAAAGAAATCAAAGAACTCAAAGATTCCCCACTCTTATTGTCTTGGCAACTCATCAACACACGACATGCATCGTGAGCCGGACCTCTTGCTGCGCTGCCACTGCAGACTGCTCGGGTTCGTGACTGTCAGCATCGTCAGAGCTTGAGAACAAGCTGCCCTTGGCAACAGATCGCGGAAAAGTCTTCTGACTTCCGTGGTGTTTGCAAATCTCAAGAGGAAATCGAAGAACAAGAAATGGGACTATCACAGCACCCACAAGATGTCCATCACGACAGGAATAGAAAAAGTCACAGGGGGCGTCTCATGCTACAACCAAACCGAGCCAAGGACATAAAAATACGCTTCGACGTGCTTTAATTAGGCATGGTCTCTGTTTCTAACTGCATTTTTTTAACGGAGTACCCTTGTCTATTGCCCAAGGAGTTTGTTGCTTGGGTTGAATATCGCGTTTCTTCCTTTGACATTTTGGGGAAGATGCATGGCCACTGTCTGGGATTCTGTCTGCACAAGCATGCCATTGCCTGGTTGTTCATGTACCAGGACCCAAAAAGAGTTCATTCAATCTTGCAATCCACAAACCTGCTGTGAACACCTGATTCATGTGCAGATTACCCCCCTCTAAAACAACAATGTCGATCAAAATCGCATCACGTCATGCCCATAGGCCCATCACTATGTTCATTATTTTGTGGGTCGCATTGCACTGTTGGACGTATTTCGCCCAACAAAAGATCAATTAATCTCTGGAATTCTGGAAGGAATGGCTGCCACGGTGCTCGTGCGTGCTGCGAAAAGGTAGCATCCTGAAAAACAAGAGATGAAACAATGGATGGTAGCGTCTTTCCAGCGAAAAACGTCAAAACATTAAAACATCCATCTGAAAACGAAGAAAAACATGTATGTATGTTTTTTCCATGTCCAATAAGAATGATCAATCTGAAGCCCGAAACTCAGAAGTCACGACCTCCCACCAACGTCCCTGCCCCAAGTTATCAAAACATTACATCCTGAACCGGCCTCTTGCGCTGCCACTGCAGACTGTTTGGGTGCTGGAGTGTCCTTGGCCAGCGCTCCAAAAGTTCGCAAGCACATCAACTGCAACGGTTGAAACCCGTAAATCAGAAACAGCCTGGAATGGTTTGTTTTGGATTGTCCTCTTGGAAGATGTGGTGTTTACGCGAGATTGGATGACGTTGGACAGGATGTTCAGTGCACTTCTGCGCGCTCAAAAAGCTTACGGTATGGGTCTTAATGAGCTTCTTGGTCTGAAATTTAACTTTTGGAACGCATAACTTTGGAGTCCCCAAACTTCCTCATACGGCAGTACGGAGTGTGTTCCATTTGACCTTGCTTCAACTTTAAAGTTGCTTAGTTGCTGTTTCTTGCGCGTGATTTGATCCTTTCCTGCCTCGTTGGGAACATCATCTATGTAATTACAAATCATTGGTATCATGGTTCTTTGCATACGTCATGGTTTGGTCCGTCTCTCCTCTTTTCCTTCACTATGCTCCCCTTCAAAACTCGCATTTCCAAAAAGATCAAAAAGTCACAGTCGCCGAGCATCTGGCAGCTGCTTCGACCTCGAAGACTTCGAAGGCGGGGCCTTTTTCTTCTTGACGATTTTCTTCTTTCCCTTCTTAGGCTCCGGATGCTTAGTAGGCTCGGAACCGTCCACGTGCAACACCAAGTCGTGGGTGGCCAACCCCACGGTCTCCTTGGTGCCCGAAACGTGTCGCGCCGAGCGGTTCGAGCGGTTCCTTCGGAACATCGAGTTTTCCGAGGTCCAATTGGCTGGGTTCGCTTTGAACTTTGAAGATCTTTGAAGAGGGTCTTACATGATCATAATGATGCTTCCGTGCGTCCCTGGCGGTGGTGTAAATTCACAATAACCTAGGAAAGTACGAGTAAATATGTTGTTCCAACTTCCAACAACGATTCATGAACATGCCATTGAATAAAGACTCCGACTGGGTACAACCAAATCGATCGGATTCTCTACCGAAATACAACAAACATCAACAAACACTACAAAACATGGTTTGTGCTGTTGTTTTTCCATGTTGTGCCACTTTCCCTTGGGTGCACATCTCTTTTGTTTTGGTGGAGAGGTTAACCTCTCCATCGCAACGGTTTCGGCCAAGGCTCTGGCGTCGGCACAGGGCCCACGGACGCCCTGACGCCAGCCTCTTGCGGCAACGGCTGCGGCTGCGATGTGTCGTCCTTGACGCCGTCCTGGGCCAAGCGGGCGATGCCCAGAATCTCAAAATTGCTGACCCTTGCAGCCCATTGGCTGATTCTATAGATCCTTTCGCACCTTCTAGGCAACGAAATCAAAACTTGGATTCCTCAAAGTTTCAAGTTCTATGGACCCCATGGAACTCCACCCTGCAACAATCTCCAACAATCTCCAATTAACCATGGATTCATGTCGTAGTTGACCCCTATTTCCAACATGTTGCAGAAGTAACTTGTCATGTTTGGGGGGAAACGATCCTTCTTCAACCACCATGGTGTACCAATCGGGGCCTGGCATTGTGCAAATGCAATCAGCCCCCTATGACTTGAAATTTGCTCACGATGACATCCAACCCATTCTTGCATCTTGTTTCGGATCATTTCGGATCATTTCGGATTAAGATCTGAATCCAGTACCCTTCCGATGCTGACGGCCAAGCATCTTCCAGGAGAGGTATCCTTTCGATCCTTTCGCTTCTGGCAGCTATCTTGCCCGCCAACATGAGGATCAACGTGCCAGCGCAGCAGGTGAACCTTGCAAGTCATCACTGTCTTTCCCGACGTGATTTCAGAGCGACATTTCACCAAGCGACTACTTCGATCATGGAATCCCATGTGGAGAAGTGGGCAATGACACCTGATGAATAAGTCCCTTAAGTTGGGCTATCAAAATTCTAGGGGTATGATCCTCAAAGTATGCTAGGGTCTACAGCATACAGAGCCAAGATGATCGGGATGATCACGCAGCATAGTCTAAACAGCGCGGAGTCAGAAACGTGGAACCTTTGAACCACCTGAGAGTCAGCCTGAGAAGCCAAACACGACACCTCGAAGCCAACAAATCCATGACTGAAATCTTGATCTACATCTGGTTATTTGACAGTTTGCCATGGAAAATCACAATTTTTAATAGGTAAACCATCTATAAATGGGCCATCTATACCATGGCTATGTTAAATAACCAGAGGGTACATCTGATTGCAAACCTTCTGGACAGTCTGAGAACCTGAAGTTCCCAGGACAGATCTACATCTCTGTTGCATTTTTGGGTGGAAACACCAAGGACGAAGGGACACGTAGGTGAGCATCATCGCGCCAACATACCTTGCAGCCAGATGACACAGGAGATGTCACAAAGTTGGACTGGAATATACACATAAAAAATATCCCATTTATAGATTATTTTCCCATTTAAATGCTCAGTTATTGGCAAATGAAGATAGCCGTTTTTGCTCCAAAGGGCAAGCTCAAGGAGCTAATGGCCAGGCATTTGACCAAGGAACGTCAAGGTCCTCTCGGATTGCCCTGTGGCCGTCTGCAGCGTCTGCAAGGCCTCGACCAGGGTCAGGTTGCACAACTTCTATGTACAGCTTCTTGCTAATTTGATCGTCAGAAGCCACTCAGGCTTCGGATTCATTGCACTTGAACACAAAGTGCATCCTTCGTCAACTGCCTCGCTACAATCTGAATCTTCTCAGACCATGCCGTGGTGTACACAGCTGTCTGCCGAATCTGTGGCAAGCATCTTGGAAGTTCCAGTAGTTGAGCTTCAAAGTCCATGTTGAGCATCTGGTCCAACTGGTCCACCACCAAGTATTGACATCCTGACGCATCAATTGCTGGACCGGTAGAGCTATTGAGATGAGCGGGAGTGGCGACCAAACACTGCTGGCCACTTGCAAACTCAACGGGGACCGCACCAAAGACACCCGCAGTGGCGATGTTCGCAGGCCGGCCAAATCGCTCACTTTCGCTGCGAATCTGCTGCCACAGCTCACGAGTTGGAACCATCACCAGCATCCGAGGGCCACAGCTGTTACTGCCGTTGCCTGCAGCACGTGCGACTTTGATGAAGCCAGGCAAGAGATAGCTCAGGGTCTTCCCAGCGCCAGACTTGGCAATGGCAACAGTGTCCCTCCCATCAGTCAAGGCAGGCCACAGATAGGCTTGAAGAGTGGTGGGTGCTGAGTATCCTGCATCCTTCAGAAACTGCATCAAACCAGGGGGGAACTTCCAGGCTCCCTGGCACGCATCAAACGTCAGCCACGGAGATACAGCCTCACCTGGAAGGATGCTACAAGCAATGCATGAGCTGCAACGCCTTCGTCTCCCCTTGGACAGTTGACTTTTGCTAAAGGAGAAAGTCGGAAGAGCCAAACCGCAAGCATTGCAAAATGACATCTCACCACCATGAAGGTTTTCATTTGGACGCCTCTCCTGAATACGTAAGATCTTGAATTGTAGCTGTCGCGCAAGTTTTTCTCTTTGTTTTTTTTCCATAAGTTCCACTTTTCGAGAGACATTCTCCTCAAACTCCATTGCCTCTGCCTCTGCTTTTCTGCAGCACAAAGTCTTGGGATATTTGCCACAAGTCTGGCGCTTTTGCGCTAGATCCCACATGCACGCTGCCAGGCGGCAAACATCTTCCTCGCAGACCATTGAAACATCTGGCGCCTTCAGCTCAACGAGACGTGCGCGAAGCAACTCAAAGTCCGGACAGATGACCCCACGTCCACAGAGGAAATTGTCTGAGCACAACGTGCGCGTGGATGGCCTTGCATTGACCCAAACACTTTCAGCGGCAGTCAACAAAGCAACGAAGTGTTTCTTCATTTCCAGATCCTCCAAGAACATCTGGGCCAACTCTTCAGCTTCTTCACTTGAGCAGACATACAAAAAGGTACAATGGATAGAATTCCAGTCTCTGGCTTGGTGTGGGCACAACTGGTGCTTTTGTAGCTGGTCCTGGAAATTCGTCCATGATTCTACCAGGTCTTTGGCAAAAGAAATCGCAGATCGTTCGGTTTCTGATTTCCATGGGAGTCGGATGGGCACGGTGGGATTGGCACCATCACAAAGCAGCTGCCGAACATCCTTGCCATCTTCGGGGACATCGCTACCTCTTTCCACAGCCCAATACAACTCCCTGTCCTGCGGAAGGATCTCCCGACTCTGAATCGATGGCTTTTCAATCTTCCGAACTTTGGGCGCAGGTGAAATCGATGGCCCATCTGACTCAATCTCCTCCTCAGACTCCCTCTCCTCTTCGGACTCATCGAAGATCTGGGCATCGTCATCGTCAAAGCAATCTTCCCTGTCAAAGTAATCAAAGAATGAGCCACGTGAGGAGCTGCAAGGGAAAGAGGTCTGTGGTACCAGAACCTTGCTTTGGCTACTCTCCCCTTGGTATATCTTGGTATAGGATTAGGCCAAACTCAGCATTCCCAGTCTTTGTTGGCAGGGGTCGCAGTACTCCAAATAAAATCGTGATTCCTTTTAGAAAATGTGAACCAAAAGCCCACCCCAGGAAGAAATCGGAGGAGGCTCCCATGGCCTCTTTAGGGGACTATGAAGCCACTGCCACAACCATTCGACTCCCATAGTGACTTCCCATGGCCCAAAACATGCCGAATAACCACTTGAAGGGATGATAGAGTTCGGACAAGAAACGGCAAACTCACTGGGCAAGACTGCAACTTCTTCGCAGAAATCCAAGTCCGCAACATATCTGGAAGCTTTGATCACAGGCGCAGATGGTGACACGGGGCATCCAATATTGATACAGTATTGAGCAACTGAGAGCTTCTGGTTCTTGTAGTCGCACATAAGGTCACCAGCTCTAGCCGTTGCTAGACCTTTGAAGAAATAGTCATGACCATTATGCAACCCCAGTAGCTTCTGACCTCGCAACTGGATCTGAGCAGTGGGATAGAAGGACAAAATCACTTCCTTCACCAATTCTGGCAACTTCAGACGATGCCGAATGGTCCAACGAACTGTTGCAATATCACTGAACTTATCTTCCAGGGTGCAACTTTTGGCCAACGTGTCTCTGGCGCGCTTCATGGATAACTGCTTGATCTTCTCTTCAGTAAGGCCAAAGTCATAGTCATAGATGTCATCCATGTGAGCACAGTTGCAACCTGCGAAATCATCAGTTTCCTCATCCGAGAAGTCACCAAAGCTGTCCATGTCGCGGAAGGCGTGCATCATGGATAGCACACAATGGGGCAGTTTGTACACAATGGATAGCATGAACAGCAACTGGATCATCTGGTTATAAAGTTCATGTAGGTTCTGAAACAAAAACCACTTTGCGGAAAAGATCAGGGGATCAAGAAAAACATCGATCATAGTTTTAGATTGTGAAAAAAAAAACTCCAGCAAAACCTCTCATTTTGCAATTTATGAGCAACATGTTGGGCCAGAAGCTCTTTTTTTGTATGGTATTTGCAAGGTTTTGGCGCTGGAACCTCTCATGTTGCAGCAACGTTCTGGAGCCAGAAGCTCTCCTGGAATCTTTGATTTTGCATTGAATTGCCACATGTTGGCACTAGAATCTCTCATCTGCGGGATTCGCGACATTTCAGCACTAAAATCTCTCATTTTGCATGGTGTTTGCAAGATTGTTTGGAGCCACAAACTTTGCTTTTGCTGGGTATTTGCAACATGGTGGCACTAGAATCTCTGATTTGCATGACATTTCAGCACTAGAAGCTTTCACTTTATACTGAAATACAACCATTCCTGGGCCCGGGACTTCTTTTGCCAAGCATTGGCCAGTTGCAGGGGAGAAACCTTCAACCGGCGCATCGTCTGTGCAGAAGTCTACATTCTGTTCATGTGGCATTTGATGCTTTATAGTTATTTTTCCAATATGAACTCCACATGATTGGACAAACCACTTATTGACATTGCCGTTTCATAGGAATTCCATGATAGATTGTGATAATCCCCAACATATTGGATAGTATAACTCAGTATAACAGTATAACCTCATATAATCATCAAACCACAGTCTGAACACTGTTCGCTTGAATCTGGAGACCCAACTTTTTGAGACTATACCAAACCAACTAAAGGATCCTCGTTCTGGCAAAATCTACAGCATGCTGCCCCAGTTAGCATATGGGCAATCTGCCTACTACTGCCCCCAACAAACACCATGGCTAGTAGGAGGATCAAGAAGAAGATAGGGAAGTTCGCGCAGATCCTACGGGTGAAGAAAATCCTATCTCCATTCTTTTCCTTCACCGTCTGAACCGTTAGAAAAGGGTATTAAAAATTGGTTCATAAATTTGGGTTTCGAGGTTGACATCTGCGTTCCAACGGTTCAGAAAAACCACTACAGTATATAATCAGAAAAAAACATTTTTGAGTTGGACTTATCCCATGACTATCAAACACCTTCACCAAAACCTTTATCCAGTTTTATAGTTGTACACAAATTGTGTGAATGAAGGAGAAAGATTCCAATCTGAAAAGGCTCAAAGGCCAGGCCTTGATGTTCCAGATTCTGGTGAGTTCATCGGTGGAACTGTGCTTTACTTGTTGAATCAATCTCTAAACCCCAATCTAGAGACACCACTTCTAAGACATGTTCTGACATTTTTTGTCCCATATCGGCAATATGCTGACTGTCCCAGTTTTTGGGTCGAGGCCTGAGATAGGATCATCTGACTTTCTCCAAAGGAATGCCTCTGGGTGATGCCCACAAGACTCTGCTACTGGGAGGAAGTGTTCTCAGGGCAGCAAGGCCATTGGAAGACTCGTTTTTTGATACGCGGAACCTCCAAAATGATGGTCTGATCATCGTTCCCAACCTGGTAACCTATCCTGACAGCATCCACTGCTTCAGATGAACTGCAAAAATTGTTTGGGAAACTGCTGCAAAACTCGGAGTCCCAACGGATCATACTGCTGCGTCAGCTGTAGGATCTTCTGGATTCTTCTGTTCTTTTGCACCTGCAGCTGGGGTCCTGGTCAAGCCCTCAATCTGCACGGATCTGCCGAACAAGGACCGGGGCATCAAGCATTGAAACAGAATCTCCGCACTGATGTGGTCGTGCAATGTCCCTGTCAACCGTCTTGCAGCATCTCGACAACACGAACCTTGTTGTCATACTATCTGCAATCCCTTCGAATGAATTCAGACCTGTGCAGACTTGGATTCTACCACCTTTGCACTCCTTCTCCCTTTCTCAGCAGCTGGCTCATGTAAATGCCGTCCAGTGGAATTCACAAGATCCTGCACAGCATGGGGGGACACCACCGACAATTCGGCCAAACAAAGTGGATGGACATGGTCTCAGTCACACACAATTGCTTATACCAAAAGAGAATGCCTTTGATTGTGAGAACAAAACATATCAAGAACTTCTAGAGTTCTGCAAATCCGCAGCCTCTTTCAAGAAACCCATTTGACAGCACTTTCAAACTTGGTACCAGCGCTTTCAACCACAACCAAACAGACAAACCACCATCTTTGTATGATTTGATCTTGATTTCATGGCTGAGAATCATTGAACCCTTGCCAGATCCAAAAGAGGACGGACTTCTTTTGTTGCCAAAGTTCAATGAGAGGTGAAATCCAACAATGGTCTGAAATTCTAACTCATGGGAATTGAGCGTGCAATAAGGTGCCACACCCGCATGACGAATTCATCCTTTCCACCTGCAGTTTCTGGGGTTCTCACCGAGGCTTGCACTCAGAACCACAAAGAGATCGCAATGGTGCACTTTCGCCCAGTGATCCAGAACTTGCAGACATTTATCAACATGTTTGAAAGTGAAACGTTTCTCCCAAAACGGACTGCGTTTCCGCGCGGAAACTCAATGTTTAGCACCGTTAGGACAAACACCGTGGTGAAGCTAAGATTTTGAAGCATTTGATATTTCACCTGGATAGAAGCAGGTCGGAACTAAACAACCATGTTTCAACTAGGAATTTAGATCGTTTTGACAAATCATTGCCCGGTTGTGTCGCAATTGTATCAAGTTGCACATTTCATCATAACCCCAATTATCCTTTCTGTCGCAATTTCGGATCTCAGGATGGGGACCGTTATGACTACGACGTGCGGTCGGATTGACCAAATTGTTTGCCAACTTGTGAGAATCTTGGGAATACTACAGATATCTACATGGTTGTAAATGTTTTGCACTATACTTTTTGCGAAATTTGAGAATCTGGGGAAAAACAGTCGTGAAGATGTTCGAAGTCTTTTGGTCGGGAAAACTGGGACATCCTGTGCTTCGCTTAGGAACTGATAATTTTTTTGATCGTCTGTACGAGAAGGAGGCGATGGGCTTAGCGTGGGGTGGTGAGGGCTCGAAGTCCACAATCAGCGACCCACAGCCCACAGCCATGATCTGTGCGAATTGGCAGTTGCGGGGTTTGCTTGCCAAGCTGCAGCTGGAAGTAACTTACCTCACCTCAGATGATTTAATTTTTCCTCAAGTAGAACCTGACCAAATCTGACAAAAAAAACAACAAACCCGAATGCAGTCACCTAAAACACTTTTGTGAAACAAGTTTTTGAACAGTCTTGTAGATTGTTCCATTTTGCCCCTGTTACCGTACCACTGCACTGTAGATGTCTAATGCGGAAGGGGGTGGACGGCAAAGAATAGTGTAGAGTGTAGAGTGCGCAGTATAAAGTGTAAAGTGTAGAGTGTGGAGTGTAAAGTGAAAAGTGCAAGGTTTGGAATGTAGTGCGCGAAGTGTAAAGTGTAGAGTGTGGAGCGTAGAGTGTGAATTGTAAAGTGTGGAGTGCGGACTGTGGAGTGTGGGGTGTAAAGTGCAAAGTGTGGAGTTTAAAGTGTGGAGTGTGGAATGCAAAGTGTGAAGGGTAGAATGTTGAGAAAAGAGTGTAGAATGTGGAGCGTAGAGTGTGGAGTGAGGAGTGTAAAGTGTGAAGTCTAGTGTGTGGAAAAGTGTAGAGTGTGGAGTGTAGAGTGTGGAGTGTGAAGTGTAAAGTGTGGAGTGTAGAGAGTGTGGAGTGTAGTGTAAAGTGTGGAGTTTGGAGTGTGTAGTTTGAAGTGTAAAGTGTAGAGTGCGGAGTGTAAAGTGTAAAGTGCAAAGTGCGGAGTGTAAAGTCTAAAGTGTGGAGTGTAAAGTGTAAAGTGTAAAGTGTAAATAAAGTGTGGAGAGTCAAGTGTAAAGTGTAAAGTGTGGAATGTAAAGTATAAAGTGTGAAGTGTGGAGTGTAAAGTGCGCAGTGTGGAGTGTAAAGTGTAGAGCGTGGAGTGTAAAGTGTAAGTGTAAAGTGTGGAGTGTGGGGTGTAGAGTGTGCTAAATAGTGCGCCTGCCACGAAAACTGACATTTCACACAGGACGGATCTTCATCAAATGCTACACTTGCCACATAAAATCACACTCTCACCATGTCCCACGCCTGTCACGGAATTTGCACGTTGACACCACTTGACGCAGCCCTGACATTGCGATTCGCAAAACACGCAACACGACACGTCTGAAGTGCTGCGCCTGTCACGCAAAATGACGATGGAGGTCTCCAAAGTGCTGCGCCTGCCACTAAAAATGCAACTCATCTTCTGAAAAGCTTGCAGAAGTATTGCGCCTGTCAGACAAAACGACTTTCGACACTTTTGCAGACACGTGAGAATGTTCGCCTGCCACGCAAAATCACATACCTGTTTTGACACCTTCGAAAAGGAGCGGTTTTGCAGCTTCCCACATATACACGGCGACGGTAGAAGAAAACCAGAGAATCGAGACGAGACATGCTGGAGCCTCAAAACGAGCATTTCGTGCGAGACTGCCTTGAATTTTCACACTTTGAGCTTCAAAGTCGATGTTTTCCTACGAGTTTTCTCATGAACCTCAAAATTTGCTACCTCAAATTCGAGGTTTCGTGCGAGGCATCCGCCAATTTTCATCACATGTCACCAAATGCCACCCCTGCCACGGAATTTGAACGTAGTCGCCACTTGACACAGCCCTGACATAGCGATTCGCAAAAAACACGCAACACGACACGTCTGAAGTGCTGCGCCTGCCACACAAAATGATGACGAAGATCTCCAAAGTACTGCACCTGCCACGAAAACTGCAACTCATCTTCTAAAAACGATGCAAAAGTATTGCGCCTGCCACACAAAAACGACTTTCGACACGTTATGAAACATGCTGGAATGTCACGAAGTGAGGCCACACGACGTTTGAAACCTCCAGAAGCAACCGCTTTTGCAGAACTCGCCATAGCCACGGCGATATTACCGTCACAACGGTCGCTCACGGACGGTTGCAAACGGTTGTGCGGACACAAAAGCAGCGTCGAGCGAACACATCTCAACCCCCAGACCCCCAAAGTAAAACGACAACCCTTCGCTATGCATTTGGGAATGACCGTGATTTAGAAGGATGTTTCATTTCGTCAAAGTTCGCCAATGTATTTCGCCGCACTTCAAAACATCGGGTAAAAATGACCGCGCACTGGTCACGGAATACAAGAATCCAATGCCCTACTAGTACACACTATAGAACTCAAGAGCAAAGTTGTTCCCATCATCCCATACGTTCGGTGGCCCACTGTAAGAGCGTGAAGCTACGACGCAACCTTCGAAACTGATGGCTGGATTGATCGAAAAAATGCTAGAACAATCTGGGTCAACACTGTCAACACACAGAGTTTAACAAAAAAATGCTCGGTTGCAATTTCTTCAATCGATGTGGGATCCAGAGAAGTACCGGGCCACTGGGGTTTAATGCATGCTGCACTTGCCAATGGGATAAAGCATTTTGACAGATTGAACATAGAAGGCCCGGAAGGATTGTGGGCCCCACTGCTGGATGTTTCGCTAAGTGATCGCAACTGCTCAACTGCTTCAAAACAGACGCAAGACATTTGAACTGGATTCCCCAGGGTACAACAGGCCACTTAGAACTCTGAAAAAATTGCCATATCGGCCAGACCTGCATTACCCAACGACGACGCAACTCCCAAACAGACTCCAGATCACTCAATCAGATAAAAAAACAAACATGTTTATGCCCATGCTATTTTTCATCCTGATCTGTTGGTTCTATTCTAATACGATTGGTTGAGTGCAACACTCGTTCTTGTCTTTTTTTTCCTCAGGTTTGGCCGTCAATGCACAGAGGCACGGTCCTTTACCGTATGACACGCAATGAGACCAAAATAGGTCGGCAGCCATATCTGAATTAAGGCAGCAACCAACTTGGAAGTTGGTCAAAAAGGATTGGTCACCCTGCGATAACGCCACAAACAAAACAACAAAGGAACCAAACCGAAAAAAAGGCGAGCCACACTTCCCCAAGCCAGAAGTGTGTCTCTCCCGAGCGAGACACATCAAACAGGGCCGGGACCCAACGCAAAAAATCACAGCCCAGGTGACATTGCAAAAAGTCAATTGACTTCTGCCTTACAGATGATTGCCTATTGTAAATGAAATTGATCGCCTAAGTGAAACACAAAACAGACTTGGTGAAGCCACAAACGACATCACAAAATGCTCTGGCACCGACTAGCAACCTCACCTCTTTGGGCAGTTGCAATCGAAAGGCATGCAAAGACACTCAGGGTCCTCTCAGGTGTGCTTCATCATCGCATCAGTCTTCCTGTCACGAGCATAGCTACTACCGGACCAGGAGGCTCAGGCTTTGCTGAGCAGCCCGGAGGCAGCGGGCCGTGTCTACAGAGGGGGCACCACTCGTAGTTACCCAGCCCCACAAGGTCCACCCAGGAGCACACAAAACAACAATTAGCAAAAGGGGCCAACCCAAGCAATCCAACTCAAACTAAAAAGGCGGAGTCAGCCCGACAAAGCTCTAACGTTCTGCTCACAGGACACCGCTAGCCGCTAGCGGCTTCGTACTAGCAAAGGAATTCCGTAGATAAAGATCGAAGACAGCGAAGACAAACCAAAATCGATGAAGCATCCGACATGAAGCTCTGCATGTGCAAATGGAAAAAAACGTAACACTGCATCTGCAAAAAGGAAAAGCGTCAAGCATGGCCTTTGTATCGCCACAGTCGGAGCAAGTTTATGTGTCCTCTCCATCGGCTACACTGCAGAACCCATCACTGTCCATACACATGAATTGCAGAAGGCAATACCACTGGATCTGAAAAAGTGCAGAACACCAGATCGAACCCAAGTTCCGAAAAGCAAAACCTCGAACCTAAACACGGAGTTTCAACCTTGACTCCTAAGTGCAAACGCCAGCTTCGATCTTTTGCTCGGACGCAACACAAAGGAGGCAAGTTCTCAAGCAGGACACACCCGGAGACAAAACCCCAAAAAAAAGGTCACGTGCTAATCTGCTGATTGTGATACTCAGTCCAAAGCTCCCTCGAGCCAATGTCTTGAGACGCAATTCCAGGTCCAAAAATCACGACCTTTCCTGAAACGACTGAACAATTCCAAACTGCGTTGGGTCACAAATTCAGCCAGCTACAAAAGCCTGATCTACTTCCAAAAGCTCTCAAATAATTCCGGTTCTCATCCAAACGTGAATAATCAGAGTTCTTTACACTCAGGAACGAGTAGATGATTAATTACAAACATTCTGTACAATATTCTTCTGTTCACAAAACTTCCTCAAACCTCATGTTCGTTCACAGTTTCTACGGAGACTGCACGTTTGAAGTTAGACAAGTTTAGGAACCTAGAAGAGATGTAATGTATGTATAAAGTGATTACAACCATGGTGTAAACTACTTGTAAGTATCCCAAGTTTCTTAAGTATGGCTA